CTCTTCTTCTTCCTCCCACCCACACGCACACTTTAATCTCTCTTCTTCGTTGATACCCAACTTCAAAGACTGCGTCTTTATTTTACACTTCAACTTTTCCATTCAACACTGTCTCTTTCAGGCTTCTCATTCACTTCACTTCACACACACTTCACTTTCCAACTTCCCACACACACTACCCACAACAGTCAACATGATCAGCATCAAGACTGTCGTTACTGGCATTGCAGTCGGCCTCACTGCCGTCGGCATGGTCCATGCATCTACCACCATTGCCAGTGGTGACGAGAACCGCGCGCTCTCCATGATCAACACTGCTCGTTCCGAGGCAGGTGCCCCTCCCATCCTTTGGGACAACAACCTCAAGGAGGACGCCGACACCTGGGCCCTTCTGCTCGCCAGACAGGGCTTCATAGGCCGTGCTCCTGCTCATCAGCGTGATGGTGCTGGCGAGGTCGTCGCCTACTTCAGCTCTCTGTCTGAGGACAGCGTGCAGGTCACCAACCCTCTGGTCTCGGCTGTCAAGCTCTGGCTTAGCTTCAAGGACATGAACAATTTTCAGACCACTGTCGAGGACTACTACGAGACCCTCGGCACCACTGGTATGTCTTCGCCTCGTCTACTGACTTTCCTCGAGTTCGTCTGACCTTTTCCTACAGAGCAGCTCCTCTCTGACAAGGCTACTCACATTGGTTGCTCTACCCGCCTGGGCAAGAAGGGCCGCGCTGTCAACCCCCTCACTTCTTTCACAGTCTGCCGTGTCTACAAGGATGTCGAGTCAGTTGACCCTCCTTCCTTCTTCTTCTTCTTCCACCATCCTCTCGCAGATGTTAACACTGGCTTGTTCCAGGCCCCCCGCCGTCATGGCTCGTCAGGACCTCAGCCCTGGCCCCTTCCAGGGCGACATCACCTTCTTCAACCCTGGTCTTGGCGCCTGTGGCTGGACTGACAACGACAACTCCATGATTGTTGCCCTCTCTCACATCAAGATGGGCTCCCAGTCCAACGGCAACCCGCTCTGTGGCAAGACCGTCCGCATTCAAGCCGAGGGCAAGTCTGTCGACGTCAAGGTGACTGACAAGTGCATGGGATGTGCCGTCAACGACATTGACGTCAGCCCTGCTGTCTTCAAGGCTCTTCTGGGCGACCTTGGCCGCGGTCGCGTCGGTGGTGTGACATGGACTCTTGTCTAGGTCTACCTTTCTATTCAACACCATTTCTCACAGCTCAACATGGATTGGGATTTCGGAAGGCACCTTGACTTTCATCAGGACTGCATATTTTGGGGGGAGATGAGGACATGGCATGGTTATACCGTCAGGGGACGTGTACCTTAGTCGAGATATCTCCGCAATGCAGCAATGAATCATTCGCACTTGTCTGTTCCCGGTGATGTTTGTCTGTCTTTCACTCCGGTATGGCTACCGCGGCTGACTGGCGTTAGTTATGAGGCTGCCATTCAGCTATCTAGCTACCATCTTACCTTACTTTGCCGATGAACGTCGAGACTTGTGAAAGCTTCATTGAACAATAGCTGCCCTGCTTCGCTGGACGCCCGACAGATAACCCTAATATTAGCATTGTCATCATCAACCTCTTTGTTGTCATGAATCGTGGTTATTGATTTCATCTATATATATACTTACTTTGGCCAGCGTAACTCCAGCCAAATCACCTACCATGACGCGTATATACACTCTTCCGACTACCCATTACCAAGAAGACCGACCACCCAAGTAGATATGCAAAAAAGCAAGCAAGCCGCCCATCATCGAAGATCATAACTAGGCGTACACCATACTCAAACCACACACTACACAGCAACAGTATTCCGCTGCCGGATACTCTGCGACCTCAAAAACGAGATCTGCCCTCTCCGCACAGTCATATCCCCTCGCGGTGACCTCATATCGTCCTTATCCTGCGACATACTCGGCGACAGCTCAAGCGTATTACTCCCATACAGATCGCTCGCCGACGGAGCGGGCCGCTCATCCCGCCTCACAGACAGATAAAAGAAATCCCACCAGAAAGAATGCTCCAAATCCCTCGGCTTCCCATCAGCAGTCCAGTACCGCTCCTCCGATAACTCCCTCGACAGGTGCCGTCGGAAATAGCGGTCCTGGCTCACCCACCACGCGCGCCAGGCGACGAGGATACCGATCGTCAGAGGGATGACGGTGGCCCAGTAGACCCAGAACAGGTGGCTCAGTACGGGGATGGGATCTTTCGGGTTCGTTGACGTCCCGCCTCCGTTGTCGCTGCTGTCCGCGTCTTCGCCCGAGGCCTGCCAGTCGAACATGGACATGCCGAAGAGGGTGCCGAGGAACTCGCCGGGGAGGAAGACTGCTGTTATTACGGCGAGGGCTTTCATTGAGGAGGAGTCGCGGGAGGAGGCGACGGCCATGCGGGCGTTGAGGACGTTGTCTTCTTGGGCCATTTTACTGTAGATCTGGGTAGTGTTAGCTTTGGGGGACACGGTGAGGATGTAATACAGTGTCACTTACAATATCAATCTGGGCGCGGCACCGGGCCTCCGACATGCGTCGATCCGTCTCGAGACCCATACACATCCGCTGCAACCCCTCAAGATACTGCCGTATCTCATGCCAATGGTTCCCTAGCGGATCAGCCAGCGGATCCGGCGCCTTGGGCAGCGACCGCCTCCTCGTACTCGCAGACGACCTCGACGGCGGGCCCGTAGGCGGCTCGTCGGGCTGCACTTGCTGGTCCTGTTCATCCCTCTGATCGGCGTCCGTCTGTCGTACGTGGAAATCGTCGAGGCGAATCTTGAGTTCCCCCGTCGACATGCGCTCCGCGAGCTCGTCGCCGGCCTGCAGCATCAGCTTGACCACCCTCTCCATCCAACGCACGGTGTCTAGCAGCTTAATCGACTCTTTAAGCACGTCGTGCGCGCTCTTCATCAGGTTCGCCATGCTCATCGGCCCGGCAATCTGTGGCGTTTTCTCGTTATGCGAGGCCGCGGCCGTGGACGAGGCGAACGTTAGTCTGCGCATGAGCTTTGAGCGCTTCTCACGCTCCATTTCAAAGGCTTCGAAGCCGGCGATGGAGCTGACCTGCCATTCGAGTGCTTTGACGTGGTTGATGTTCTCCATGACGGCCTCTTCGGTGCGCATGAACTGGACTTGGAGGAGGACGACGGGGGTGATGAAGGGGTGGGCCCAGTGGGCGCGGCAGGCCTCGAGGCGCTGGTCGTATTCGTCTAGGTTCTCGAGGGAGTGCTGGCGCGGGTGGTAGGATTGGCGGACGAGGACGGAGGAGGTGCGGTTGCGGACGTCGTAGGTTAGGGACATGAAGTCGTAGGGGGTTCTTGGGTTTTTGGAGAAGGAGAGAATGAGGCCTGGTAGTGTGTAAGTCATTTTTGGTTTCTGTGAGTGAGGCTGATGGTTATCAGAGTGAATACTCACTCAGTTTGGAGCGGTCGAGAGACCAGAAGCGGGATTCGTTTGTGACGCGGCGGGAGTATTGGAGGGTGGCGGGGTGAAGATCCATTGCGTCGAGGTCTCTTGGGGTCATGGTGATACCGTCTTCTCGGCGGTCAAAGGATTTGTTGCGGCGGAAGCAGATGCTGTTGATGTTAGTCTCTGTCTGAGATGAACTACTCAATAAGGTGGGTGGACTCACACTCGTCGAACCCGTCCATCTAGAACCAACTCCGGGTGCCGTGCCGGCTCTTGTGTGAACACTCCCTACCAAGACGTTAGTTTCTTGTATGATAGTCTCGATTGGGTCATATTAGGGGACGCTCACATTATGGTCAACAGAGTACCCATGACGAAAGGCTAGATTAAGCGTGTGGTGACCCGGCACCTCGTCCTTGTGCTGCATTTGGAAACTGATATCCTCGTCGTCCTCTAGCCCCGTCTTGGCGCCCGAGGGGATGCCATTGTCCTTCTTGAAGACGACGTACTCATCGTACTCGACCTTGGAGACGGCGTTGTCGTCCGAGACGAGGATGTCGTCGCGCAAGGCGAGGGTGTCGAAGCGGAACAGGTCGGACGAGTCGAGGCCTTGGTAGCGGGCCATCAGGGCGTTTGGGGGATGGTGGTGAGCCGGGTGGTGTTTGACATGGCCAGGTCCTGGTTCGTGAGTTAGTTGTCGTCAATTGGTGAGCGAGCCTTTAATTGATGGTGAGTGAAGCTTATTCTGTAGGTGAATGAGGTGAGAGTCGGTGAGAATGAGAGTGAAAAGGGAAGTGAGTGAGATAATCATCCGCCTCCCCCCCCCCCCCTGGGTCTTTCTCTCACTCATTGATGAGGAACATGTTTTTTTTTTCTCACTCTTTCCGCCGGCCAGGTTACCTTGCCAATCTTGGCGGTTGGTCGCAGGCGGGTGGTTGGTGATTTTGGTGGGCCTCAATCGCGGGGGCGCTGTGCCGCTGATGTTGAGCTTTAAGGTAAGGTAGGCCACAGGCAACGGGTTACAGCACCCGGAGCGACCCTTCAACGGCCGCCCCTCCCTGGAGCATGTGGTGCATTTGCCCCCCGTCCAGTGACATTCCTCGCTAAAGTTTGCCTCGCCTCAGCCACCACTCAATTCCCCAGACGGCCTCGTTATGGGTCTTGGCGGGCGTCCTTGGCGGGTCTGCTGCCCGGGGTCTCGCTGTAGTGGCTGCCGGGTAACATTTTCTGGCCTGAAGACTTGCGCCGGTTGTTACTCCAAACTAAACAGCTGCGTCATTTCTCCTTCAACTTCAAAGTAACCTTCTTCATCTCAGTTTCAAAATCATCGAGTAAAAAAATAGAGTTTCGTTTGACCAAGATTCCCTTTGGCTAGTCTAGAACAGTTGATTAGCGTCTCCCGAAACCATGGAACGGCAGCTCGGCACGACCCAACCACCCCGATAGCTTCATCCCCCGGCCAGCTCCTCCACCCATCGGACCCTGTCACCGCCGATTTCCCTCACCACCGGCGCCGATATCCGTCCTTTTCTCCACCGGCTCCTGTACCGGCCCCTGTGATTCTTCGGGTGAGGCCGGCTAAGGTTTCGGCGCGTCTTTGCGCAGCTTGAATCCGCCCCTCCATCCGATCCAGCTCTTCTCTCGTGGCCCTTTGAGCATGGTGATGATCAATGACAACCCGATAAATCCAACTGTACAACATTAGCATACCGCAGCAATGACGAGACTCTGGCGAGAATACATACTTGAGGTGCCCGCGCTGTACCTCCATCCGCCCTGCGCGTATAATCTATTCCCCACCGCCGTACCCGTCAACTGGCCGCAAAACACGCACACCATGTACGCCGTGTTCACCCTGTTCCTCGCCTTGGGGTTGATAGTGTAAATCGCAGTCCGGTTGGCAGTCTGCGCGGTCTGAATACCCATATCGATGCAAATCGCCTGGATCACAGGGCCGGCAACGGTAAAAGTACCCGTAAAAGCACCAATGATACACCCGATGAGAATGACCGTCTGCCCGAGCACAGAAGACAGCCACGGCACGTATCGGTCCATGATCAATCGTCCATACACCGGCCCACCGCAGATCGCCGCTATACCGATCAGCGAGAATAAGCCGATGGTAATAGATGGGTACTCATACGGTGGCGAAGCCAACAAGAACGTCAACGTCGTCCAAAAGGACGTAAAGATGGAACTGATGAAGAATCCAATCAGACACGCCTGGACCAGTATCGGCTCCGTGAACAACATCGTCACAATCGTCCACAGCGCGCGGAAGTAATTCAGCCCGTCCGGGTTCGTCGAGGGGTAATCCGGCACGAAGAAGAAGAGCAGTACCAGCAGCAGGTTCTGCGCCCCGAAGGAGAACCAGTAGATGTTGCGCCAGGAGGTGTAGTTCGCCACGATACCGGACAGCAGACGCGCGATGAGCATGCCGAGCATGAGGCCTGATGTCGTTATGGAGAGGGAGCTTGCTTTGCGTTCGGGGGGCGCCATGTCTGCTACGAGCGGGAGCATGAGTTGTGGTGTTACTGTTGTTGCGCCCACGATGAAGGATAGGCCTAGGAAGGCTTGGAAGGAGTTTGTTAGGCATAGGCCGAGCCACTGGAGGTGTTAGGTTGATGGACTTCGCAAAAGGTCTTTGTGTTGGGTGGCTCACCAGCATCGCTGTCACCCAGATGAGGCCTAGGATGAATGGCCGCCGGCGCAGCATGTCGCCCAGAGGGCAGATGAAGAGCAAGCCTGCTGCATAGCCGGCTTGCATCAGCGTCGCGACCGACGATGCCCTCTCGAAGCTGACGTTGAATGTCTCTGCGATTCTGTTGAGTACCGGTTGGTTGTAGTAAAGGTTGGCGACGGTGAACGTCGCCGCCTGGATCGCTTAGCATCTCAATCCATCATGTGTGTATGATTGAAGGTAACTTACAACTGCAAACAGAAAGTTGAGGCCGAGAGTGAATTGAGGAGGATTCTCGGGATCATATCGCAACTTTCTCGGCGTCCACGTGAGAAAACCGACTGTCGCGCCAATAACTCCTTTGCGACTATCCTTCTTGCCGCCATCCCGATGCGATTCACAGTCCGAATTCGAAGGCGACGGTGAAGACGACCTCGTCTCGTTACCACCGCCCGTGGATACCCGCTTCTCGTCGTCGTCGCCGCCAAAGCCGCCATCCCGGACAGAGTTCGCGGCTGAATTCCGTATTACTTCCTGCGGCATGGAGGCTTCTTTTTCTTCCGCAGCAGCAGCAGCCACCGCCTCGCCAGGCCCTGCCGTTGCGCCTGCGCCTGCGCCTGCGGGCGTTGAGCCCATGTCCTTGTTGCTGGCGTCCGTGTCACCTCTGCTGCGTTCAACAGAGTTTCGCTTCTCCAACATTGGGACCCTTCTGTATTGAGACTCTGAGATCGCCCCGATTAAGCTTCTTTCTCTTCAAGTTGAAGGTATGCGACAAAGTGACAAAGTCGACAGTCTCCAGAGATTGTTTATCCGCTCGTTCGCGAAACCCTCTTAGCGTGCGGGAGTCCGTTGGGGCTAGTTGATTAGAAATGATGAAGTCATGGCGTTGAGTTGTCAATCTTTAAGAGTCGTTGCTTCTCTTTGCCCTTCAGAAAGTCCCACTAAACCTTCTGTATCCTTATTCTCAAAGCGCAAAGTCAATTCGAGGTTGTAAACTCCATGTTCTTCCCAACGGCGCATCGAAAAAGAGAAAAAGCCCGTCGGCAAACATGCTAAACAGCTCGGAACTTCGTCTATGACGCGCGACTCGTGGAGCGCTTAAAGCATTTACCGAGACTCGATTCCGGGGGATTGTCGCGGAGATAAGCGCTCCATTCGATGGCGCGAGACCGGGGCAGTGTCCTATCATCGTTGGCCTCAAGCTACTAAGACTCAAGTAAGCTTGTTCGGCCGGCACCGACTCGGCGTGGGGGGTTGCTGCTAGGGGTTAGAGCGGCTTCAGTACCGGGGCTTATTCCGATTTCCGGCTTTTTGAGACATGCGCCGGGCCGTTGGGATTGTGGTTTTGATGGAGGTTGTCTGGTCTGGGGCAGAAGATGTGTGGTGGTGTTGGGGGAGGGTGGGTGACATGGTTCTCTGTACAGACTTTATGGAACTTGAACGTTTGCGGTTTCTCCAAAACCCAGATGAAATAAAACCCAAAGAAGATTATTTCCGTAATAAACCGAGGAAAAAGAGCAAGAAATGGAGTAAAGATGGCAAAAACGCAAAAGAATTAGCACAACCTGGTTTCGATCCAGGGACCTCTGGGTTATGAGCCCAGCGCTCTACCCCTGAGCTATTGTGCTTGCTGATGGAAAATCAGCGGAAGTTAATCATATGTGTAGCTTAGCGCTCGGCCCGAGATCTTCCACCTCCAGGGATAGCCCGTGCTCATGTCCAACAAGCCCGTGTATTTCGCAGGTGCCTCGTCGTGAGGTGATGGTCATCTCCATCTGCCATAAGAAGCATCAGTAGAGTTGGTCTCTTTCCTGTAATCAGACGCAGTTCACTCTGCACCATCTTTCACAGGATGATAGCTTCGCAGCATAGTGCCCCTGAAGGCACTGTCTGCGGCGATCCCTTGCTGTCTATCCCTCGTCATTTTGTGATTCAATACGTCGAGATGGCCGAAGAGTTTTGTTGTCAAAGAGCAAACGCATAGGTGGATTAACGGAACGCGAGGACTACAAGATAATAAGCTAGGCATTGTAAATATGATGACCTTGTCGTGCCAGTGTGTGGTTTTTTGGATTGTATTGGGATATGTCACATCTCATCGTGAGAAGCACTTGGTGTCAGAAACGCTTTCCTTTTCGTTCTACTACAACCCTCGCTATCTGCTTCGATAGCTTTGCTTCCTTCGTCCTGGCTCTGAGGGCTAAATATACCCCCGCGACTGCTTCTCGCTCCATCCCCTGGAGCACTGTCTCAGAACGCAATGCCACCCTCCTGCCTAATCGCAAATGACAGAGGCCTTGATCAAGCGACTGCGCTTGTCATAGCTGTCGCCATCGGCGTTGCCAATCTTCATCAAACTGGGGGAAATGACGAACTTCACAATGCTCGAATCATCCAGATTCTTCTCGTAGACCTCAGCTTCATGCAAGTTCGGGTGGTAGTGAGTGACATCTCCAGTAGTGGATAACGTCTCGGTCCAATCGACGTAGAAATGGGCTCTGGACCTCATGAAGACTCGGTGTAGCTCGACTGCATCCTTGAAGATCTTTTCGAGATCTTTATATAGTTGGCTTTTCTGAGCCTTGTGACCAGAACGATCCCGGGGAATAAATCTGACGAGTCCCTGGTGCTCTGCATATATGACTTCTTGCATCTCGACCTCATCGACACCGATCATCCGATCGATCATGCGTCCAGAGGCTGCTTTCCACCTATGGATCTCCGATGGGTCTGCATTCGCTGCAGGATGAGCTATACGACACGGGGTATGTTAGTCCACTAAGGTAGTATGAGAGAACGACTTTTTGGCTGGTTCCCACCTAATAAATCGTGAAACAGGGCAGTGAAAAGCTGCCATGGTCGACCAGCCCAGCTCTTTCCATAGTTCTCCGGTCCGTCGGATCCGAAGAAGTGGCGGAAGACGGCACGCCAAATGTATCCTTCGACCACGCTGTCTCTCAAATCATCATTATTGAGAAGCATGAAGTGTGCACGATCCATGTGACAAACGGCACAAGACTTCTCACTGTGGCCGTGTCGAAAGATGTCTTTTTCTCGAGGGCAGGCAGTGAGATACAATGCCGCGATGTTCTGGACGTTGTAGGCCATTCGTTTCCAACAAGATTTGATCGCGTCGTCCGACACCTTGTTCGAATTGGCGATTGCTTGATTGCTTGATTTCTGGGTCTCATATGAAATAATGCGCCCTTTGAGTCCGTGAATCTGTCCGTTAAGCTCCCAAATCTGATGCTGCATTGATCGTATGTCGCGATTGCAGGCCTTCTTCAAGCTGTCCAGCTTCGTCTTGGTGTCGTCGACTTCTTTCTTGGCACTTACTGCGAAGGCTTGGAGATTTGAGTTCTCCGTCATTTGTTCCTCCAGACGTTTTCCAAGACGAAAATTCTTGTCCCGGAGTCGCTGAGTCTCAGTAGCTTCTCGTAAAACACCGTCCGCGGTGATACGGGGCCGCTTGGTTTGGCTCTGGGATTGAGCACTGGAGACGCTTTCATTTTGGGCCCGCCACTCTCGAGAAGGAACAGCCATATTTGTTCCTGTGAAATCTGTGAGATGCTGAGATTCCCTCTCGTACAGATTCGTGGTTAAGTCTGGCGGAGTCTGACCATCTTGGTTTGGCTCGGGATGAAGTATGTTCCTTCCAATGACTGCGATAGCGTCGCGCTCGCGCCTACCGCCGCGAGGAAGATTCTCAGGGGGGGCCTCGCTTGGAATCATCATGACGATGTCATCCTCCTGCTGAATAGCGAGCAAGATTTTAGTAGGTTTCGATGAGCGTCCTCGTTCTAGCTGAGTTACTTCTTCAGACTTGACGTGCTTGCCGCAATCGAACCAGGGTGGCATGATCAGGGAGCCTCGTTCGAGAGTCGTGGAGGAGAAGGGTTATTGAGTAATCTCGTGGAGAAAAGATTTGATGAAACGATGGGGGAAATAGCAATTTGGATTTCGTCCGGCTGCGTCCCTCATATAGACTCGCTTAGAAGAAAGTACGTCCTGGACTGTTCGAAGACGAAGTCGCTTGAGGGAGGTCAGTTAGGTAGTAGGAAGGAAGTCCCTTAGGTATTAATTCCAAGTGAAGAAGGTCAGGTAAGGTAGCCGGCATCGCACCTTCTTCAGACTTCAAGCAAGAGGGCCTTTAGTTCTGAGCGGTCATTCCAATTAAAGAAGGCGGGGTTATTGGAAAGTTTTCACACGAAATATCCTCTTTGTTGCCGTCAAACAATACTGTCGTAAGAGGAAAATTTCAGATTGACCAAAGGAAACTTCTGCACTCAAGGCAGGAACCCATCTCAACGCTTGCCTTCGCAGATCTTCCCAGCTTGCCTTCCTAAGAAAAGCAGGGAAGTCATCACGAACTTTCGCTTTTACCTCCCTTGATCGCTTCTTTCAAACAACACATCACAAGGACTTTCAATTTACCTCCTCAGTTATTCGAACTCAACTACCTGATATTTTGCCTTGCCCTCTTCAGAACTTTTCTGCCACGTCTTTCTACCTCGAGATAGTGGGTAATAGCTCTCTCACGATAGCTGACCTTCCCCTTCAACTTTTTATACTTTACCTGCCGCTTCACCTCTCATTTTACCTCTCACATCACTCCTTGACACATCTCTATCTAACCTATCCATCACTCTTCCCAGAAGCGAAGTTTCCCTAGAGTAAACACCTGGCTAGACGTTCTTTCCTTGGCCGCCACAAGGCTTTTTCTTAAACTTTCCCTCTCAACCACCTCATCTTATCAGTCCCCGAAAACGAAGGCAAGCAATTCCGGCCTCAAGAATCTTGAGGGACAAAGTTATCATGGCAGACGACGAAAACGCGATAGTCATCGGCATTGACTTCGGCACGACGTAAGAACATGTTTCGTGGCATTCTGTTCATCGAGCGTCCTAGCTAATAATTCGCAGCTTCTCTGGAGTCAGTTGGGCATTCTCTGGTCAACCCAACGACATCGAGGTCATCACCAGATGGGAAACGGAGCTCAACTTTGCCTCGGACACCGAGAAGACGCCAACCACCGTTCTTTACGAAGGCACCCAAGGCGCCATCTCTTGGGGCCATGGAGTCTCAGTTGAAAAGAGCCCGGATGCAATGAAGTGGTTCAAGCTTCTCCTGATTGATGATGCTGACCTTCCCAAGAAACTCCGGACTTCTTCGCAACTTGCTACAGCTAGAAAGCTGGTGAGAGAAGCAAACAAAGACCCTGTTGAGGTGATCAGCAGTTATCTTCGACTTCTGTGGAATCATACCATTGAGTGCATTGGTATCTCTGCGGGAAATGACCTCATCAAGATGTGCAAGTTCCACGTTGTCATCACCTTGCCCGCTATCTGGCCAGACTATGCGAAGGCTCGAATGAAGCGAGCAGCCGAAAATGCCGGTCTTCTCAATAAACGCCTTGCTGGAGCGACCACATTGTCCTTCATTTCGGAGCCCGAGGCCGCAGCTCTGGCTACTTTGAAGGATCTCGCAGGACGACCAAACATCAAGGTATGATCTGTTGCTCCTTATGTAACAACGATTGGTAAGCTGATGGCACACCTAGGTGGGCGACTACTTCGTTGTTTGCGACGCTGGAGGAGGCACCGTCGATCTCATCAGTTACGAGATCCTCAAGTTGAAGCCGATGGTCGTTCGAGAAGCCATCAAGGGAGATGGCGACCTGTGTGGCGGCGTCTTTCTTGATGAGGCATTTGTCGAACTCCTCAAGAACAAGGTCACCCCTCAAGCTTGGAGTAATATCCCTAAGGATGATGCCGCGAACATCCTCAATGGAGACTGGGAACACGGAATAAAGCAGCAATTCGACGGTCAAGTTCGCGACTGGCACATTAAGCTGCCTCCCGAGTGCATAGCCAAAGGAACACCTAATCGCGGCATCAAGCGGAAGAGAAACCTGATTCTCAACTTGCAAAACCTCATCCCTGTGTTTGACCCGATTGTCACCAAGATTGCAGCACTCGTGCAAAAGCAGATCAATGGTGTTCGCTCCAAGTTTGGCAAGCTCCCTAAGGTAAGAAGATCCGCTCAACGTCTTCCTTAAGGATAGCTTCCTGACATACCGACAAAAAAGAATGTCATTCTAGTCGGAGGATTTGGCAGATGCCGCTACCTCCGTACTCATCTTCAACGCACCATTGACAAGAACATTGCGCTTCTTCAGTCTTCGGGTACCAAGCCGTGAGTTACTCGACTCTTCTCTTTGTACTCTTGCTGATCTGTTCAAGCTGGACCGCCATCTGTCGTGGTGCAGTAATCCAAGGTCTGGACCATTTAAACCTGTCTTCTGGACTTTCAATCAGCGTCAAGTCTAGAATCGCCCGAGCTAGCTATGGAGTCGAGTATAGGACGACCTTCGATCCCAAGATTCACAGCAAGAAGTCCAAGATCTGGTGCGAAGAACAGCAGGAATGGAAAGCAAATCGCCAGATGAAGTGGTTTCTCGAACAGGTATGTTATCCCACTAAACAATGCAAACAGGCAATCACCCTAACAATGCTATAAGGGTATGGATGTTTCCAGTACAGATCCCGTTCGGGAAGATTACTACCGGCTTTTCAAAACTGCGCCAAAGGAGATTTCAGACACCTTGTATATCAGCACTGCTTGGCCTCCTCCAAAAGAGATGAACAGCCATGTCAAGAAGCTGTGCGACATCACTTTCAGCAAGAAACTCGACTTCGAGAATCTGCCACATTGGACCAATCCGTTGGGAAAGGTGTTCTACAAACTGACATACTTTGTCGACATGAGCTGCGCCGGTGCGAGCATTGACTTTACCATCATTCATAACGGCCAGAGCGTGGGAGCCAAGAACGTTTCGGTGATCTTTGAGTCTGAGGAAGGCGACATTAAAGCGTGATCTAGCACCGCCTGAGCATCAACCTTTCGCAATGCCGAGACTGGGTTAGCAGGAAGGAATTGGGTGCTTTTCTAGGGAAAAACGCCAGGGAAATATGGGAATGCTCGTGAATATCAAATCATCCAGGAATCGTATAGAGCAAGCCCAGCTAGCATTTGCTCTCAGCTCGCTTCATAGAAACATAGACGTTGAACACATCAGGAACCTCAAGTCCGAAATCGTCGAATGCCGGGAATGTTGAAACAATGTAGTAACAGATAAGAGATAAGAAGAGGACTATAACTTTGTCTCTGAGTCCGTGAATCGTGATTACGCTGGTAGATCGTGTTCGTCACCTGAAGTCAGAGGATGTTTTGATTAGCAAGGCATTCTGGCACCTCTGGTATATTTCCTGGACGTCTTACTTAATGTCAGGAAAGACGCACCTTTGACGGCTGTGGATTGCAGTGAGAGTGAGGCAAGTTTTAACGAAATGGGATCCTCCATACTCGGGACCGCCGGCCGCTTGACTATCATATTACTCCATGCGCCGGAGTTTCATGTGCTTATCTCAGCCTCAACGAGTTGACAAGTTTCACTGAACCACGACATCGAGGCGTCCTAAATGGGAGAAAGCGCGTATATTGCATTGGTCCACACATTAGGAAGACTGTGTATAATGCGCTAGACCGGGCCCAGCATGTTCCAAATCTACAACTATGGTGTTTCTTACCTGCAACCCGTCAGCTTGGGCTCCCGGAAGCTTATCAAAACCATCACCCGCTCGACTCGTCATCATGTCACGTCGGCAGAAATCCAATCGGACAGCGGTGCGAGGGTGGTAAGATTTGGATTCCCCAGATATCCGGGACGTTGGACTACCCTCATCCATGGCCTGTATGATGGGCTTTGTATGCATGCTTCGTCAATGCTCAAGGGTTAGTGAGGTTGCGGTAAGCGCTGGCGCCGGTTCAAAGAGGCTGTTCTACGGACCGACTATCCGTGCGCCTCCGTGTAACCTGAGTTGTCTTCTCAGCGGCATCATTCGGAAGCTCAAAGGCGTGTATAGCTTGGGTCAAATGGATCGTTATCGCCTGGGCTGTCTTTGCTGCAGCCTGCGATTCAACGCCAAACCCAGAATTTTGGCGGGTTAGCTGGTAAGCTCGCTCACTGCAAGAGCTGGCTTGATATGCTGCAGCTGTATACAGAGCTTACACGCTGACTCTGCTTCGAGATTCACGAGATTGCGGAAGCCATTGGTCCAGATGGCTCGAGGTCAGCTTACAGCTTGATGGCGTATGAGCCTGAGATAACGGTGGTCGAAGGAGGAGAGAGTCGGAAGAGTATTTGAACGTTTGCGGATCCGGGAAACAATGTAGAAGGCCACAGTGTCTCACGCTCGACGGCTTCACACTCGTATTTTTCAAGTGCCAACCCTCGACAATATGATAGCCAAGGCTGAGATTCAGCCCCAGACCGGAGGACCGCTGGAGAAGGCAGACCAGCCCGATTCCTCTTCCACCGAGGGCCCTCTATCAGGGGACAACACCGACACGAAGCGAGGCAAAGATGCCGTCTTCATCGAGCCTATCCGTACCGTCACCGGGGTTAAGTGATACCTCATCGTCTCCGCCATCTTCTCCTCAACCTTCCTCTTTGCCCTGGACAACACCATCGTCGCCGAAGTGCAGCCTCAGATCGTGTTGCAGTTGGACTCCATCAAGGACGTTGCATGGCTTGCCGTCGCTTTCATCATGGCGGCCACGGCTGTTAACCTCTTTTATGGCCAGCTGTATTCACATCTAAAGCCCAAGTGACTGGACATCGCTAGTGTCCCTGTCTTTGAAGCGGGTAGTGCTCTCTGCAGCGCGGCGCCAAACATGACCAGGCTCATCGTCGGGCTTGCGCTGTGCGGTCTCGACGGTGTTGGTATGTATCTCGAAGTGGTGGTCCTCGTCGCAGCGACCATGACGATTCAGGAGCGACCTGCGTATCTCGCTAGTATCAGGATTACGTGAAGGCTATGAACCCTGCTTGGACCGGTGGTGAGAGGCGCTTTTGCTGACTCGGATGCGACGTGGCGGTAAGTAGCCTTAGCTATGATTGATGGCCTCCACGGTGACTGACGCCAGAGAGTTGGGCCTTCTACATCAACCTCACCATCGGCGGCCTAGCCGTGCCCGTCTATCTCTTCATGCTCCCATCCCCTGACCCTCAGCCTGGCGCGACCATCCTGCAGCGACTCGTCGAGATCGGCTGGATCGGTGCTCCGCTGATGCTCAGCTCCATCGTCTGCTTCACCATGGGCATCTCGTTCGGCGGCGTCCGGTACGAGTGGGACTCGGGCTCCGAGATAGCACTCTTCGTTGTCGCAGGCGTCCTTTTCATCATCTTCGGCGTTCAGCAAGCGTACTGCATCGGTACAACCAAGGAGCGCCGCATCTTCCTAGTCGAGCTCATCGCCTCTCGCAGTATTACCGAACCATCATCCTCATATTCTGCATTACGGCGGCCGGGGGCTGCGCCATCTTCGTGCCGGTGTACTTTGTTCCCATCTTCTTCCAGTCCACGAGAGGTGACAGCGCCATCAACGCGGCTGTCCCCCTGCTTCCGTTCAGCCTAGTCATGGTCACCGTAACTCTAACGCATGACGGCATGCTATCGCATCCGTCCGGGAAGTTCGGGCTGTACATGCCGTGATTCACCGTCGGCGGCATCATCAGTATCATTACTTCCACCTTGATGCATGTCGTCAAAACTGACACAAGCACAGCCTGGATCTATGGTGCCTCAGCCATGCTCGTTGCTGGCGAGTAGACTTTCCCACAAGCGGGCTTCTCGATTGCCCAGGCCAGCGTGCCGGCACCCAAGGCTGCTGTTGCGTCCTTTTTGATTCCTTTGGCGCAGACGAACGGTATCAACATCGCGCTGGCAGTCAGTAACGCCGTGTTTCTGAACAGAGCTGAGAAACGGCTGACTGCGATTCTCCCGGACACTGTCACGGAGGCCCAGATCCAGGCTGCGATTGCTGGTGTCGGGACGGACTTTGTCACGACGCTGTCTCCGCGGATGCAGCAGGAGGTTCTCGAGGCTATCGTCGAGGCTCTGAATCTGCCTTATATCTTGGTCAACACTGCTGGGGCACTTGTCTTGGCCTGTAGTGTTTTGATGAAGAGGGAACGCTTGTTGATGCCGGCTGATGTAGGAGTTTGAGGATCTTTGGCAGATGATGAGGGATGAATAAGAATAACGAATCTATACGAAGATATTGAATCTTGGTGAAGAGATCATAGATAGGAACATCATAATATTAAAGTTGTCCGAATGGGCATAGAGTCTGATGAGATGAGAGCATTGAAAATGAGAAAACTGATGTTGGATGTAGGACAACCAGAACTACTCTTCGTTTCCTCAGAAGCGACATGGTTCTTACTTGAAGTGTTAGTCTCATCGCCACTGAAGGCATGACTTGGCCGAGTAAAGGTATCAGTGCTCAGTGATGAGTGAGATGCACATGAAATCGTTGGAGGGTTACCCTATCAGTCACTTCAGGTTCGCCTTGGGACGGTTGAAAGGCAGCTTGGGCTACTTAATCCCAGGACGACTTGGAGGCAAATGCCACTCGCATCTGGATCTGCCAAGATGCAGGCCTTGGCCGAACCACCAAAAATTTCCATTTGAAAGACGACTTGACATATCTGGTCATCAGCGACATCAGGTCGCTTGAGTGCCGCCGCTCAATTTTGTTCCGTGATGTTACCTTCCCTCCGGCATCAAGCAGGTATTCTTCTTCGAATAGTTCCTCAACGTAGAGACCAACAGGCAAACATCAATCGTCGCGCAGAAGAAGAATGAGTTAATCCAGGAGGATGAGTACGCCCTAAAGACCCGTCTTGCGAAGCTCGATACGAGTCTCAAAACAAGGTCCCTCGACAGTGCTCAGGAATGAATGAGATGCACCATATAAGTAAGGCAAGGGATGAGTGAGATGGAGTGAGATGAAGAGTGAGGTGAGGTCGTCGCGGTGGAGCGTGCACTCACTGGACGGGCCGTGCGGAGAAACGGGTCCCAGCGCGTCTTACCTAATGCGCTCATAGACCCGCTATTTTAAAACAGAGCCACAGGGGGACTGCAGCTCCATGTTGCAGGACAGTTTCGCTCTAACCCGTTGCGGCCGGTCCATCCCTCGGTCGGAGGACGTCCAAAAGTTGACACCTCTTCGGAAACTCAACCACAGCTCTGAACCTCTCATCAAATCCCGGAGCTCCGTCGCGAAGTCATCCAAATTCGCCATCTCCCCCTATTACCAACGACGACGACGACAACGAAGAGACGCGCCGCCACAGATCTCGGCCCGCCAAACACAGCATGAGTTCATGAGAACAGGGTCCCATCGTGCCCTTGCTGCTGTCATTCGTCACATCCCGCCATGGCCCTCCCTCTCGTGAGAGGCCATCCCGTCCGCGGACTCTGGATCGCGTTCCTTCATCTCCTTTTCGCGGCTTCGGTATGCGCCTACACACCGCTCTCAGCAGCCGTGCTCAAGAACGTCACCGTATCCGAGGCCGACTTTGACATTCACAACGGCCCATTGCTGGCCCCCATTCTCATCCCCCGAGTGCCCGGCACGGATGGGCAGCTCAAAACTCAACAGCATTTTGTTGATTTCTTCACCAAGAACTTGCCGAAATGGAACATCCAATGGCAAAACTCAACAGATAAGACACCCGCCACGGGAAATATCGATATCCCGTTTCAGAATCTCATCATCAGGCGCGAACCACCATGGACGAAGCCTGGCCAGGCCAACTATCTCACCCTGGTGGCGCATTACGACAGCAAGATCGAACCCAAGGGCTTTATCGGCGCGACGGATAGTGCTGCGCCGTGCGCTATGCTTCTGCACGTTGCGAGGGCGCTGGATCCGATGATGACCCAGATGTACGATGAGATGGTGGCTCTTGGGGAGAATGGTGGCACAGTTCCCCAGGATATGGGTCTGCAGATTCTGCTTCTCGATGGAGAGGAAGCTTTCAAGTCCTGGACGGACACCGACTCACTATATGGCGCCAGGTCAGTTGAGATACGACACAGCATGAGATCTTACCTCACTAACATCTTGCTGCAGGTCCCTGGCTCTCGAATGGGAGAACACATTCAACCCCGCCATGTCTCATTACAAGAACCCCCTGGAGCAAATCAGCATGTTCGTCCTGCTTGACCTCCTCGGCTCAGCAGAGCCCAAGGTCCCTTCCTACTTTCAGTCAACCCACTGGGCCTACAAGGCCATGGCCGACATTGAGAAGCGCATGCGTGACCTCAACTTACTCGAGAGCAAGCCCAAGATGCCGTTCCTGTACGATATCAACAAGGTGAACAAGATGTTTGGACGTAGTGGCATCGGCGACGATCACGTCCCCTTCATGATGAAGGGCGTCAATATTCTGCATATGATTCCCTCGCCTTTCCCAGACGTATGGCACACCACGCAGGATGATGGGGAGCACCTCGATATGCCGACAGTGAGGGACTGGACGAAGATTGTGACGGCATTTACGATGGAGTGGCTTGACGCGATGGAAATAATGCCTGAAGAGGCCCAGAGGTAGCATACGTAGAAGTTGAACTGTCGAAGCTGAACTCCGTCTTTGCTCCCAACCATGTCTGTTCACTGCTTGCTTTTTTGTGTAAGCAGATTCAGAAGCCACATTTGAAATTATTCTGTTTGTGGTGGAGTTCCTACCTTGCTCAAGGTCTTTGTCATTGCTGTGGTAAATCAAGTAAATGCTGAACCTCTTTACAACAAGGGGACAGCCACCAGAACCTCAAAGGAGCGACTGTAGCTTGGGCGTCTGTTCAGTAAACCAAGAAGCTGCTATGCGTAAATACAGATGGCTTCGGCATTTTAATTATCGCTCCTTTCACAGAATTGCTATAAAGCAGCCCATTTCCTCCGGTGTTGGCTCAAAAATGCTGCAAGCTCTTCGTCTAGCACTGCCTTTCCTCAGTCTTATTTACAACTTCACTGTGCTACACTCGTAAGTCCAACGATTGGAATAGTGGATAGAAGTCACTAATTATTTTCTTCCTTTCCCTTCGTGCCAGACCCAAAGCTTACGAATGAGAAAGTGCAGCTTGATATCCACGATTTCCGACGGTCGTCAACGAGACCTATCCATATTTCCTTTCCACATTCCCCAAACAAATTCGTCATACAATATCTACCGACAAGATGTGGGAGATACTCCGAGCTGTTTTAATGGAAGACCATCCTATCCAGCGAATCAGTAAATCGGGCGATTTCCGCTTCATCATGCCCAACCCATTTCCTCTACCTCAGCCTATGGACAAAACTTGGAGGTCACGCTTGGAAATCATTGTCGACTCCGACACCGTCAAAAAGACTTCAAAACCGCTGGCCAAATTGATGGGGTCAGTCGTCGGAGATACCATGTTGCTGGAGAAAGATCATGTCGGTTCAATGTTCGTTCTCCTCGCAATCGTTCACGAGCACCCTCTGGACATCCTACGAGCCAAAATCCTAATCAGCGAGCTTCAGAGCCTAGTCCACCACGCAGACAAGTATGGCCTCGTCCACCGTCTGGAAACGTGCCTCAAGAGGTGGATGCCCAAGCAAGAGGAATGGACGGACCCTCAGTTTTGGGACGATACTGCACACACCGCCTGGATTGCCAGCACAATCGGCGCGAAAGATATCTACGAACAAGTGATTGCTCGCCTCGCCATCCAGTACACTAATGTACCTTCCAAGGACCATCTGATAAATCGCTGGTCTGATAGTGTAAGAATCTATAAAACAGTTCAAGGTGAGTAATGCGCCTTTTCCAATTGCTGGAGAGTGGGGAAACGCGACGTGACCTAACGGAAACAGTTGACGTAGAGAAATTCCGCCAGAAAGGCATGGTGGTCGTGAGACAAAAGCTTAAGGATTTTTATGACAATGCCTCAGAGAACAAAAATTGTCAGAAGGAGCAAGCAACCGCAGAAGAACACAAGAAATGCAATTTCAAGATCGCCAGCTCCTTCAAACATACCATCAAGGCAGCTGGACTTGAGTTCGCAAGCTTCTTTGAGTACACAGGAGACGGAGATGGGACACTTATTGAAAAGATGGATAAATGCACCTTGGAGATTCTGAAGACAAAATGCCCCACGATTGAGGGCTACGAGTCTTGTGATCCTTTCGTTAAGACATTTAGAGTTGATGTACGGAATCAGGAGGGATTGTCGCTGGAGCTCACCGACGAACAGAAGAAAGACTTCACACGGCGGGCTTTGATCTCGGGATGGGGGGCCCCCAAAACCACGCTGAACTAATTGAATAGACACCAGAAAGCACAGCTTTGGGAAATCACTGCTTTCTCAAAACTCGACAGGTAATTATGCACCCAGAGCTCTAATCATTTTATTTATCAGAACATACAGGGGGAGCGCGTCAGGAAAGGCAGTTTAATAAGGGAGAAATAGCAAAAACACAACCAGTTCATTCTCCTTGCTTCTTCTCTTCCAAGTCAATTACGGTATGGTTGGGGGATGAGCTATTGAGAAGGTGGTCCGGTAGTCCCAAAGTGTACCCGATATCTACAGTCCGAAAACGACTGAATACTATCATTCCTTGGCTTTGGGAAAGTTAAACTCAGACAAAGACCGGGCACACCGCTTCAGTCTCATTTTCGCTTGCTACTGCAGTAATGATGTGAAGCCACATCGAAGCCTCGATAAGTAAGCAGTTCCACTCGTGAGTGTGCTACCAATGTAACTCCGAGCAAAAGTGGAGGCAGTTGAACGAATGCTGTGGAATGATAATGTGCTAAGGTAGCTCGAAAGAAAAGACTCATAACTAGTATGGCCAGAATTAAACGAAAAGGAACCCGGACTACCTCGATACTACGAGCTAGGCGGTAAGCTTCTGCTGAGTGACCCAATATATCACCAAGTCCAAAATCTCACCTGCGCTATGAGGCGTGCCAAGCCTGACCTGGGGCCGGGCAAACGCTGCTGGCCGCCAATTGCATTCTCACAAACCCGCCTGTTGCCTTTGTGTTACTGGGAACCAAACACTGAGATTAATCTCTTTGTGGCGGGTTCCAAATTGCTGTTTTGATACAGTGTCTTTGTTCCAAGTACGGTAAAACGCACCAATCTTTACCCCCGTCACCTCCACGAGGGCAATGAGCCGAGGGTCAAAGAAATGAATCATTTCTTGGCCCATTGCCCCAAGAGTAACCTTTCAAAAATCCGCACTCTCTCCATAATGCCAATCCAAATAGTAGTTCGCATCTCCTGGCGCAAAAAGAATATAAATCAGCCGCCTGCTTCCCCTACCTTATCTTTGATGGGAGGAACGACAGACATATGAGTACTCCTTCAACGCGCTATCACACATCAACATATCAAACGCACTACACCGCATAGAGCTCGTAAGTCTCATATCAGACTGCAGAGGAAAATGCAAGAATCCTAGACTTTAATCTCAAAGCTTATAATCGGACAGAAGCTTCCTGGTTTCTACCGACCTATATAGGAAGCAGCCTTGATTTCGGGAACATGACATCTTCTGATACCGACGACTACCTGAAGTCAATCATTCCAAATCTGCCGTCGGGCGAAACTATTGAGTTTAGCGAAGATGGTTCCACGTCTCTTCACTCCTTTAACGTAGGGGGTAAAAGTGGTGAAAGCACAAACCCTACGATGGGGGTCACGGCCATCGTTTCCCTAGAGGTAATGACGGAAGCTGCAAACATGAAGAAAATCGAGGCATCCTATGAACACGATTTCGACTTTTCTTTTTTTACGGACAAAATATCGCGGGGCTATATTAGATCCATATTAATTCTCTTCGACATCGCCCACGGTACCGAATTATTTGTCCCAAACAAGGCCTCCGTTCTCGGAAAAACACCAGTTCTGAAAAAGATCTCTGTCCGTGACCTCTATTGTCTGGTTTATGATACTCAACCACTCTATCTCCAATCTCTTTTGGGTCCGTATCTACCGCATTGGATGCCCACACAAGACGAGAAAGACAACCTGAGCACAGCAATGATTGAGGCCGCTATCAATGTAGCTTGGGAAATTGGCGCGGGAGGTTTATATGACGATATGGCTGATCGCTTGGGCTTTATATGTGAAGTCAACAAGCGAAACAAACCTGAGAAACCAGGTTGCAGGAGTTTGTCACCATCTTATCGCAAACTGGGCGGAGAGACAACAAATGTTTCCAGTGAGTCTTGAGCGTCTTCATCGTCAAGGAGTTGAAGATTTTCTCTGGTCTAACAAAACTGACACTACGTAGCCGACGTGGCTTTCGTTCGTACAGAGAGACTCAAATTCCTCTTCAGTGAGCTGAAATACGTCATAACGTCCTGTGATAGCGGTGTAGGCTGCCACTTCAACGATAGTTTGGATGATGACGATGAATGTAGCTCCAAAATCATCCATTACATGTCTCCCGGTTCCAGTGACGGACTATATACAACGTTCGAGCGGTTCGGCCTGAGTCGGATCCTATCTAGCCTGGATGATACCTCGATCTATACAGGCAGTGTTCAGAGCCTGCTCGAGAGGCTCTTGGAAGTGGAATGCCAGACCATGGATGGCCATGAATCTTGTGATCCTTTTAAGAAGATGCGAGACAACTTGAAAAGGGATTCAAAGTGGTCTCCTCTGCAGCTTGCCGTGAGAAGTCGGGAACACTTTACTGAGCAAGCTCTTGTTTACGAATGGACGCCGCAAGTGGATGACTGTTTCATCTATTAAGAAACACGCAAAGTGCTTCATCATTCATAGTGAGAAGAGACCCTTCTAAGGGTTGGGTTCAGAGCGCCCCCTACAGCATGTGTTGAAGCATCGGGTAGGTACAAGCGGATATTGTAACTAGACTTGGCGCCCACGGACGAAACATGAGGCAGGAACTATTTAGCAAATCGTCTGAATAAAGTGCAAGAGTTTTCACCCATACAGCATCTGTTACTTTCATTTCGGAATCTCCATTTCTATTTCCGAATTTATCTGGTGAAGAACTATCCATGGAGAGGTTAACTCTGATGGTCTCAAAGTGTGATATTGGGAGGGAATAGAATATGTGATATTGTTCCGATGGTTCGAGGAAGACTTTTTGAGTTCCCTCAAAGAAAAGACCGAAAGATGGGGGTGTCTCCTATGTGTTAGGCCGATGTTATCTGAAATACAGCCTAGTATTGTGCTGATAACGCAACAAACAAACAGTAGTGTCGCGATTTGATACACGCCCTGTTTAATTCGCAACGACGGTTGCACCGTTATGAACGAGCGATTCGAAGTCCAAATGAGCACCTCAGAAGTCTTTGCTCTTGAAAACCATCTTTTACGATGTAATATACGTACCTGTAGGGTATGGCCAAATCGGCACCTAACGCCTTAACGCATCCAGATTTGGAGTACCTCAACCTTGGTGTTGATAAAAGATATGAGGGAAAAAATCGAGTCGAGTGATACTCAGTGTTGCATGAATACCTGGAGGCACGGAGGTAGGTTGTGTGTTACGCGCCTGCTCAATGCCCCATAAGATGGACCAAGTCGCGCGCTTTCAGGCATGCCAGTTCCGGCCGAGCAACCGCAGTCAAGTGTTACCAACACTGTTACAAACTGACTTGCCGCTTTACCTTGTGTAACTACCTAGGAGGCACAGACTCGGACGTTTCCTTCCATGGCGGGGGTGCTCAAACCCCTGTTCTTACACAGCGTCTTTGTTACTGCTACAGGAAATCAAAGAACCTTCACCACCATTACCGCCACCAGGAGCATTTGACCGAGTCCAAAGGAATGAATTCAACCTTGATCCCTTTGCCAATGACTCCGATTCACGAGGCGCTCCTCAGTTTCTTGTGTGAGGTGGAATATAAATGAGTCATCTGCTTCCTCGAGGTGAAATAGAACAGACGATAAACCTCCGCTTCAAAGCGCCGTAATTCGCCATAGACTTTGAACAATACTCTACCATTCAGATTGCTTGAGTTACGCATTGCATATAAGGTGTTGCATCGAAAGTTGTTCAGCGAAGAGCAGCTTGACTATTCCTAGGGACATTGACAGCCGCTGTTTGCTTCCAGACATGACATATACGGAGACGAAATGGGATTCGATAGTCGCGAGAATACCGGATGACCGGGTCATTGTGTTTTGCGAGGAAAAGCTCCTCTGCTTCGACATTGACAATGGCACCGACTTGTCACTCACGATCTTCGTTTCCCCTGAGAAACTGACGAAAGCTTCCCCTGATGTCTTCATGTTTGAGCCAAATTGGCAAAATAAAGAACAACGCGTGGATAAAATGCCATCCAACAATCCCCAAGCAATGCTGATCCTCCTTGCGATCATCCACGATGAGAAGCGCTTCATCCCGGATAAGGTCTGTGTCATCCAGCTCTATGGTCTTTTGGCACATGCTCGACAATTTGGTCTCACAGGGAGTTTGGGCCCGCACCTCCAAGATTGGATGCCCACAGAGAAAGAAAGAACCGACTCGCCTGACAAGGAATACATTGCCTGGATCGCTTGGGAGATCGGCGCGAAAGAAATATACAACGAAATGGTCAATCACCTAGGCTCTATGTGCTCCGGTGATGGGAAAGGTGGCATCCGGTGGCCAGAGACACCCGACCCTATAGAGAAATTTCTTGCCGAAGCGAGAATTATTGGTGAGTCTTTCATACTCTGGTCATCAGCCATCCAAGTAACCGTGTATCCTGCATAACAGTACTGGTATCTGACGGAAAACAGAGGACATAGCAAAGGTCCGAAATCGACTCCTAGGTTTCATGTTCACAGAGCTTAGAAAGATCATGAAATTTGGCGAGAATGATAGCAAACACTGCCTTGAAATCGAGCCCACAGACAGTAATCTAAATCACGATCCATGCACAGGCCTCATCCGAACAATGATGACTGCAGAGTCCTTGACCACCATCTGGGGAGAGCAAGGTTTCGATGTTGCTCTTCTATTCGATCAGGATGTATCGAAACATCCGGATTATTCAGGCAGTGCCACAGAATTACGAAACACACTCTTGAGTGTGGAGGTCAATTATGATGAGTTACATGACCATTGCAATCCTTTTGAAGGAATGAAAAGAAAGTTGGGAGACGAATCTTACTTGGAACATCTAGACCTTGTTTCAACGCAAGAGAAATTGGACCAATTTCAAGCGCGAGCTCAAATATCGGGATGGAAGCCACAGTAGTAGTTTCGTCCTCAGTCCACAAACATGATAAACTATTGATTCTTCATGGCTTTGGTTGGACTCTCAGAAGTTTCTATTAGAGAAGTCTTTGGCTCGTTGGTTTCCGAGAAGCGAACAATGATTGAAGCATAGCTACCTAGATCTTCGGTGTTGGAGCAGTTGTGCATTCGTTCCCAGTAGAGTCTTTCTTTCTCCGTTAGGGTGAAATCGGCAATTTTGAAGTTGGACTAAAAGGACATTCCATGATGTTTCAAGTATTGACTCATGACTTTCCTGGAACTTAAATGATTGACTGGATTTATGGAATTCAAGGAGAGGGAACTGCCGAGAGAGGAGGGCTGTGGTTGAAATTTGAGTGTGATGTCCACAGATGAATTCATACAGCTTCCTCCATCAAGATTCACTTTCAACTTACACCGATCTTATACTTGTTTGCTAGTAGAACTGTGTCCCTCTCAATCGTTCGTTCCACAACTCTAATGGGTGGTTCGCTCAGTTTTCTTCTCTCGTGCACGTAAAAACACGCAACACGCCTCTGCAGACTCTAAAACAGGTAAAAATGACTGATTGACCATTAGCTTTCTTTCCTCCTGCCCAAGGTACTCAGAACCTACCTCCGTCTAGTATCTAGATGAGTACTGCGGCTCGGTGCTCAGTGACCCAGGGTATAAAGCGTAAACCCCGCTCGTAGATGTACCATATGCATATGTACCATATCTAAATGCAAGCTGTTTAGTCGCATACACTTGATTGAGGCTCTGGCCAGAACTCAGAATAAGCCAACGCAAGCACCCACCATGGCGTCAGCCACAGAGAACTCGTCTGACGTCCCCAAAGATTCCGACGAACCCAAACCCAATGGTCCCGAGCGAGCGGGGTCTCCTATCGCGACCGAAAAGGTCTCCTTCGACGATCGAGGCGACCTCACTCTCAGAGTCGGCAGTTTAGAAGATGGGAGCGCCGACGTGTTCGACTTCGTCGTCTGCTCTAGGGCACTGGCGCGCGCGTCTCCCGTGTTTCGAGCAATGCTTTTTAGTGGATTCTCGGAGTCGAAGCCCGAGGGAGACACCTGGATCGTGAAGCTTCCCGAAGACCGCCCTGCGCCCTTCTTCATTCTCCTCAACATCATCCATGGTTGCTTCAGTGCGGTCCCGCAGAAGCTGGAGCTGGATGAGCTCTACCAGCTACTTGTTGTCACGAACAAGTATGACATGTTATCGGTCATATTCCAGTGGGCGCCAATCTGGTTCGAACCTCACAAGAACCTCGATGCGATCTCGGAAGGGAACGAAAGATTATTATGGATTGCTTGGGAGCTCGGAGAGGAAAGGACCTTTGAAGTGAAATGTCGAGATTTTGTCCTTGGGTCCAAAGTCAACCCCGAAGGGCAGATCGTTGATAAGATAGGGGTCCCTCTCAACACTTACGATTGTTATGAAGCCAGAGGCATAATAGGTGGGTTCCTAAACATAAAATTATGGAATAAGTCTGCTTAACAAGCCGCAATCAGATGATATCACAAAGGCTCGACAGGATATTTTGAATAAATTGAGTTCAGACTTTCACGCCGCCATTCGGGAAGGATTAAAAGGCCGAGAATGCAAAAAAGAACGGCCCAAAGAGCAGCCTGAATCGCATTATGCTGGCTATCATGGATATGGGCATCCTCCTACCAAGACTCCTGCCCTGTCTGCGACTGATTGGACAGCGATCAAGGACCGGTGCAACGACACTGCCCTGGTTGAAGTAATGAAAGCTGTCGAACGTCTCGGTCTTGGGAAATTTGGGGTACCTCAGGAAACTAGAACACGCTTTCTCGGAAACGTCAACGCCATTTGGTATTTGATTTTCAGCCTCCGATCTAAAAGTCAAGCGGTCCACAAGATATGCTCACCTTTAAATCAAATCATGGATCGATTCGAAGGTTTGATGGGGGATTTCAAGTCACCAATCTCGGACAATAATCTCAAGTACATGAGGAACCAGGCCAAGAAGACTGCCATTGGCGGAGATAGATCAGAAGAGACGGAGGAGCCGCAAAAGAAGAGGCCTAGATTCTGAAGTACGTAAAGGGAAACTGAGCACTCTGATGCGGGGGAAAAGGTCAAACGTATACCGTGGCTTTTACGGAGAATCAGACGGGATGGTGGCTGAGCAGTGACACTACTGCTGCTTCATCAAAGTATGGCTTTGCGTTATCAGTTCTGCAATATGTTGTCTCCGGATGTGGCCAACCAATTCTCCTCGCATTTGACAGAACAGAAAAGAAAACGCTACCGCGAAGCATACAGTGGGTCGTACTTCATCGGCGCAACTTCAGATACGAGCTCTTCGCCTGAGCCCTCTTCTCACGCAAGATGTTCCTCTCCTCGGCCGAGTACAGCCCATCTCCCGTCTTCTCCCCAAGCCTCCCCCTAGAAATGTAGTTCTCCTCCAGCCAGTCCGTGTACCCAGCCTTCTTCGCATCCACGACCCCCATGTTCACCCTGTTCCTTTCAACCTGCCACACAGTGTCCAGCCCGACCTCGTCCATCTTCTCACAGGGCCCTTTCTCGGCGTGGAAGAAGTCCCTGAAGAGGGCGTCAATATCCCGGGGTGAAGCGAGTTCCGCCTGTAGGATGCGTAGCGTGTCTGACTTGACGGCGGACCATATCCGGTTGAAGACGAAGCCGACTGATTCATGGGGAAGTGCCAAGGGGTTGAAACCCACGCTCTTCATCTGCTTCTTTAGGAAGGGCATGAGATCTTGGTCTGTTACACCGCAAGTCATGAGCTCGACGTATGTGTTTCGTGGCGGTAGATGGTAGTGCGTGTTGAGCAGGCGCTCCGGTCTGGTAATCAGATGCCTCAGAGCTGACGTCGGCCATGTGGAGCTGTTGGAAGCTAGAATGCAGTCTTCGGGAACGAGCGCGTCGACTTTCCCCAGCATCTCGCGCTTGATCTCTGGATCCTCGGGGAGAGCTTCAATGACCATCCAAGGGTTTCCACTGCACGATTCCTCCAAAACAGTGCTGGTCGTAACCCGACCCGGATGCGTCTCACGAACGGCACAAACCGTGGTGAGCGCATCCCCGACGTAGGGCATCGCAGAGGAAAGTACGCTCAAGTCAACGTCGTGGAGTATGACGGGCCGGCCCGTAGAGGCCCACATAACGGCTAATCGCCGACCGAGGACCCCCGCGCCGAGGATGACAACGGGCCGGGAAGTGGGGTCGCTAGGCGGCGTCCATTTCGGGGTGACGGGCGCCGCCGCTGCTGCTTCTGTCTTAGGAGAACGGCTTGAGAATGGGCGAATTTGATGTTGAGATGAGAAGGAACTTGATTGCCGGCATTGAGTTGTAAGTCGGGCTTTGGGGAGGGGTATTGCTGTCGTCGTTGTGGGCAGGGTTCTGGCGATTGTTGCTGGTTTTGTGATGCTTCGGCTTGTGATGCCGTTTGTAATGGTGAGTTGAGTGCGCCATAGTTGTTGACAGGTTCTTCTAGATGCCATTGTGATGCTTAGCTTTTCTAGCGTGCCTAATAGAGACGGAGGAAACGTGATTCATCTTATAGTGTTGTTCTGTCACTTCTCCCTGAGCCGATGATGATGGCACTGTCGCATGATGAAGACAGCCGAGAGAGTGGCGTGATGTTGTCGACTAACACTGGGCTGACCTCAACTGCCAAGTTCGGGTCTTCGCGGCTGGGGTTCCAATTGCATCACGCAACTGGGGAACTCCCCAGATCTCCCCGGAAAAGCAAGGTCACTTGCTCGGGTAGTCTATGCCGCCCTACTACTAGCTTCCGCTCATTCCTTGTTTGCTTTGGGGAAGGGGAAGTTCATGATCCATCTCGGGAATTTTGCATGGCGATGTGTAATGGCGTCATCTGAGTGAAGTCTGCTCAAAGCATACCAGATGTGGCCCTCTCCAAGAAAGAAATACAAATCGTAGAAGTCAAAACAATTCAGTCAACAGATGATTGAGAAGAAGCAATTCAAGGATCTCTAACTTCAATGGTGTTCTTCTTTAAAGCAAGCCAATCTGACCATCACAAGAGCCCTAAGAGGCACAAAAGTACGTACCTAAATCGATGGTGGGGTTGATGGTGCTCCATTGGACCACAGTACCAGGTACCCAATCTTTGTTCCCGAACAAATTCCGTTGGCCGATTCTCGTGCGAACAGCAACTTCATGACCAACATCCAACGCGGTCGCAAGCCTCCTTCCCGTGAATCGCGGATCGCAGCAGCCCAGTCACAGACGTTGCCATCTGAGACTTATTATCTGCAGCCAGTGGAAAACTGCGTTCGGTGCCGCGTATGCTATAATGTGCGGGATCCACGCGGTCGTTTCTCGCGACGGCTTCCAGTCGCTGCCCCGAGACGTCGAGACATGCCTCTGCAACCGCGGTCCGGATCATCTAGGCGAAGTTCGCTGTCAAACCCCGGGAGATAGCTCTGTCTTTCTGACTCTCACCTCGACGGTTCTGGCTCTGCGCGGTGACCACGTCACTCAGCAGCCCTTTCGCGACGCGTCTTCTGGGTCTGTCCTGTGCTGGAACGGCGAGGCCTGGAAGATTGCAGGGGGACCTGTCCAAGGGAACGACGGAGAGGTAATCTTTGCTTTGCTCACTGCGGCCAGTAGCCGCAGCGCTGAGGAACATGCGGTCTTGGATGTACTGCGCAGCATTGAGGGCCCTTTCGCGTTTGTCTACTTCGACGCGACTTCTTCCCGTCTATTCTATGGTCGCGATCGACTTGGTCGACGATCGTTGCTGCTCAATGGAGAGGGTGGAATCAGATTGTCTAGTATTGCTGAGAGCACATCATCTTCGTGGGCAGAGGTGGAAGCAGATGGCATCTACGTCGTAGACTTGGTAGCCTGGCACAGTGACTCACTGAAGTCAAACTCGCCTCGCTCTTGGACGCCAGGCGAGACTGAGACGGTAAGCTAGATGTCTCGCGCGACATGAATTACGTTTTTGCTACTTACGATACCAGGTCCTCAACATTGGAGTCTTCAGTATGACACTCCCGCCATCTGATGTTCAGCCGCTGTCAGCAGTGTCACCGTCAGTGCAGGCAGTCAAACAGCAAATGACCGAGTCGCTCAGATTGCGCGTTTTAAACGTTCCTGAACCCCCAGCCCACGATGCTGGCAACGACACGCGAGTAGCTGTCTTGTTCTCTGGCGGCTTGGACTGTACAATCCTCGCGCGGATGGCTAGCGACTTGGTTCCATCTGATCAAGGCATCGACCTGATCAACGTGGCTTTCGAGAACCCTCGCTTAGCAGCGAAGGCTGACAACTCCCCTGGTGCGCCAAGTCTCTATGAGGCTTGTCCAGACAGAATCACGGGAAGGAAGTCCTTTGCCGAGCTGACTACTGTCTGCCCAGCTAGAAATTGGAGATTCATCGCCGTAGGTTCCTTTAGCTTGATACAGCTATCTGCCCTTACTGACCCTTGGCAGGTTGACGTTCCTTACCAGGAAGTACTCGAGCACCGGAGCCAAGTGATCTCTTTGATGTATCCCCATAACACCGAGATGGATCTCTCCATCGCCTACGCCCTCTACTTTGCCGCCCGCGGCATCGGCATGTCACAAAGTAGCCCGTCAGACCCTGCCGTCAAATATACCACGCCAGCGCGAGTGCTTCTCTCTGGCCTCGGGGCCGACGAACTCTTTGGCGGCTATGTACGGCATACCACTGCATTTTCAAGGAGGGGCTACCCGGGCCTGCTCGAGGAACTCAAGCTAGATGTTAGCCGGCTGGGCAAGCGCAACTTGGGACGCGACGATAGAGCCATGTCTCACTGGAGCCGGGAAGTACGATTCCCGTTCCTTGATGAACAGTTTGTGAAGTGGGCCATCGAGTGTCCGGTCTGGGAGAAGTGTGACTTTGGCTATTCCGAAGGCGACTCGGGGGTCGATCCTGAGAAGCGAGTGCTGAGGCTTCTTGCGAGGGATCTTGGCATGGGCGCAGTTGCCCAAGAGAAGAAGAGAGCGGTAGGTTTTACTCTATACTCTGAGGGCGGCTGAGTATCCCCCGGGCTAATCATTCGACTAGATTCAATTCGGCTCGAGGACGGCAAAGATGGAGAGTGGAAAGACAAAGGGAACAACAGTCATTGCTCCATGAGTATAAACTGGGAGACAAGTGCTTCCCAAGCCTGGCGATGATGACGTACAGATACTTCCGAGCTGGCGGTCCCTTGAACGATATTGCCAGTGACTGCGCGTTTCTGCTTTGCAGTAACCCTTTGCTTGCAGCATACGTTCGAGTTAATCATTCAAGACCGCTGGCGATGATGTCGTAAAGGCAAGTCTGAGCCAGAAGATAGATGAGCGAGATCTACCTTACAGAATTAGACAAAAATTCACGGATAATTTCGACGCTCTTCGCAAACATGGTTCCATTTCCTGAAGCTCAATTCGGCCACGTTGTTGGCCATGTCAATCAGCTAGTGTAACCAAATCCTCATTCACCACGACTGAAACTCGAGTGGCCAGAAAAGGTCTCACAGATCGAATGCCGACGGCAATCCTGTGAGACAGCGACACAGGGTAAATGATCCTACTGCTACCCGGCAGTGCCCATGCAAGCCGACATCACGCACATGTCCCAGCCGCCCCTTGCCTGAGCCTCGAGGTTTCCTGCATTGGGTGCCACCAACAGCGTCCCCATCCCGGCTTGGCAGCAGTCGCTTAGCTATTCTCAGGCCCTAGGCGACACAAATGGCCCTGTCACAGCCTTTCTGGTGGGGAAGCCACGGGCTGTGCTGTCTCTGTGTGATCCTGCTGCCTTGACGATCAACCCACAAACGACCCCAGCGCGGATAATGTGCTGCATGTTTCTCAGCCGGCATTCTTATCTTAAAGCTAGCTGGCCTTTCCCTTTAAGGTTGTCGAAGTCTTTCACCACAATGCTAGACTGCGAGTGTTGTCTGGTTGTAATTTGAGGGCTCGTTCCTGGTCACTAGATGACCAATCATGCACCATCTTGAAGGTCCCTGGGCGGCGGCAGATAGCACCAGGCGTCCGCCATACAATTCGGAGGCATCGGACCTCTCAAGAGATGATCGGCGACCGCTCATTCATGTGCAGTCCACCGACTCGGCAGAGACCCGCATCGAGCCATTAGAGTCCGCGCAAACCCAACGACCCAAGAGCTCAGTGACCGCCGAGCCCAGCGCCGCCCATGTCACCGGCGCTCCGCACGGATCTTACAACAAGCTGTCTAACACAGACTGGGACTCGGCCGAGTCGCCTCGTCACGGTGGATGGGACTACACACCAGGGAGAACAGACACAAAGTCCCATCTATCCCACAGAGAATCCGGTCTCACTCCTTCTGCACCCAAGCAGCCATGGAGCACATCCCTCAAGGGCTGGCTACCAGAGCTCATATGGTCAATCATAAGCATCGCCTCCGTCGCCGCTCTCGCCGGGGTGCTATCCCGCTTCGATGGCCAACGACTGCCCGAATGGCCGCTAGGCCTGACACTCAACACTCTCATCGCCTTCCTCGCGACGCTGGCGCGAGCTGCGTTTGTTATCCCAGTGTCTGAGAGCTTGTCGCAGTTGAAGTGGCTCTGGTATCGCAAGGAGAGGCCGTTGAAGGATTTTCAGGATTTCGACTCGGCTAGCAGAGGACCTTGGGGGAGTATTCAACTGTTGAAGACGACTAAGGGTTGGTGAGTGTTGTGTTCTAGTGATGGTGAGAAAGGTGTGGCGTGTGCTGATGCTATCCGCAGGTCCCCGAGTCTCATTGCTACGATTGTCATGATCACGGCAATCTTCACGTCGACGTTGACGCAATCCGCCGTCACATACCCCGTCCGCCTCGCGCGCGTAGACGGTGATGCGACAGTGCCCCGATCAACATCGTACTTCTTTAGTACATCCAATACCTTCTCCAGCCGTACGTCCAATCCTTAAATCCTCATCTGTATCTTGTATTTATTAAAAATCCCTGTGCACAGTTCAGCAAGAAAACTACGTTCAACAATCCATCTTCGAAGGCCTAAGCTACGATCATACCCAAGAATTCCCCCTCAGCCCGGCCCGCTGTCCCACAAGCGAGTGCCAATGGGAGACTTACAGCTCGCTGAGCATCTGCGCCAAATTCTGGAACGTGACGAATTCGTTGAATGTCACAACTAGAGAGACGTCTACTGGGTCACCGCGGGTGAAAGCTTCGCTTCCCAACGGGATATCTGCGAATTTGAGCGGTAACTACTTCGGTCTCATCAATCTACGGGGCATGAGTAAGCCAATTGCGTCAGACGTGAAACCCGAGGCAGCGCTCTTCAACTTCACGGTGATCTATTCCTTACGAGAAGGGAATGACGCCGCAGTCGGAGCCACGGAGGCTGTGCTGTACCTCTGCGCGAAGACGTACAACCTCTCCTTCACAGGCAACATTGAATCGCGTAAGGTCGTCGACATCACCTCGGACGTCGAACAGGGCTCCATCACGTTCCCCTCCGGCCAGGTACGAGACGACCTACCCGCGATACGAGACCCCCTCAACCCCGATGGCGAAAACTTCCCCTACGGCGGTACCGGGTTCGGCGCGATGCAGGACAGTCTGAGGAATGCGCTCAACGGGTCGTACTCGGATCTCAGTAACGTGCCGAGTGCACTCGGTCTTGCGCCGGCTCGGTACCTGGCTGCGATACAGTACGGCGCCAAGACGTTGGAGGCGCAGGGGCGGGCGAATGTGTCGCAGGAGGTTGTGATTAATGAGGCCGTTGCGAATATTACGAATAATGTTGCCAGGAGCTTGTCGAATCGGTATGTCTCCTGTCGATTCCCCTTATGTTGAATAAGTAAACGAGGTTACTAACGCAAGAACAGCATAACAAATGATACCACAATAGCAAGTGGGCAAGCACTCGCATCGGAAACATTCGTACAAGTTCGCTGGCCTTGGCTTGCGTTCATATCCTGTCAGGCCGTGCTTTCCATCATGCTCCTGGCTCTCGCCATCGTTCAGACCAAAGCAGCGGGTATCGGGGTGGTGAAGAGCTCTACGCTACAGGCCATGGTCGCTATCAACTCCAAGGATAAGCAGGCTCTTGAGATTGGGCTTGCGCAGGGGCACCATCAGGAAGAAGTTGATGATGTCGTTAAGAGAGGGCCTGGGATAGCTTGGAGCTTGGGTATGAGTGATCGGGGATGGAGTCTTCGCATATAGTTGTGTCTGTCATAAAGTGGTAATCCCTGGCAAGCCCGCTTTATGAATACTTACGCCGTTCCATCTCACGTCCATTCTTCCAACTTCTATTCCCCCAATATTATGTCAGGTATGATTAGACCATGCCGAAGCAGCGAAAACATAGATTTCAGAGTCACAGCAATTGGATTGACTAGGGGCCTTGCGCATCCTAATCGCGTCGCTGCAAGTGATAATCAGTCTCCACTTCCCGACAACCATGAATTGCTTTAAAATTCGGTCCGCGGAGATTATTCATCCGCACCCAATGAATCTTCTACCACCTCTATTCTCGCCTTGACATCTTCCATGTAGATAGGTACAGTAGAGACAACATTCGCAATGTCTCAACAGCTTCTACACCGCGGACTCGCCGAAACAGGCCTCCTGGCCCTCGGCAGATCCCACCCCGACATCAAATTACTATGCCTCCAGCGCTTCGTGCGCATGTTCGCCTACGGCGCGACAACCTTGCAGCTAGTAGCGTACTTTGAACTCCTCGGCCTCTCGGCGACGCGAATTGGTCTGTTCATGGCGTTTACGCTGGTCGGCGACGTCTGCATCAGTTTAGTTCTCACCTCCATCGCCGATGGCGTCGGGCGGAAGGCGGTGCTAGCTGCAGGCGCGGCTTTGATGGCTGTTAGCGGTGTTGTTTTTGCGATGTGTAGCGGGTTTTGGGTGTTGTTGGCTGCTGCTGTGGTGGGGGTTATAAGTCCAAGGTATGTTTCACACATCTCTCTCAGGGAATTAAGAAGAGTGAGGCTGATTACAACCAGTGGCGCTGAAATTGGACCTTTCCGGGCTGTGGAAGAGAGTATCGTCGCGCATCTTACTACGGCTGAGGATAGGAGCGATGTCTATGCCTGGTATAGCCTCATGGGTGCGGCCGGAACTGCCTTTGGGGCGATGACGAGCGGCTGGACGGCGCATTACTTGACGACGAGTGCCGGCTGGGGACTTGAGCATGCGTACCGTGTAGTCTTTTACGGGTATGCGGTGCTCGGAGTGTTTAAGTTCTTCCTCGCCTTGCTCCTGAGCCGTGATATTGAGGCAGAACGGGAGGAAGCCGGGGCGTCTGCGGAAGAGACTGCTCCGATTCTGGGCGAACGGTCGGCTGAGAGTGAGGTAGAGGTCAAGACTTGGCGGTCGAAGCTTTTCCCGAGGATTGAGAGGAAGAGTATGCCTGTTGTCGCTACCTTGTGCTTCTTCTTTGCGCTTGATTCTTTTGCCTCGAGCTTGACTACCCAGTATGTCCCCACTTACTCCTTTTGTGAGTATTAACGCTGACATATTCCAGGTCCTGGATCGCCTTCTTCTTCCGGTGGAAGTTCAACGTGGACGATGGAACTTTGGGCTCTTTATTCTTCACCACGAGCCTGCTGGCAGCGGCCACAACTCTAGTCGCATCCTCGATAGCCAAGCGAATCGGCAACCTCAACGTACGTGAACTATAGAACCACTCCCCTCTAGATCTCCATAAGCTCATTTTACTGTCCGCTAACTTTCACTACACAGGCCATGGTCTTCACCCACCTCCCCTCGACAATCTTCACCGCACTCATCCCTCTCCCGCGAGACGCCACCATGGCCATCGTGTTTCTGATCTTCCGCGCCCTGACGCATTCCATGGACGTCGCGCCGAGAGCCGCTTTCCTTGCTGGCGTGATCTTGCCCAAGGAGCGGACTACTGTGTTGGGCTTGATCAATGTTTTGAAGACGTGCACGTCGAGTGTTGGTCCCGTGGGTGTGGGTATCTTGGTGGATAAGAATCTCTTCTGGGTTGCTTTTGTGGGTGCTGGGTGTCTCAAGGTTGTGTACGATCTTGGGATGTTGGTTTCGTTCCGCAAGCATGAGCGAGAGCTACGGGATGGAGCGGCTGGGAGTGCTTAAAAGCATGGTACAGCCACTTCGTGGGTAAGGCACATACCAACCTTTGGCTGTGCAGGGGCTATCGCCATTGTTCTCCATGATAAGCTCGTAACAAAAAACCTCGAGAAGATGTGGTGACCAGTCATGTGTATTCAAGCTATCAGCCAATGCCTCCATCTTTATCCATGCCACTATCAATTGCTGCAGAATCTCCAAGTCCACGGACTACACATGCCAGCCAAGATCCTATTGGACAGCCTAGGAGTCGCAAGATCCGAAAGAGCTGGCGATCCAGTTCCTGCAGCAAGCATCGAACTGGGCGGCGGTCTCTTGTCGGTTGGGGCAGTAGAAGGCGGCATTGTGGAAAGGTCCAGTGACGACGTCGTCTAGTCACGCGTTAGTATCCCGCATAAGACACAGAAGGAGAGAAAAAAAGGAAGGCACTTACTACCGCAGCAGTGGGCGGTGGAACCCTGGGAGCCTTGGTCGTTACCGTCCTGGTTCTTGAACTACATTCCCCATAGTCAGCTCTGCAAATATTATGTCGAACACATCAAGCTTCCTTTAAGTCCAATGTTACGAAAGTGAGTGATACGTACGAGACACACACAGGTGCGAGCATCGACCAAGCTGCTGGAGATAAGCAGCATGGCAACGGTAGAGATGATGGAGGTCTTCATTTTGAGTTTTGGTAGAGGGGTTGGAATGGTAACTTGATGTTGTAATGAGTTTGTGAGATTGCGTTTGTCTACTGGTCACATTTTCTATTCACTGATCGGCGAAGAGTTCCAGGCTCTATATAGGATTCGCATACTCGCAGAACTTCCAAACTTTTGAAATCGTGGGAATCCTTTTCGAAGACAACTGTTGAAGCTACGATACGAGAGTCCTGCAAAAGTCAATTAGATGTCAGTCTATTACCCCGGAGTTAGCGGAAGACAACAATCATCACTAACAAAGCTCATGTTTGGACTTTTTGCAGTTGTAGTTGGGTGTTTTCCGTGCCCCATGTATCCACATAGTCTGCCCCTCGAGTCATACAGGTTTCCCTACAGAGCCACTCTATCGTTGACAACCCACTCAGGGGATTAGATGGTGTCGTAAATCCTGCCTTTAGAAATAGCACTCAACCTAGAGAAAAAGCTAATTTAGATTATCTCTGAAAGCTTAGCAGGCCCGGACACGAATACGTCGGTTTCGCTTTCTAATAGTTACCATTCAAAGTCCGTCGATCATTCTACCAAATCGGCTCAGTTCGAATTTTTCGCCTCATAAACGCGCCGAGTTCCTCCCGAGCTGCCAAAAAGAGGTCATATTCCCCGGATTCAGCTCGGCTAAAAGCTTATATTGCCTCTTCAACGATGTGCCCTCTTATTTTCAGCACCCGATTTACATGGTATCACGCCTGCAGTAGCATCGCAAGCTAGTTTTTTAGAAATGAAGAACGCCCTGGAGCCCATACAAAGTCCGGAGAACGGTTTCCGACAGTGCCTGTCCGTGATATCCGTGGGGGAGGGGAAATGATCTATCCGTATCCATTTTCGCCGTAGAAGCCGAAGCCGAAGCCTCGAACCCTGAAACTCCGAGTCATGTCTGACGGTTCACTTTCCAGCCTCGAGAACCTCTTGAGGAAGTATAAGAAAGTCTTGGACAACTGGGGATATGCATACAGTTTCTGCTCCGGACTACGGAGCTGGGATAAATCGCTGAGCGCCGGCGGTGAAGCCGAATACTAGCGGTTTGCTTCTTTGCGCACCGAGTACCGGTCAAGAGGCAGGTACAAGATGCTCAAAAACATGCAATGAATCTGGACCAACTCAGAGACTGCTCTCGAAACTCTTGGGAGAGAGGGAAAATCCTGAGGTTCATCTTTCGTCCAGGAGAAAGCTTCTTCTCGGCGTTCGGACCGGCCCCACATCGCCGGCAGAGCCGATATGATCACTTGCACCTTCTCGAATCTCGCCCCGGAAGTTACGAAAACCCCGACCAGCTCCTTCTCTCTCCTGAACTCTCAAAGGACCTCGGTGTTCAAATCTTCCGGCTAAAGGCAGCTAGACTTCTCTCTCTGTTCCTCCCTCCACAACTGCTGAACTCAAAATCATCGCCCACTTTCCTACTTTCTATCGATCCGTTGGCCTTCCTGACCGCGATTTAAAGTTTCAAGCCTCACCTGAGAGATTATACACCAACTTGATGATAGACCGGTCTCTTTCGACGAATTCACAGCGGATAGATCTGCCGTCTGCGGCGTATTACGTACATTGCTCTGGTCGTTAACCAGTGCCAGAAACGATCCCGATGGCGACAAGGGCATATGCGGCCATCAAAAGGCAAAGGCTCCAAAGATCCCCTAGGCAATGCTGACTCTAACTGCGTCAACGGCGAAAGGTTCTGCAATCGTCGTAAGCTCCCAGCACCCTCTGCAGCTCTAGTCTAGGCATCGCCGCTTGACGGTTCCTCGCAATCTGCTTCAGATGGTCCTCGCAACGTCCATCTGACGTATATGGTCAATAGGTTCATGCTACATCTTGTCTACCACGACAGGTTCTGGATGTGTGCATTCGACTGTCGAAAGGCATTGGCAGCCGGAGATGGCTTGCAGCGCATACTTCCAAGATCGGACATGGCATTATCGAGAATTTCCCACAATGTCTGCTCTGGACTTTAGGACGTTCGAGCCAACAGGGTCGCTTGCCGAAGACAAGAGTTATCTGGCAGGTGCCAAAATCATGAAGCATCATGCCAAAGCTTTGGACGAAAAGGATTGCGCGACTCGATCTCGTGCTGCAATGCCGCGTACCGGAGGACCTGGCTCAGCAGTCCCCAAGTATGGTGCGGCTGCGATGGTTTGAGAGCGATAGCATACACGCTATGAATTTCAGAAACGGACTGGATCCAGAATTGCCTTTCACGGAAAGCAGAGCGACGTTTCGTTTCCAGGTTCCATGCTGTTTAGAGATGGGATGGAGAAGGTCTCGAAGGGAGAGAGGCTGTGCTTCGTTGGCAAGGATTAACTGCCATACATGACTCCTCAGATCTGTGGAGAGACAACTCAAATGATTTTTGACTAACAAATGGGCGAGTAGGGTTTGTCGAAAACACCAATTGGCGTTGTGCAACATTTCGCTGACCAAGACACACAGGGAAACCATCATCGACTTATCTTCCCTATGTCGGCCCGAGGCTGCGAAGAATCCGGATGGGTTCAGGTCCCGGCACACGATTAAAGATGTTCAGGGCGGCGGTCCGAATGCCATTCTGTCTAAGCTTTGGGAAGATGCCACCGACGGGGGCGTGGACATTGATCGAGGTTCATCTGGTCTGAGACTCGTCCGAGCCAGAAAACAACCACCGGACAATGGACACTGGCGGTTAGAACTTGGTTTGCTGGCCCCTGGGAGAGACGGCAAGAGTCAGGGCCCCCTTGTAACAAACCCCACGGAAGCGAAGAAGAGTGTTGCGCTTGGCAAAACTTCAGACCGAGCCTCACCAGGGCATCAGGGGCCACCATCGACTGGACAGCGCCGCAACGGGCTATTTCTAAAGATGGTGGAAGCTAAGAACAGTCCGGTGAGCGGCCCCGCACGAGGCGGTCCATGTTCAAATGTTGTGGCACTTCGTGATGCCCCTGGAAACCAGACTACTGCACGGGACGGCGTCGAGTGCCGGTGCAAGGGGGGCGCACGCATAGGGTTGGGGAGCTGTATGATCTGCGCAGGGCCCATTGGCTTTGAGTGGCTGTTACCAAGGACCAAAAGATGCATGCTGCATTCGGGGACGCGGTGCTGTTGCAGCTCGCAGCTCCGTTGCACCAACAACACGGTCACACGGGTTCGGTTTGGACTCTGGAGAGACCGGTGCCCCCCTAGAAGAAGCCAAGAGATATCTGCATCGCATGGGACGTCTGGCTCAAAACCACGAGGTTCTCCCGCAGATGCTCGCCCGGCCGAAGTCTGAGTCTCTTCGACTTGTTTTCCTTCTTTTCGACATCTTCCAACGCCAGACATACATCGGAAGGCCTCGATCGATCCATTACCGCCTCGCTGGTCGCTGTCTCTGTTTCTTCGCCGAAGGGGTTTCTACGCTTTTTATCGTTTTCGTGTTTCTCAAACCTTGTCCGGACTTGCCCTGGCCCAGCACCCATCATCATCATCATCATCTCGTCCCATCCCGTACATGATTGATCGCCGATTTGGCTGAAAACGGTCGTCCAATCGTCCACCTCTCCAATATTGGCTTCAGCCCAGGTTTAAGAAAAGATCAAAGTACAAACTCAACAACACACCGTCCCGTCTGCGACGTGAACCTTTTGCGAATCCGCGTCTACTTCTTACCTTCGGACCTGTCACGACTCTTGCTCGCCAACCTTCGCTCCCTCCCGCTCTAACACGTAGAGTAACACTCATCCCACCCGGCGTCATCTCATGCCACGTTCCAGAATCCCGAGGTTTATCTTATTTCGATAATCGTTCAACACTGCGACTCTTATTACTACCCGAACTTGCATTATCGCTTTCTTTACTTCCCGTCTGAGACATCCGCCGCGTCGGTCACTAGTACCTATTCTCTATTCTTCGTTCCTCGCTTTTTGCGCCTTTACCCTTTTGACAAATTTTCCCCATCGAATCTCATTTGGTGTCCCCATCTTCTCATAACAGAAAACGTCACTGGCATGCTGGGCAATCTCCAAGCGGAAAACTAGTCGAAACAGAGGAAGGAAGGAAAGAAACGAAAAAAAGAAGGGGAAAAAACACAACGGGACTCGTCACCGCCGAGAAAGGATCATGCTGAAGGCCGTCTGCGCAAACTCTCAATCCTCTTCACCTCTTTTCGCCCGCCTTTGATCTCTCGGACCATCGTGTTGTTGTTCAACCAACTCGAGATCTCTGGTGGTGCAGCGGGCAAAAACACACCCATAATAGCCACCACCACCACCACCACAACACAATGGAGCGCCCCCACCGTCCTCCGCCGCTCACAATCCCCCCGCCGCCCCGAAGCCGGACCCGAGTCCGGAGACCTCGCCGTCCCAACGCACAACAGGCGCGACAGTTCAAGCGATGGCTGCTCCGCGCCCAAATCGCTAATGACGTAGCGCACGTCGCCGCCGCATCGATACTCTTATGGATCATGTCGTGGTTCCTCTACAACGTCTCGTTTCCTTTGACATATCCCGCAGGGTTCGTGACCATATCCCCTCACATCTACTATCCACTCGATATTCAATACATACTGACCGTGATAAATAGTCCCGCCGCCGTTGCCCTGATCGCGATCCTCTCCACAGACATCCTCCTCGACGCCCGCTCAATAGTCCACGCTCACGACCCCTGGCCAGGCTGGACCCTCCTCATCCGCCTCGTCCTAGGCGCCTCCCTCATCGCAATCTTCTGGGTCTATATCTCCCTCGGTGACGTCTTTGCGCGCGGGTTCACGTACTGGGGTATGTCCGACAGCTATGGCCGCGTGCTGGCGTACATGTTCCTCTGGGGCATCGGGCTCTGGGATTTGCTTTTTGTGTTGCTGTGTCGGCATTGGCTGGGCAAGGAGGTCAAGAGGTACGGGGAGAAGGCGAGACAGGTGTTTGGGAACGAGAATGGGAGAAGGAGGGGGATTAGAGGGAGGATGTCGCCTGGTGGGAGCGCGATGAGACTCGGGAGTGCGGGTGGAGAGCGCCCTGAGCGGATTGGTGTCGTCGATCTGGAGGCTGCGAGGCCTGTTGAGGAGGGCGACGGCGGTGATGTCGGTAGGGAGAGGGTTGGGTTACCTGTGAGGATGGGCGTGAGAAGAGTCAAGAACAGCGTGAGCGCGAGCGTCAACTCCGTCGCGAGTGGGACGGGGCCGGGGAATGGGATGGGAAACGAGGATTCATCGCCACCTCCGCCTGCATTTATGAGGCCTGCATGACGATCGTCGGGAGTACGAGGCTTGGGAAACAAGATACCTGGCATAGCATAATTACAGCCACGAAAAGAAACCTACATTAGTTAATGATAATCAATATCAAATGCCAACTATTACTTATTTTTTGCATCTAAAATGTGACGTGGCATATAGGACGACGTGTCCGTCTGATGGCGACTTCGGTTCGTCTTGCCGAGTATCTACCTCAATTCGTCTGATTTCTTTTCAGGGAGCATTAATGATAGACGGACGTATGTCAGACGTCGTCTGTTGCAGCACATCATTCCATTTTTATGCACTGATAATAAAAGGTGTTATGTGAACTGAGTCGTGAGGGTATATCAGCGTGCAGTGAGTCTTAGTATGTCGAATTCAACGCTCAAGGATAGCTACATCAAATACTTTCAAGTTCCAACTCCAACATATCAAAGACAGCTACATCACATGCTTTCAAATAGCCTCTCTAGGAAACACTTAGAAGCACCATAAGAGTGAGACGATGTTGCTGATGTAATGCAGTCAGGCTGCGGGTATCAATTCTACAAAGACTTCCTTCTATCTCGACATTTGTAACAATCCCACACCTATCGAATGTTCCCTGCCTAGACTTCTGCGTTGATTTCGGGTCCTTTTACAGGTGCCATGGCTTCATGTGAGCCATCTCTTTGGATGTAGAGTAGGTCTCGTCAGCGACGACTGTGCCAGCCTGTTTGCTTCGCTTCGTCTGCCGTCCCTTCGTCGAGGTCTCGATGGTATCAGCCTTAGGCGTAGTAGACGCAGGCGGCTAGCCTGCTTCCGTATCGGACTCGCCTGTCAAGTCCACCATCTGCGCATCAACGTCCCCAAGAGTCGCCGCCGCAAGAGCAGCGCCATCTGTAATGCCCGCCAACTTTTTGTGCAGAAATCCCAGAGCCTTGTCCCGCTGTTCTTTGTCGAAGCTCTCATACTGAGGACTGCCGGGCTCCTAACCCGCAAGGGGCTCCATAATCTGCTTCCCGTACTTATCGACCATGAAGTGGCTAAACGCCTCCTCGTCGTTGTCGTCATACAACATTGGGTCATCCTTCTCGGACTTCAGACGCTGATAGAGGCCATGTCCGGCTTTGGGCCAGGATTCGGGAAGTGCGTCCTCCGAGTCCTCAGCGTCTGCCTCTGCTTGATCGGCTGCGCCGGTGGGTGCGGTTTTGAGGATCTTGCGGACGCCGCCTGTTTTGGACCGCTGCTTCGAGGGCTTGGAAGCCGGGCGGTGGTCTTGCTGGCGGTGGGGCTGTGATTCTCGGTGTTGCTGTATTTTGTTAGTCCTTGTGCTTTAGGATGATGCAGGTAAGGGCGGAAGACGTACAACTTTGGGTTCAGCCCAATCTGGCGAGCTGAAGAGAGGCAGGTCGGGGTGCTTCTTAGAGACAGAGGCGAGGACGTCTACGAGAAGGCCGGGGTGGATTTGTTCGCTGAATAAGAGGAGATTGAGGAGATCGCTCCTCTTGAGACCTGAAAAGTACTCTCGTCTCTGCAAGCGCGTCAGCTTGGGTCTAAAGTTCTTGCTTGTCTCTATGACACTCACCTCACTGCCACTGGCACTGCCTCCTTCAAACCCAATGAGGCTCGGCTTAGGGAACTGTGGTAGGGTGGCAAGCTTCTTCTCGCGCTTCCTCTCCACCTCGTTGTGGTGCCTCTTCCACTCCGACTGCTCCTGCTTCGCCTCGCGGTACTTTGCAAGTTCGCGCTGATACTTGGCCTGCTGCTTGTCCTCCTCTTTACAGGTGACGCACTTGAACTTGGAGGAACCGCCGCCCAGGGCGTCTGCCGAGATCTCTGGGTCATGACAAAGCTGGTGCCAGGCCTCGCCGCAGCCGCAGGGGACGATGGGGTTGCCGTCTGTGGCGGAGATGCGGTTGCACTTGACGCACATTGGGTTTCCGCTGCCGTCATCCTTGGTGCGCTTCCTCTTCATCGGCGGTCTAGGTACGGGACGCTTGAGGATTGCGGGTTCCTGGTAGGCGGGGATGTTTGCGGATTTCCGGGAAGCCTCATCTTCCGCTGCCGCGCGCTTCCGCTTTGCTCCAGAAGATGGTACTGAGCTGGGCGGAACTGATTGGGGTTCTGCGTACGGGAGATAAACGGTCATAGGCAGGTGCGAGTAGTCCACAGGTGTATCTTCGACTTCCTCTGGGGCGACCTCAGGAGTTGGAGGGGGAGGAGGAGTTGCGACGAGATGGGGCGGTGGAGATGCTGGGGTAGCGCCTCTGTGACGACTCATGATGAATCGTGAAGTCGCAAGAGAGAACTGTGGCTGGTACGACTGCTGTTCAATAGCTGGCGGAGGAGTTGACACACGAGGCGGTGTCTGTACATCATGGCGATGCTCAATTGGCGCAGGCTCAATTTCTATTTGCGCAATCGGCGCAGTCAACTGCTGGTGAGATTCGGCTTCGACGGGAGCTGTTTGCACATCTTCTGGCTGTGTTTGAACGGTCGTCGTGGGCAGGACTTCCATTTCGACTGTGGTATCAATTTCGCCGAATTGAAACTCATCTGTAGCTTCTGCATCGATTGCCATAAGGTCTGAAGTCGATGGGTCTGACATGTTGAGATTGAAAGGTGCGGCTTGTGCCGCGATACAGGCGTGTAAGGTGTGGATGGCTTGTGAGAGCTATCGAATGCTGGTGAAGCTAGCAGAGCAAGAAGGTGATGCAAAGGATGAGATGTTCCAGCTTCTGGATGCAGAAGCTCGAATTAAAGAGACCGGCCCATCGATTAATGAGGAAAAGAATTTGAGGCAACGGGTATCTGTTTCGAAGAAAGAAAGAAAATATTGACTGCTTGCTGTGTACGCAGGAAGTCAACCGCAGAAATACCATCAAACACGCGACCACTGTGAGTCGCGGATGTCACGTGCGCTGTTCACCGAGCTCACCGATAAGGCCCACACCCTACGTGCTTTCCTACCTTGGATTTCCTCGGTCAACCAGGCCAAAGAAGGTGGGCAGGAAAAAAAGAGACAAGAAGCGCAACATGCCATACATGATGGCACTCTCGCCTCACGATGCTTTCCTTCTCTAATGGAATATGTTACAGTTTCTCTTAATCATGTTGTGCGAAAGACCTTTGACTAGTTGAAAGTCTGCAGTGCGTCGGGGTTAGGCGATCGGATACGCTCGCAGCATCCCATCGTCGGAGGTGTTATACTTGCAGTGCAATACTGCGCTGTTCGTGCATCACCAATACTAGTTATCCGGTGCTGAAAGGAGGTGCGCGTCTCCGACCACAACATCCCCCGTGAACGATCGAGTACGCCTCTTCGAGAATGCATATGGCCTTTGGAGGAGATAAAATTGCAGTGCTTGTGGCTTTCGGTGAAGGAAGATGTCTCAGGTCATGCCATTTATGTCCGGATTTGTAACCTTCTACCTTACCCTATCATCCTGTAGATTGGCCAATTGGATGGTCTCTCTTCGAGATTTAAGGTACAAAACCTTTGGGGGGATTAAAATCGCAGTGAAGTCGTGATTCCCAGGAGGCACCACAATGTCAACCTACCACACCCTCCCCCTTCAAAGCCCGAATCCTCTCCTCCGAGAACCCAAGATGCCCCCCCAAAACCTCATCAGTATGCTGCCCCAACGTCGGCGGCACACTCCTCACACTCGGCTCGCTCTCCGAATACTTGACCGGCGTATTCACCATCCGAATCGGCCCGCACTCCTCGTGCTCCATCTCAACAACCATGTTCCGCGCCTTCGTATGCTCGTGCTCCAGCGTGCCCTGCACATCATTCACCGCCGCGTACGGCATCCCCTTACCTTCGAACACGCGTAGCCACTCCGCCGTCGTCTTGGTGACGGTGACTTGCTCGATGAGCGCCTCGAGCTCGACGCGGTTGGCGACGCGTTGTGCGTTTGTCGCGTATTTTACGTCGTGCTGCCATTCTGGTTTGTTTAGACCCTGGCAGAGGATGCCGTAGAGTCGGTCGTTGCCGCCGCCGAAGAGGATATCACCGTCTTTTGTCTTGAAGGATTTATACGGCACGATGGAGGCTGGCGAAAGTGTCAGGATCATATGATTGTGAACAAAACGCCAAGGGTGAAACTTACGATGCGCGGTCCCCCATCGTCCAGAATCCTTCTTCCCACTAATCAGACAACTACTCGCAATATTCGCCAACGTCGCCGTCTGGCAATCACTCAGCGCCACATCAATATGCTGTCCCCTCCCCGTCCGCCCCCTCGCAAGCAACGCCGCCATGATGCTGTTACTCGTATACAACCCCGTCGTGAGGTCCGTTACAGCGACGCCTACCTTGACGGGTTCCCCGTCGCGGCTGCCGGTGATGTGCATCAACCCGAACTCGGCCTCGACCATGACGTCGTAGCCCGCGCGGTCCGAGTACGGGCCAGTTTGGCCGTACCCCGTGATGGAGGCGTAGATGAGGCCCGGGTTGATGGCGCGGAGGGTGTCGTAGTCCATTTTGTACTTTTTGAGAGTGCCGGGGAGGTAGTTCTCTACGAGGATGTCGCATTGTGAGACGAGCTTGTGGAGGATTTCTGTGCCGGAGGGGTGTTGGAAGTTGAGGCCTAGTGACTTCTTGTTGCGGTTCACCTTGTGTGGATGAGTTAGCTCGGTTCATATCTGTGACTGGAGGATACTCACTGCGAGGAAGTAGGCCGATTCGCCGGGTCCTTCTTTGGAGGAGCCGGCTTTGTAGGTTGCGTAAGGAGGACCCCATGCTCGAGTGTCGTCGCCGCGAACGGGATGTTCGACTTTTATCACCTCGGCGCTTCAATGGCGTCAGTACGAGTTGCTTAGCATGAGAAGATGAGTGAGATCAACTGACCCCAAGTCTCCCAGAATTTGTGTACAGTATGGCTACATCAGTCAATGTTAGCATCTAATTTCTGAAGTACGGGAGTAATGATGCTTACTCCAGCCAAAACTCTCGTCATGTCCAGCACACGATACCCCTCAAGTGGCAGCTTATTGCTCGGTACCGATGAGTACCGACGCCACGCCGTCGGAAGGCGTGAGGACTGCGGACATGACCGCGCAGCCCTGGAGACTATCCGGGAGGAAATTCTAAACGATGAGGGAGCCATTGTCTAGGTCTTTAGACAAAATCATAAAAGAAATGAGGACAAGCTTTCGCGGGGAAGTTGTTGGACAAGTTCGAGACCGGCATCATCGATGTTGGCGACTTGGTTCCCCAGCTCCGACCCCGGTCTAGCTCCGGTCCGTTGGCGGGGATGCCGTCGGGTAGGCCTCGGCATTATCCTGGTCGCCATTTATGTGGCTTAGGTAATTTAGCACAGACCATCACAGACTGCCTTCATCGGCTCTGAAACTCGGCCTCAAATGTCCCGTCTGCAAGTTAACGCGTTTGAGGGCACAACAGCATAGCATTGAACCAAAGCGAGCCGCTCATTAATATCGAACTTCTATCCTGGTATTCCTATTCTTACATGTGGCATTTCTGTACTTCTGGCCGGATATCGAGCAGCACGGACACCCAACGCCTCCCAAAATGCAGGCAAAGGAGAACAAGAAATCTCATAACGGATTTGACCAACCATCTTCAAACTAAATACGTCATCCCAGCACTTCTCGATCCCGAACTTGTACAGCATTCAGCTGCTCTCGGTCACCTCCAGTTGTCCTGAAAACTCACAAATGACGTTGCCCAGGGACCTCAAGAGTCTGCCGGCGTCGAGTTCGCGGGCCTTCGGGCGATCCAGCCGGAGAAGAAGGCGAGCCTGGTCGCCGCCGCGATGGCGATCGTGAATAAACAGGCTCCGAGTTGTTCCTTGGCCTAGCTCTGCTCGGTGGCGGATGCGACAATGGCGATTCCTGTGATATGGGTGATATAGGTCGTGGCGTCGCGGGCCCGCCTTCGCTTCCTGAGTGGTGTCCTGGTGATACTGGCTCCTGTGGTTCATGTTCTCGGTATGTGCTGTACTGTTCAGCCGTGTCTTTCAAGGCGGAACTTCTGAACCGCTCTCCAGGAACTTCTGGCCACTGCCTTTCCCTGTAGTCGGGGGCCCCAAATGGATCTTCGGTAGTGCTGCCGAACCATTTGCCAACTTTGACCAGGCCGGCAGAGACTTTTCGTCTATGTCCCGGACCTTGCTTGGTTGCCTGAGTTCCGCGCGTAGATGTGCTCGTGAGTGGCGGTAAGCCATGCTCAATGTGGTCTGCATGCCCATCTTCACTTTCTTGGAAAGACTCCGAGTCTACCTCTCGAGCCCGATCATAGATCAATCGACAGTGTTCGCAGCCACAGATGCTAAGCGGGTCTTTCGGGGCCTCGTTTATACCGTCTAGGAGGTAAATGAGGAATGATCCCACGATTGCTAGCCCTGTTGCAACAATGGTGCCCCATTGGCCTGGAAGAGAACTGGTCAGCGACAGAGAGATCCCGTAGGCATATATAACTCACCAACGCTTCCAAATGGCTCGGTATGATAGTCCATCTGGGGGCTCCAAAGATTGATCTCTCCGAGGATGAGAATGGCTAAGGCAGCGCCGCCAAAAACGAAGATCTCGATCAGATTCAGGAACCCGCTAAACGTTCTGTGTATATCCTTGGATTCATCGGATTCGTTTCCCTTTTCCTTCTGCGGCCCGTTCTGCCTCTTGATCCAATCGGTGATAACGATCTTGTTTCTCATAGAGATGAGCGAGATTATGGCCGGAACGCAACATGCCACCGCGAGAAACATGGCGTTTCCAAATCGAAGCTCGTTCGGCCTCGGCACCACGAAAATTTCACTAGCAGCCTTTTGCCTCAAGCGAGAAAACGGCCCGTCTGTCTGGGAACAGGTAATACCGCATAATGGACTGTCTCCGTAAGGGAACTTTCTCGGGTCCGACGATATTGGATTGCCGTTGTTGTCTTGATAGCAGGGAATAGAATTGGATCGGTAGAACTCGACAGCCAAGCTCACGAGCCCTATAAATATTGGTCAAACTTTGAGCAAATACGTCTTCTGGGGGGTTTAGCTTCCTACCTGCTAGTAACAGACTCGTCCACACAAAGACAGTGTTGCGTCCCTTTTCGTGGAAGTACGTCTCGGACTTCTTGACCGTCAACGGAACTGCGAGAATGCCAATGGAGCAAAATTGAAGCGCCCCGTAGATATCCATATCGGCAGCGTCTAGGCAATGAGTGTCAGACAGAAACTAGGGACCTTTCTGCTCCCAACTAACCATTTACATGGAGCGCTGCAAGAACGATCCCATGCACCGCAGCCACGGCTGGTAAGATCAATGCCGCTGCTATGCAGACATCTCTGATCCATTTCTCTCCACGAGCTAGTACGCATACTGCCAAAAGAATGTAATACCTAGATCACCCTATGTCAGCTATGGCCCGCTTATCGTAGAGCATCGTCTATTCGAGGAGATTCGAAAGCTGCAGATGGGCAACGTCTTCGCCCTTTGGTTGTGTTTGTACAATTCACACATCGCTCTACTCGTCCTGTGTCCAATCTCGAACCATCGAGAGTTGGATTGCTACAGAAGGCGAGGTATAAAGGGCCGATACAACATCACAGCGATGAGGTCTTGGGCGATTGCCTCGGACTTGTCCCCGGTTTTGCCCACCGCTTAGTAGGTTGTATGTAATCCCGTTCCATTGCAGTAGAAAGTGGAGAAAGAGAAGCATCGCTCACAGGATTCGCTGGCCAAATCCATATTGCCCTGATACTGGCCATCCGCAGAAAACCTCTATGCAATCCGGAGACGATCCGCAAGACGCGGTGAGCTGATCTGTGGCCCGCTGGCTGATGATGGCACGCAATAGAGGGGCAGGTGAAAGCGGTGGCATCGCGCGTGTCCCATCAATTCTCCCAAAAGGTTGACACAGCGTGGTTCGACCATCTAATGTGGGAACGCTCGGTAAAATAAGCTTTCGTTTGTTTCCTGCTCGGTAGCAACGGTGGAAGTTGTAGATAGTCAATCGACGAAAACGGCTTTCTGCTGCCTCTCTAATCGGTAGTTGGACAAGACATGGAGGTCGTCTCCCGCCCCTCCATCCGAAGAAGTTCACCTTCCCTTCCGATTGCCCGAGTATCCGTCCAATGCTGGCATTGATTACCTCACTTGACGGTAAGGCTGTGAGTGGAAGGTGCTCGTGTGCTCGCTTGCTCTTCCGGTGCGGCTCAGCGAGCAGTGCAGAGCAACGGCGCAAGGGGCAAAAGCTTGGGTTCAGATGGCAAGCATTCCAGAAACCCCGCGGTGGTGGCGCAGCAAAAGGATTCGGTTGCCCATCTTACCGTCTTCATCATGTTATCGAGTCGTAGGATACAGAAAGGCAGGTGTTTGAGGTGAGCATCGCTGAGAATCTGACGCTGCAAAATGCCGACCGGCGAATCGACAACGCCAAGCCCCATAAGGATGGGAACACAGCAGATGTGAGAGCTTCTAGGGACGCATTGTCAACTGTTTCTGGCCAGTAGAGGTTGCAGTGCCCTGTCGGCTCTGACATTGACGAGAAACAATGTTCAATCGGAGGCACGCTGACTTGCTGATGCTTGCTGATGGCATTGGAACCGTGCAGGATACTATGCCGGTTGAGGCACTAGGGCCCAGATCAACTCGCCAGTCGGGCGTTGATGCCACCCCGCCAGCTCGCCCCGTCTCAGGTCTTAGTGCCTTTTCCTTCTCGAGTCTCCTCGTTCCCCGGACCTCACATGGCCGGGCGATCTCGCTGACGTGGGTGGATGATGTTAGCTCGGGCAGCCTGGCTGTTGGTTCTAGGTCTCTGCGGTCGACTCTGTTCTAGCATATCTCGTACTTGATGCGCTGAGAATCCTCCTCTATGGTTGAACCAGTCAGTTTCGCACGGTACATTATCAAGATGACGGTAAGAAAGAAGAGGCAAAGCTTATAGAAGCGAGGTTGGAAGTGCAGGGAGGTTGTAGATGCTCAACGTAATTTTTGATCATCAGGCTTCCAGTATTCTTCCTTGCAACGTTAGCTCAGGCGCAAGGTGGCAGTGTTAGGTTGGTTCCAAACTGGAACTTGGAAGACTTGAAGGAACGTCAATCACCCGAACCGATCGTCCCCCGCCGCGAATGAAGCGGCGACGTCAATTGGAGAAGGACATGGCCGAAGTGAATGACCCGCGCCTTCTCCGTTGGCAAGGCGGGTAATATACACAGTAGGTACAAGGGCTCCACTTAATCGCACATTCCCCCGTCATCTCAATTCGGTGGTTCTTGCCTCCTTCACCGCGTTCAGAGACTTCGTGAGAAGTACTCCGTACATGGATCTTGCGAATTTTCTAAACCTCTCTCTCGTCGACGCTTGATTCCTGGGCCCCATGAGGGCTCGAAGTCTCGACACGTACTCTAATTGATTACGATGGCCATCGATACACGGACGGATCAGATCAGAGAATGGAGGTCAATTGTGACGTTGATAGCCTTCTTCCTTGCGAGTAAGTCGTGGTACCTTCGTTGAAAAGCCTTTATGTGCATCGCACATGTGTCGCAAATGGATAATTCATTGATTCAATGGGCGCACAGACATCGTCGTACTGTTTCCTTTCCACATCCCAATCTACGTTCCTGCGCGACTGTGGGATGCGGTGCTGAAGGTGCTTCGCAAGCTGCGGGTGATACCGCGCGAGGAAGACACTCACGATGACTTCAAGGAGGGTCGCTTTGAGGGAATATCCCCTCGACGCAAGCGTTTCAAGCGCTTCGACTTCCCAATGAACTCAATCACTGCGCCATTGATCGCCGACTTGTTTCTCCTGGCCATCTTGGCAATTGGCAGGGAGGAAGTGTACGACGGAACCATTGGCCAAAACGGCATCCATCCTCTCGATATCATGGTTTTCTTTCTGACGCTGGCGTACATTGCCATTTCGATTGACGCCTCGGGACTCATTCGGTACTTGGCACTCAAGGTGCTTCAATGGGGAGGCAAGGTCGGCTACCGGTTGTTCTTCTACCTCTACGCCTTTTTCTTCTGCCTGGGCACCTTCATCGGCAACGATCCCATTATCTTGTCCGGCACGGCCTTCCTCGCCTATATGACCCGAATCTCGAATAACATCAAGTACCCAAGAGCGTGGATCTTCACCCAGTTCTCCATAGCCAACATCGCCTCAGCCATTCTCGTCTCATCTAACCCGACCAACCTCGTGCTTGCAGGTGCCTTCGACATCAAGTTCGTCGAGTACACGGCCAACATGGTTGTGCCAGTCGTCGTGACGGCCATCGTCTTGTTCCCGTTTCTCCTCTACATCATCTTTGCAGACAAGAAGCTCATCCCCGAGTCCATTGAGATGTTTCAACCGCCAGAGGAGGCCATGCAATCGAAGCCCGTCAACCCCAACATCCCGAACCCCAGAGGAGCCGCAAGCAATGCCGATCAAGCGCCCGAGAGCAGTCCGCAAGCACAGTTGCTCTCAGCTATTGAGATTTTGAACCCCTGGCTTGACAAGGGAGGAGCTGCCTTTGGCGCTGTTGTCATGTCGGTGACCCTAATTACGGTCCTGGCTCTCAATGCCGCAAACGTGAAACCGAAGGATGATCAGCACCTGCAAGTCTTTTGGGTCACTTTACCGGCCGCTTTTATCATGCTATGCTGGGACCTGGCGTTCGGCTGGTCCCACAGAAAAGAGACTCGCCGCATAGCACAACAGGGACGAGAGGGACAGGATGAGGAGCTTGTCAGGGCAGAGGAAGGCATTAGAGAGAAGGGCAACGCGGGCATATTGGGCCAAGAAGACACAAGCTTGGCCCAAGAGACGACAGAGATGTCGCCAATGTCACATGCAACCAGACCAGAGATTCATATCCAAGATACCGACCTTCTGGAAGATAAGGAACGCCTCGGAGTTGCAAATGAGGAAGTTTCGCCAGTCAGCAACGATTCGAGCACGAATGCGTCGGAGCGGAACGCTACTGATGCCGAGTTCATGATTACTCCAGCAATCCCAGCATCAGGAAACAGCGACAGTGTGACCGGCAATGCAGGCCCGCAGCTCATATCTTCACAGTCTACAGCCGTGGAAAGAACGGAGAAGGCCGATATCAGCAAAACACCAAGCGAGGGTTCTACGGAAAGTAGGAGACGAGCTGTGCCAGCTGCGGCCAGTGGGCCTGGCGAAGCACAAACGCTGCCAGATGGGGTTATGGATATTGAGAAGGGGACCACTGGACGACAATCCCGCCGAAGCTCGAGTTTCCGCTCCAAGAAGCAACCGGCGACGCTGGTATCGCGCTTCAAGGACGGGTATCGTTGGTCACAAGAGACATTCCCCACGGTGATGGCGGTGCTATCTCATCTACCCTTCGCCCTCGTCCCTTTTGCCTTTGCCATGTTCGTCCTTGTGCAAGCTCTCGTCACCAAGGGCTGGGTACCGGTGTTTGCGTACGGATGGGATCACTGGGTTGAGAAGACGGGAACGATTGGTGCCATTGGTGGCATGGGGTTCCTCTCGGTCATCCTCTGCAACGTGAGTATTTGCCCGTCCAGATCTGGTTTGACCAAGACGTTTTACCGCATAAAGGCTGACTTTTGAGATCCTTCTTTAGTTCGCGGGTACGAATATTGGCACCACAATCCTACTCTCCCGCGTGATCCAGGCGTGGCAGCAGATCCACCGAGAAAATGGCGTGCCCATCAGCGAGCGCACTTTCTGGGCGACGGTCTACAGCATGGCTCTCGGGGTCAACTACGGCGCCTTCAGCACCGCCTTCAGCGCATCGTTGGCTGGCCTGCTGTGGAGGGACATTTTGGAGAGAAAGCACATCTTTGTCAGCAGGAGGGACTTTGCAAGGGAGAACATACCCATCATCGCCATTGCCATGACGGTCGGTTGCACGGTTCTAGTTGGGGAGATTTACATTACTCGAACGGACGATGCGTATCCGCTATGAGCTTGATATCAATCAAGCAATGACTAGGCGAGGTTCATGAGTTGACGGCCATCATATAGAAGACTGGAGAAGTTTTAGAGATCCAAAAGATACCCCCATTTCAATGGAAATGACCGTCAGTGGATAACATTCGTCTGAATGAGGCTAAAACGACGATTATTCGTCAACGTCATCTCAAGCTGAGTGATGCTTAATGCGGGAGAGAATGAGAGCACGCCAGACTACAGAATAACCCCAGACTGGACGGCACCACACTCCGCCACAAGCACGACATCGCAGACGGGATTAATTGACTTATGACCAAAGAACAAGTCATTCGCCACACTCGGAGCGGGCATCGTGCAGCCGTCCCGTCTCGACTGCGGCATGAAGAGCGGGAGGGCTGTGTAGAGGGGAATATGCAGACTGTTACTGAATGCATTTCCGCAGGCAGGCGAGTACCGTACGAACATTGGATTATTGCGGATGGCGTGCAGCAGGGCTGTGGCTGTGTAGTGAACATCAACCCGGGGGGCTCTGCTGCGTGATGCAACGCGGGCTTCGTCTTTTGTTTTGCCATGCATTCTGCATTCTGCGCATAGTCTATAAGGGGTTATGAAGAGATCAGGTATTGCTTCTGTTGTAAGGCCCATAGAAGATTTCTCGGTCTGCCTTGACGAGGCGCGTAGGAGTTCACCCGTTGGGCCCGGCAAAGTTGAGGGTCTTTGGCAGGCATCTTCAACTAGGGTCTCATTCACCAAGACCAACTCACTTTTGTCGAATTCGCTCATAGGCGGGGGTTGCGGAAAGAATCATGGTCAATAACCGCAAATCGCGGTTCAGCGCTTATCGCTCACTCGGGTCCTTGGTAAGGTAACATTGAGCAGAGTCGTGAAAATAGCACAGCCGCGCTGCTGTGCCGTCACCAGGTTCTCACTCACCGGCGATCCACAGTGTCGTAGTGTAGACTCGCGACAATGGGGTTTACCGTTTGACCACGATTATGATCCATTTCCGGACGTCAGCGGAGGGTTGTGTGCATGTGTCTCAGTCATGATCTTCTGGTTCAGCCAGCCCCCCATTCACCAATGAGATTGCCTCGCTGCCGAAGGTCGGAAGCGCGGAGGCTGTAGGTAAGCTGAGGCAGCAGGATACAGCAGTTTCACCCCTACCGACGACAACGGCTGCGGGGTTTCCCAGGTTGTGATTGATGGAGCATGGGGGAGGGGACGGCACGGGAGGAATGGGAGGATGCCTGGGGAGGGGCAGAGGGGTTCGTCGGTTCGATGGGGGACGGAAGATCAGCGTCTGTCAGCACGGAAGGGGACGGGGTTGCTTACTGCATGAGCTAGTCCGAGGAGCTCTGGGCTGTTGATTCAGTCTTTGAGTGTGAACTTGTGTAAGTCGGGTGCGTCTCTACGGCGTGGACGGGCGGGCGCATCCGGATCAAGGTCTTGGCTCTTGTTTTTGGCTGAAGGCTGAGAGATGTTGTCCCGAAGAGATGAGTGGTTTCCTCAATTCCAAATGATCTCGGCTTCAGAGGGAAAAGACGGGATGGACTCTTCAAAGTTCGACCCTGCTTTCGCTGGCCAAAGCACCCGGGCGAATTGAGTTGTGGGTGAAGAGTTGAGACGCTGGAAGCATGCAGTCTTCTGCCCGAGAAGATGGGAAATGTTTCACCCCATTGATGCAGGCAGGTCGTTGATGGTAGGCCGTGCTCTTGCTTCAGTGTGCCATGCAGCGCAGGACTCTGCTAGAGAGCTTTTCCCAAGTTCTCGCCAGTCGGGATGGTTAATGGCTCGGGTTTAGCTATGGTCATTGACTTTGACTTGGAATCTCTGAACTTCAGATATATGCAGGGGATGTTTGATAATCGGGCGTTGTCTCTTCTCCCCCACCCTCCGCACAACAGGGTTGGGTTTGAATCCTTCGCGGGAAAGACGGCATGAACCGAGGCTGTTCAAGGCTCTTTTGCGAATCGAACCTCCGAAAATAATCTTGACGAAGAGAAACGCAAGATGATTTTGAGTACTGCTCTCTTATCCAGTGCCAATAGGTAGCGCAGCAGATACAGTATGACACCGTCCGCCTAGGATAGCCATTGTAGCTAAGGTATTGATGAGCAGTATACCATATTCCAGTGAAGCTCAGTCCGCTCCCAAACAAGTCGAATATCGTAAAGTCAACTCGAAGAGCATCCCATCTCCCAGGATCCTCCATCCCATTCTTCTTCCGTGGGGTTCAAGTGTCTCCATCCGGACTTCGTGGGTAAGGCAGAGGGGGGTAATCCCGTGGTGCTCACGACGTCCGGATTCATCACGCTCGAACGGGGTTTGCAGTTGTAGCAACTAACATTCTCACCATCCTCTACCGTGCAGGAACTTACATCAACTCTCTTGCTCTGTTTCTTCTGACTTCCGGAACGCGGCTTTCTCCCCAAGATTTCACCAATGCAAGTATGGTTCTTATCATCGAATCCCTTTCTTCTCACCGAGGGCCATCCCGGAGAGATCCTGCAGGCTCACTGTTGATGCAGTCGCCGTTTTGAAACGGCCGCGCTGCAGCAAAGTCGGTGCGTGGGAGTGATCAATGCACCCGTTGGATGAGATATGGACAGAGTTTTGGGTTTTGTTCTTTCAACGTTTTCTTGCCAAAACAGTCTGAATAGGTTTTGTTTGAACCATTTTCAGCTGAAGCGAGGGAGAGAAAGGGTTCAGGGTGCAAAATGGGACGATGGGATGATGGGACCCGACTCGTAGCACTCGCGGCTGAAAAAGCCACCCACTTGCCTCGTGCTTTTTCGTGTTACCTTAATACTTTAATTTGTTGAGTCGTTGATTGCCTCCCCGGCCCGACTTTGGCCAAGCTAATTCTTCGCATCATGTTACTGCCAAGCCGAGTCTTTTCTTTGTGTAAGTTGCGAGAGGGCGGGCTGGAATTTTCAGAAACGGTCATCGAACGTTGGGACCTGTGGCATTTTAACAACGGGGGTGAGAGTGAACAAAGGAGCCAGAGTCTAGACACGGCGGGCAAACAATGTGAGCGTTGTACCCGAGGGTGAGGTGTTTAATCGAGGGATTGTGATTTCTTTGTTTAACTGGGTAGAAACTAATCGAGGTAGTCGCATGATTGCCCATTTTGATGCAACCTCGCTCAATCATCAGTTTGCAGAGTGAGTGAGTGGGGGAAAGGATGGGTGAGCGGGTTGCGTGAGTGAAGTCTTCAGTGAGTGAACTCATGAGTGAGTGAGTGACTTGCAGCAGTAGCAGCGCCTCACTAACACAACGGGGTCCGCGTTCAGGTCACCACCGACAGGGTGTGTGTCCAGGATCTACACTCCAAGTATCCGTACAGCTGCAGGTGGTGGTGTTCCAGCTCCGCCCCGCGGGTCCTTCGCCTTTCCGCCATGGCGCCCGCGAACGAGCGAAGAAGCTTCTCCAGCGTGTGTGTTCGTCCACGGAGTCCAGCTCGGCCCACGAAGCACACCACGCCGGGCTGCTGCTGCTGCTGCTGGACTGTAAGGCGTCAGGGTTTTTGGCTGGGCCGAGCGGATCTGAGAAAGCTGATTGAGCGCCTAGGCTAAGCCGAGTTGAGGTAGATCCTCGTGGACCCGTTGTGGTACCTTGTTCTAAGTTTGGGAGAGCGACGCTTAGGTTCTCTTCTTTTCTCTCTGTCAGACGGTGGTTCAGTGCAACATTACTGCGCAGTCTCGTTCGCTTTACCAAGACCAACAAGCCTCGATGTGTCTCCAACGCAGATCAGCCAGGCAGACGAGCACCATGGTCCCAGAGACTGACGCAAGTCAAGTGGTTCTCGTTTGTGATATGAATTGATAGATATGGAACGATCTAGGGAGAACGTTAGGCATACGTTTAGGACAACCTTCGGCCTTATTCGTTTCCTCGCCGCCGCAAAGAAAGCCGCCGCAAGAAACATGAACCGCCCCAAAAAGTCCAGGCAAATCCCTTTCCAGACACACCACATACCCTTGGATCCCCGCGGTTGGTCGGGGGGCGGATCTGTTTCCCTGCTGCGGGAGAACAGGGATGCTAGCACGACGAGAGCAACACGGCCAATTATAGCCGCATCGCATGGCGCCGGGCGAACGATTCGCGGCCATGGTTCATGGTCCAACCCGAAGTACAGAAAGAGAAGTTGTGAGTTGTGAGTGGCATCGCTGCGGCAGAAACAGCGCCTTATGGGGTACACTCACACGGCTACGGCTACTATTCCCAAACATTACCCTCTTTTTTCGTTTCCGTTTCTGCTTTTCCTTCCCCAGTCCCGTCCCATCCTCATCCACCATGTCCGCAGCTGGGCAATATGCACACTCCCAACCCATGAATCTTTTGCGCGAGTGTGAGTGGAAAAGGCCAAGGCATCGACGGATGCCGGCCACTCAGCGGTAGAGATACCCTCTCTGCCTTGCAGTTGCTTCGCTTGCTTCGGCTCGTGCCCTCCTCACGCTGGACAAGGGGTCTGATAGGATGCCTCCCCCTCCATGGCCATGCTTGCTTGCATGGAAGCTCTTGTGAAGCTCTCTCATCTCAATGCGAAAGAAGTATCCATTGTGTCTCGCAAGGGAAGATTCAGAAACCATGTAATAAAGGGGACCTCTCATCCCTCCTTCTGTCATCCCTTTTCCCCTCACACTCCGATCACCATTCTCCATCAACAACACACGGGCATTTTATCTAGAGAGGGTCCACGCACTGAGCTGTCTATTCTCGTCCCCGTCATCGAACAAAAAGCTCCGAGCGGAATCAACAGAACCACAACCCAATTCTGCCTGTACTTACACACATAAACATTGGTGATGTCTTCGCTTGGGTGCAGTCGTCCGGAGCATCATTGACCATCCGCACAAACACCCCACACAAACACACCCCTACTTCTGCTCCACGCCCCCCTTCCGCCCACCTTATCCGTCACACTGGCACCACCGGAGACCGGCGCTGGCGTACACTATCGCGGCACCATCTTTTTACTACCTTCTCTCAACTTCTATCCCACCCCAAAGCTCAGCTACGACTCTCGGATCTAGAAGGGGAAAGGGCAAGCAGAAGAGTCGAGACCCCGGGGCGGGGCGTAAACGGACTACGACTTGGAGACTAGGACTGCATGTTGTTCAAAGTCCCGCTGTCAACAAACAAAACGCTCAGTTCTCTTGCTGCCCGCAACGTCAACATAAGAAGACATGGCACCTGCCATCTCCGACATACGCAGACGAGAAGAAGCAAGAATACAAACAACATTTCAAGCAGCAACGACGACAGTAGCAATAGCAACAGCATCTCCTTCACACACATCACCAGCACAAACAACATCACCAACAACACCAACACCAATAGACGCAAGCAACGGCATCGGCGGCACACCAGGAAACATTGAATCACCCTCCTCTGCCGGGACAACAACGGTCCTCATCATCGTCATCCTTTGCTGCGCATCCGCCATCATGTCGGCGACGTTATTCTATATCTTTGACCGCAAAAAGAACGCCCAGTTCCGCGAGGCGTGTAAGCGGGACCCCTACCTCACGCGGAAGGAATTCGCCCGCCGGCGCAAGCTCAGCGCCCTGGAGAGGCTGGAAGAAGAGGAGCTGCAGCGGAGCATCATGATTCGCAAGTCGCTTGCGAGTCGTGGGCCGTCGAGGAGTAATAGCTGCGAGGACGTGTTTGATCTCTCTTCTATGCAGGAGCAGCACCACCGCCGCCACCACCACCACCACCACCACCACCAGATGACGGATTTGGATATGCCGGAGCCCCCGCGGGGCAGGCAGCAGATGAGGGAGCATCGGGAGGATTTACACCATGGGCGACAATTATCTGGGGAGTGGGCGCCTAGTGAGGGGAGAAGCAGGTCCGGGTCGGAGACTTCGAGCTCGGCTTCGTCTGCGAGGCGGGCTTATACTGGGCCGGGGTGTTCCGGCGTGGATGCTGAGGGGACCGGGGTCCCGTTGACGCCGGAGTCGAGTGGGTCAAGCCGGTCGGTTCTGGATAAGGAGACTGCGCCGCCGCCGATTCACCCGATGGAGGAGATTACGCGACCGTTGCCGGCGATGCCCAGGGCTGATGGCTCTTCACACTTTTAATAAGGCAAGGACTGGAGTTGGGGTGTGTTGTGGTTACGAGACATGATGAGCGAAATGCCTCTACCTTGAAGAGGACTGGGGCTAAAGGTTTGCCCCGGTGTGTATTCTTGTACCTTCTTTTACCGTACATTTCTTTTGTATTGATACCCACGATCGAATATATGTCAGTGTTTCTGACTCAAATTTGGTTTATTTGCAATCAGTGACAGACCGGCGAGTTACGAAGGAAGGTATTGGTTGACTTACACCTTCCTCGGCGGGCTGGAACATTCGAGATGACAAAAATCGAAAATCGGAGGTTGACAGTAGACCCACTCACCTGATGAGGTAAGCAAGGTGAGGTTGACCGAAATAAGGTTGCCGAGTCTCTCGCACTTGCCTTGTGTCCTGCCTGCTGAGTCATCTCCGAAAACTGCCTGCCTAAGGTCTTCCAGGGTGGTCAAAGTCCTCGTCCGTAATCCGAAACCTCAGCCTCGACTCTCTCCCACTACAACCCACTTCACGTCACTCGCTCGCCGCACGAAAGATCGTCGTCTGCATTCGCCGCAACGAAATCTCGAGAAATCGTCGCATCGACTTTTTTCAGAGCAACTTTGCGACCGTCGTATACGAGTCCTTCGAGCCGCGCGACCCTGGTACATTGCGCCGTACCATCTCAAGCCTTTGTTCGCCACTTCACACGTCTCGGACGCCTTCACTGGTAGAATCGGTCGGCTGGCAAACAAAGCCTTTCTCTCCCTCGTCTCCTCTCCTCCCTCCCCCGCAAAATCGTCTTTCGTGACTTCCGTCAAAGGACAATTCATTTGGTGAGAGAGGATATTCCTGCCGAAAGTCAGGAAGTCATGGCTCACCTTTATCTCTTGAAATAGTTAGGGCATCCCCGAGCGCTTTCGTCATTCTCCCGCTGAACGCCCACCCCGTTCATCAAGAAAACGCCGATCAAGTAGCCTGAGGATTCTCTATCTATATACATTCGCCTACTGCCTCGGCGTGGGATCGAGACTCTACCTCGGTTCCGAAGCAGCTTCTAGCATCGTCCTTTGAGACGATCGTTTATTGAGCGAAGTAGCCGTCGCCCAAAAAACACCGCCAAGCTGCATTCGCCGCTCTTCGTTCAGCTTCATACCGATCTTCTTTGGACAGCGCAAACCAGCGAGCCGACAGAAGAAACCTACCAAGCAGTCGTCAATAAGCGAAAAGAACTCCGGCGGAGAAGAAAGGAGCTCAGACGTCGTCGCAAAGTCTTCGACGAAATCAATAACATCTACACTGCCAAGCCGTACAAGCCCAAGATGCTCGGCCCCAATGGAGCCGCGACGGACGAGAATGCTGAGGGCTTTAAGGATGACCTCAACTGCGTCGTGATGTGTCCCGACTGCAAGGAGTACCCTCCCAACTTGGTTGAGGAGTTTTCCTCTGGCGACATGGTGTGCGGTTCTTGCGGCCTCGTCGTCGGAGACAAGATTATCGACACCCGCTCAGAATGGCGTACATTTGCCAACGACGACCAGGGCAACGACGATCCCTCCCGTGTTGGTGACGCCGTCAACCCCCTGCTCAACGGCTCACAGCTTGAGACCACCATCGCATTCGGTGATGGTAGAGACTCTAAGCAACTTGCCCGTCTCCAGAATAAGTCTCAGAACGACAAGGCTAGCAAATCTCTGATGCAGGCGTACAAGGAGATTGGTGCCTTCTGCGATAGTATCAACCTGGGCAAGAACGTCTCTGATGCGGCCAAGCACATCTTTAAGCTGACGTACGACCACAACTTCATGAAAGGCAAGCCGCAGGAGGCTGTCATCGCAGGCTGCATTTTCATTGCGTGTCGTCAGACTGGTGTCGGCCGTACCTTCCGCGAGATCTTCCAAGTCACCCATGTGTCGAAGAAGGAAATCGGCAGGGTTTTCAAGCAGCTTGAGTCTTTCCTCCAGAAGATCAAGGAGGAGAACCCGCGTGGTGCCGGCTCTCTTTCCAATCTGGACGGCTACAAGGCCAGCGCGTCTACCAGTGCCGAGGACCTCTGCACTCGTTTCTGCTCCAACCTCAACTTCCGCAACGCGCAGAAGATTGAAAACGTCTCGCGCGCGCTCGCACGCAAGACGTCGAGCGTCTCTGAGTTGGCTGGTCGTTCGCCTCTGTCCGTCGCCGCTGCCTGTATCTACATGGCATCTCACCTCATGAAGGAATCGAGAACCTCCAAGGAGATTGCCTCGGTGGCAGGTGTCAGCGACGGCACCATCAAGACAGCCTATCGGTTCTTGTATCAGGCTCGCGATAGACTCATCGAGAAGGAGTGGGGTGCGGACAAGAAGGCAATCGATAATCTTCCGGTTAACTAGAAGGTTTCTGGTCGCCTTTTCAACTGCTTAGACACTGCTCATCCCCAAGGCGAGGCAGAGGAAATGGCCTCCATCAAAGTCGAGGCGGAAGATTTCGGAGAAGACGCGAAACTTTTGACTATCAAATAGGAGTAGGACATCACGTCAAGACGGACCTCTGGAAGCCTCGTGCAGCCGGCTGCATTTTTTTGGTCGTTGGCAGCGACGGCAAAACACAAAAATATCCATGGGCGTTTAGGGGTGGTTTCCCTGTGCCCGCCGTCTCAGTCCGTCGATCGGTTCTAGTCACCTGGAATGGTGCAACCTCGAAGCTCTTGGAACATTAGAGCTGGAGGGTCCGATTGCCGACGGGACAGATTTGCTTTTTTGCTCGCTTGCGTGGTGAGGTTTGGGATGGAGACTCTGGAATTATTGGGACTGGGGTGGCTTAATTGCATAATCATTGCGGACATTCCCAGATTGCTGCTTGGTTTCTTTCTTGCCAAGAGGATTCATAGCATAGACAGGACGAATCACAACATGCTTTCAGTCATGAGGTTGCGCTGATATTCCGGTGAGCCTGATGTGCTTGACCAGAAATAGTAATGAGACGAGAAACAGCAGTGAGGCCATAGGGGTACAGCTTAACAAGGTTCTTCCTGATGAAGCAATTCGTAGATGGGCGTGCATACAGTGTTTAAAAGCCGTGTGATGTATAACTTGCACTGACCCAACGACCAATCAGATGCCAGCTCAGTCCCCAATGACTTTTTCCGACCACAGGGAAAGCTGAGCCTTGCTTCGCGACGCGACTCCATCTACCAGCGCCGATTGACCATCGTTCAGCCTTGCACTGCACCGAACTTGCGAATTGCGCCCACAAATCTCCATCTCAACTTCACCATCCGCCTTGCGCCCTCGACACGCGCGCTTCACAATGTCCGGACGTCGTTCTCGGTCCGGCAGGGCTGCCGCCAAGCGCGCCTCTGCTGCGCTACGTAAGTTCAAGCTTTCCCCAACTATTCACCTTTGGTCGCGACTTGGGAGCTGCATAGCCCGTAGTTTGATTCCGTGAATGGCTTGCAACATGACGGAGACGGACCATTTGCTCGAAGCTTCTCCTACGGCTCGTTTACTTATGGGATGCGAGCGCATGGCGCCTCAATGGTTTCCTCCTCGCTTCGCGTACCCCTCCATTCCCAACAGCTACCCCTCGAACAAGTCGCTGTCCCAGCCATGGAAATGTCAGAAATAACAAGTAAAAGCTGCTTGCTGACGGACTGGCGAACATAGAAAGCACGCCCAGAGCCTTTGAAGGCATCGACGATGACGAGCCCGTCCCCGAAGCTGTCGAGTCCGAGCCCGAGCATGAGGCGCCACCCGAAGAAGACGAAGAGGATGAGGAGGAAGAAGAAGAAGAGAAGGCAAACGAGTCAGGCGATGAAGAGGAAGCCGCCGACGAAGACGGAGAGGAGGAAGAGGAAGAGCAAGCAAACGACGAGGGAGAGGAATCTGAACCTTCAGCCAAAGAACCCACTCCCCCGGCCGAGCCTGTGGTGCGTCGCAAGCGACTAGGACGGCCTCCGAAGAACAAGCCACCGGGCTGGGACAACATGATCACGGTACCCGCATCCGAAGCCGACACTCCGCGACGTAGAGGTCGTGGAGGCTGGCGCGGCCGCGGCGGACGCCGGCCCGCGCCTGGACAAGCACCTCCCAAGCTCAAGCAGGTGATTGACAAGGAGGGCACAGAGGTCGACATTGTCGACGACGAGTGCGTGCTTCCCGAGGACGCGGAAGGCGAGACAAAGGTCGACAAGCTCGGTAATCTCCAGGGCGGCCGCCAGTACCGCTGCAGAACGTTCACGGTCAAGGATCGCGGCGAGAGGCAGTACATGTTGTCGACGGAGCCCGCCCGTTGCGTCGGGTTCCGCGACAGTTACTTGTTCTTCAACAAGCACCCGAAGCTGTACAAGATTATCGTGAGCGACGACGAGAAGATGGACATGATTGAGCGGAATATCATTCCCCACTCATACAAGGGCCGTGCGATAGGTATCGTCACGGCGCGATCCGTCTTTGTCGAGTTCGGCGCGAGGATCATTGTGGGAGGTCGGAATATCGTGGACGACTACCGCGTGGCTGACATGCGCGCCTCTGGCATCATCGAGGGACACGTTGCGGACCCGTCAGACGTCTTCAACCCCAACGAGCCGTACAACACAAATCAGTATGTCGCGTGGTTCGGTGCCAGTGCTGTGTACCATACCAACCAGACACCGGCTGCTTCGGATCCTCTTGCTGGTTTGACAGAGGTGAAGAAGAAGAGGGTCAACGTGAATGATACGAACTGGCAACTGGAGCACGCTCGTGCTGCTAGGTGGGCTTATATACATCAATCATTACTGTGCCACATACTAACAAAGCTCAGCGAGTTCAACAGTCGTCTTAATGCCATCCGGATGGCAACACTGCGGAACGGCGCATACGACATTCACACCAACCTGATGCAGAAGCCAGTCAACACGCAACCCACTCGCGCCCGCGTCGAGAGGGTCACTCCCGGCGACACAAGCGATTCGAACAGCGCACTGCCCTCGGTACCCTCAGCTGTGCAGCGCAACTTCAACGTGGTGGACATTGTCTATGAAATACCGCGCGCGGGCGTCCAATCCGCCGGAAAGCGACCCGCCGAGGTCCCCGACTTCCTGAAACCCTTCAACGGCATCCTGGCCATCGGCGACGACCTCAAGGCCCTCTTGCCGCCGGAGTGCCGCGAATCCCTCGAGAGGCACCAGGACCAGCAGCGGGAGTTCGAGTCGCGCTTCGGCGACGAGAAGGACAAGATGGCAAGGGGTAACCTGCAGATCGACAAGGCGATTGTGCCGCAGGGCAAGCACTCTTAGAAGGAGCTGATTGCGATCCCCGGCTTCTATCCCGCGCCTGACGGCCGCTTCGAATCGGCGATGGGCAGGCACGAATGCAGCTTTTGCGGTGGTAATGTGAGGGTGTGCGGTCATGGGAGGGAGAGGAGGGCGGTGTTTCATACGAGGCATCTTGGTGCCGTCAGGGCTGAAGCTGTTGCTGCTCGGAAGATGATGAAGTCGGAGTCTTTTCAGGGCAAGATGCCGAATGGACCGTCTTCCCTTTCCAAGATGGCGAGCGCGGGTGTTGAGTCACCCAAGAGGGCAACGTATGGGGTTGTCACCCGGGGAGTGAAGCGCTCTTCGGATGGACTTGGTTCAGGTGAGGCTGTGGGGAAGAGGGTTAAGATCCAGTCTGATGTATTCCGCGGTGGCATTTGAATTCGAGGATGAGGAAGTGGAAGCATCGAATGCTTGATGGAAATTACTGTTTGCTTGTTTTGGGGGGTTTTCCCCGTTGGCCTGGCGTTTCTGGGGGGGGGGGGGGAGGTATATGGTGGTGGAATGGTTTCAGGGGTGACCAGCACTACCTAGGAGACTACGGAAAAACTATTACTGTTGATGTTAATACTGCTCTTTCTTCTTTCCTGCTGTCGAAAGGAGAGATTGGGGCAGCAGATTTGGGCGTGGCTTGAGATGAGAGTCGCTTCAGTAAGGGTGTTGAAGAGAGAGGAGAAGTTGTATGTAAGACTAGCATGAATCATGAATAGCTCATAAAGGATTGCCCCAAGTTTACGTTTCTTTTCCTCATTGTGTTTGAGAAGAAAGGCTGAGCTGCTTGGCCCCGTCCCTTGAAATCATTGACTCCTACGGATAACCTAGATTGATCTAAATGCATGTGGTCAGGACACCAAAAGTGTCGTTATAGAAAGAGGGGCAGGTTTGTATTAGCCGACACACTAACCTACCCACCCATCTAATTATGAAAGATCCATCTGTGGGTTTATATCCCCTCAGCGGGTCTCAACCGTCAACCAACTATCACTGGATGTCAACATCCACACTTCCCCGATAGTCTAGTGGTGAGGATATCTGCTTGTCATTGAGGAACTAGTTTCTTACAACGATTCGCAGGGGACCGGGGTTCAATTCCCCGTCGAGGAGTTATCTTTTGCTTTTATGGGTTATTGTGATGATGTGGTGATGTTCTTGTTGTGGTTTCAAATTGGTAGTATATTTGTGGGGGGGGGGGGGTCCAAGTAATGCCAGCCTGCCGGGAAGACAAAAGAGATATTGGCTGGTTAATTGATAAGTGTGCGGTCGCCCAGATGAATCGTCGTCGTTCATCGACAGATGTGTAATGCCCCTCATTGTCGATCCTATGCCGACTCGACGTGCTTCATCTCAACGTCTTCCTATCCGTTTGCACCACTGTCGCTAGTTGTGCCCTCCACCTCGAGACCCTCTAACAATAGCGCGATAAAGTCCCTCAATATAGACTCTGACTGCGCTATATTCGTGCTCGTTGGCTAGTCCTTGGAGGGCAGTCGATACCGTCATGGCTGGTGGTAAGAACATGAAGCCGAGGGTCCGGGCGGCTTGTTGCTCGATCCGGCAGTGTCTGTCACCTCGGTGGTCGGCACCCGTTTCGTATTCACAAATACAGATGATGAATACGGCACGAGAGGCAAGGTACAAGAGGTAAGGGAAAACAGGGAAGGAAAGAGAGGCAAGGCATGATAGGCGAAGCGGTATGAAGGCCGTGAGATTGGACTTGTATGAAAAGCCCTAGTCTTGTATTCAGTAGGAATCATGGACTATGATCCCGACTGGGAGCTCGCTCGATGACACAAATTTTTTGGGTCGGACGAACAGGTCTGCTCAGTTTACGACTGATGACATCTAGTATCTCCCGCTCTTGGACCGCCTTTGAATGTCTGAAAGCTCTCTCAAATAGATCGACAGCGTTCTTCATAAGGCTGCTTGATTACATAGTGAGCTGGCTTGGGCGAATGAAAACGCTCTGTTCTGAGGTTCAAGTGATTTGAGGATCTCAATTCAGCCGTTCTGTTAGATGTCTTTCAAGGCCCAGAAGTTTCTTTAGTCCAGCTTTTCATGTCGAGCAGCCATCTCCCTTGACCCTGCTCCGTCTTCATGCCAACTCACACTCAATAAGCGACTCAGACCCCTCCCCCCTAGACCAGATCTTGACGATCCTCAAACCAGCAGCTCCCTCCAGCAACTGATACCACTCCTCCTCTGTCCTCTCTCTCGACGCAAACACAGTCATCATAACCATGTCGAGCGCCGTGACCTGCCAATCTGCGCCTTTGGAAGGTATAACGTTCTCGTTGATCAAGAGCCTGCTATACCCTGCCCTCATCGCAGCCTTGACTCGCGCAAGAATACTTTCGCAGACCTCGTCTGTCCAGTCGTGTAGTACAGAGTGGAGATAATACGCCCTCGCGCCCTTGACTGGTTGCTCGGTATTAAAGTCATACGGCATGAGCTCAATCTTGGAGTCGAGATCTTGGACTTGCGCCTGTGAGAGAACGTGAGGGAGGTCTTGTAGGACATGCCGTCCCGGCGCGGCAGGTTGCTTGCGACAGAACTCGTCTAAGTCGTGGCCGATGCCGCCTCCAATGTCGACGATGAACGCCGCGTCTGGTGAAGTGGTATCTGCGCCGTTGACGAGGCGCTCGACTACGGGGTAGAAATCCGGGTCCATCCAGAGTCTCCTCCCCTGGCCGTATCCTTTCATGAACTGCTGAAACTCGCCGGCGGGGTACTTTTCCATGATATGTGTGAAAAAATCCTTCTTACTGCCAATGGCATCTTGTAGAGGCCCTATATCTGGCGTCATTCTCCGCCCGTTCTTCTTGAGATACGTGGGGAAGTTGCAAAAGGTAGGCCACACGCCGCCGACTCTGGAAGAGGCCATTAGTTTTCTAGATCTCTCATGCCGGCTGGATCATGAAGACTTACACGCAAGAGTAGGCGCTGCCAATAATAGGAAGGGTCAGTGATCTCGAAAAGTGGTTCGTCTCGTACTCGTCAACACCGGTCTCGCGTAGATATCCGGTCGACGCCAGATGCCTCATCGAACGCGCTAGTAAATCTTTCTCGAAGTCTAGTTCTGCGGCGAGTTGGGCTACGGTCTTCGGCCCTGGATTTCGGGCCATGAAGTCGAAGAGACCCGATTCAACTCCTGAGGCGATGGCGCAGCCAGTGGCAGGCTGTGTATCAAGTTCAATTAGCAAATTACACCGTCTACTCCCTTTGCATGACCTTGTAATACCTGTGCCCACAGGTGCTTGATCATAGTCTCTCTGGGTGTCTCTAGAGCCTGGACCAGCATACGAGCTTGCTTCAGAAGATTAAGGCAATTCTGCTCATTGTCGAGAGAGGAGGCGCCTAATGTGTTGATGCTATTCAACAACATTGCTACATCTTTTGGGTTGCCGGGCTGAGTTGCCATGTCGACTGAGACGCCATGAGGAAGATTGTCCGGGACCGAGCCCATGGCGGATGATCAATAGTAGGAACGATGAACGGTCGTGAGGCTCAGTAAGGTATGTGAAAGATACTGTGTTTTCAATGCTGGTCCCAAGTACGTCGAATACGATGGCATAGGGTATTTGACAGTGGTGTGGGACATCGCGGAGCATATTTGTATGCTTTTCTTTGCATATAGCCATATGTTCTTCATGTAAACCCTTGACAAGAACCCATGTCCGATGAATTTTCTCCCATGATCGCCAAGATTCAAACACGGAAGCTCTCATCTATTCTACACGCTCGCATGCAAGGTTCTGCTGCAACTCTGGACCAACAGACCTGTTGGTCCTGCATCATTGGAACAGAACCATGTCCAACAGTCCTTATTGGGGTGAAGCATCCCGGAATCACCCCAGCCCCACCTGGGAGGGTTGATTCGCTTCATGAGTCTGGGCTTGTTCAAACCAGGAGGATCTTGTTGGTCCAACAGATATTGGTCCATCCTGCTTGCGCAGCATCTCGATTTTGTGAACCGGGTAACACCGATGGTCCGATTCATCATATCTTCGGCTGGAATCCCCGAAAGATCTGGCTCGAACGGGCGGGAGCATTAGAGAGTGAAGGATTTGTGATTTCGGCTGGTAATATGTTCGCGAGGAAGCGAGTATTCCTGTACTTCGGTCCCAGAGCAGCAGCCATGCCGGCGTATGCAATGAAGGATGCGCACTTTTTTATCAAAGATTGTATCTGTATTCCCCTTTTCTCATCCCTACTTCCTAGAATTGACTTGCTTCGATCCCATCTATGCTCAATTGCCGCCTTTCCACAAGAGCAATGTCAACATCAACATCAAACGACAATGAAAATAAGGGACCTTCTTCTCTGGGGATCATCATCTCAGTCACAGCTCTCAGCACCCTCTTCACTGCAGCAAGACTCTATGTACGGGGCGTGATACTCAAGAAGGTCCATTCAGATGACTACCTCATCGTGGCGTCAGTAATGAGTCTCCCAAATCAAATACTCCAACATTGGCTGTCTGGATAGGTTCACCAACGTCATATAGATCTGTAGCTGGGTGAGCGTCGCGACCGCCGTAGTTGCTGTATCACATGGCATGGGCCTACACTTCGAGCTCTTGACCACCCAACCAAAGTCCGGGGCCATCTTTTGGACAGTCGCTGGCTTCCCAGCCGGCGTCATGTCGTTTGGCCTACCCAAGCTCGCCGTCGTCGCTCTCCTGACGCGAATCTTGAACCCGAGTCCATGGCACAAGACGTTCCTCTGGGCCCTGTCCCTCTTCTGCCTGCTCAACCTGACGGCCAACATGATTCTCCTCTTCGCACATTGCCAGCCAACACAATCGCAATGGGAATTTTCCGTGTCTGGTCACTGCCTGGATAAATGGATATTGGTCTCGTTTGCTATTTACACGGGAGGTACGAGGCTAAGCTTACCTTGATAATGAGATCAAATTAATGCAACGGCCTGCTGACGTGTGAGATAGCTTTTGGCGCCTTTGTTGACTTGTACCTCGCTGTCTATCCAGCATTGGTGCTTGCGAGACTACAGATGAGCATCAAGAAAAAGGCAGCTTTGAGTGTTGCGCTGGGCATTGGGTCTATGTAAGGAGACAGTCGGTAGCCATCACGACAAGAACATGCTGACATTGGTTAGCTCGTCTGTGGTCGCGGTCTACAAATGCACCCGCGTCCGGAGTCTTGCAAGCAGCGACTTCACATGTATGTCATGGACTCGCTTTCACCGCCACCCAGGATCTCTCGGCTGACGATTACCTCTAGATGAGACGGAATCAAAGATCGCTGGGGCGAGAAGTTGCAGCAGTCAGGAGATGATACTGAGCCGAGATGATACTGAGCCAGGATGACTTTGATAGGAAGATTATACGGACGGATACTTTCATTGTGAGTACGGAGAGAAAGGGAGTCTGAGTGGGAGAAGGAAGGCCAGTACGTTATATTAAGTATGGCGGAGGACCCGGTGGCCTGGCGATGATCCCGTCTTTGTTGCGGAAGATCCAATTCTTGACAATCAAAGAGGATCTATACCCAAGAACTGAGGGCCTCTGTATCAAGCAGGAGCCTAACGAAGAAGCTAAGATAATCCAAGACAATCCACTATTTAGCATCTTCTTACGATAGATTGAAGGCCTTTGTGTTTCTTAACATCGTTCGTTCACCTGAATATTCATTTACTAAGGTAGTAATTACTACTCACGTCCCTATCTAAACCTATAAAGACAATCTTCACACCACGTTCCAAACGCTCCCTCACCTCCCTCCCTATATCTGTAAAGATAATCTTTACACCACGTCCTGAACGCTCGTTTATATCCCTTCCCATATCCGTACAGATAGTCTTCACACCACGTCCATAACGCCCGTTCACCTCCCACCCTGTATTCGTCACACCAGCCTCACGAATACGGAACAAGCACGAACGGGGACCGTTAAGCAGAGCCCACAGTTCCCAGCTTAAGAGATAAAGGCAGACAGGTTTTGAGATTGGCATGACTAAGAAACCGAGCAGATGCCGACTTGAGCACCATCAACAAGGCGGCAGCCAAGAAGGACTTTTGGCAGGTTGGACTCATTCCCGCCGTTGACTGGCTTACGGGATAGGTAATTCCTGACTTAAGGCCTCGATATATACTCGCCACGACGGCCCATATCTAGAAATGCAGGAGCAGACGGTCAGCTATTAGGATCTCTTGCCTTCTACGGATGATACTTGGAAAGCACGATCAAGCCTAAAGATCGTTACTAATACAGATCTTGCAAAATCAACAAAACAGACCTCCCAGCCCGACCACATCACGACATCACAATATCGCAATCCTACAATACCCCGAAACCTCAAAACACCTTCTCAACACCTCTCACATGCAAACCCATCAAATACCTCTTCCTACCCATTCTCATTACCACTCAATCAAACCCACACGCGTCGTATAGCCCAAACCTCCGTGCACTTCAAACTCCCCTACCAAAACCCTTCTCACCCTCACCCAACCATAATCATCATATAAAACCCCCCGACGCTGACTTGCCCACACCTTCCTCAAACTTTCCTCACATCCGCATCCTACCCTCTTCCATATTCCAAGACAAATCCCGCATCCCTGGGTCGTCTCCAAGAAGGGGAGGGGAGAGGTGACAGCGGCGGGCGACGACGACTCGGGCCGTCACCACAGACATGCCAGAAAACTTCCTCGTCAAAGCCACATCAAAACCACACGTACCAACCCGACAAACCAGAATAACTACACACGTCGCAACCGCAGACTCACTGGATTTTCCATCCGAAGAAAGGGCATATGCTGAACAGCGGAACCACAGCATCAAACCGGAGCACTCAACAGGCACCCAGACGACACACTGCGTCCATGGTACCGCCAACCCGAGCGACACAAGTAAGTCGGTGGCATCAAACTAGGTTTCGAAAAAGCTTATCGTAGCCTTGTAGCTTCTTCTCTGTCTGTGGGTTCGTTTGCCCCTGGGAACATGACATCACTTGCTTCGCTCACCTCACGGTTGCTATTCTTCTAGATCGACCGCTCGTTGAGCGTTTGTCTCTGGGCTACGCGGCACACTTTAAGCGGACCGCTCCGAGCAAGGCAGGGATTCATCATCCACTCTTGAAGATACAAGTATAAGAATGCATTCATAGTATTATGCGTGTACTTGAACACGCTTGGCTATAGAGTGCGATAGATTGGCATCGGGCGAGCCATCGCGCCTAGAATCAAGGACGTCAATGAGATCTCATAACAGATCTCCGGACGGTGCATTGCAGTAGATCCGCTTTTACGTTCTGCTCAGTTTTACAGCAAGGCAACGGCAAGGAGACGGCCTGCACTCTATACTATTGCACCTCCGTGACACTCTACAGCAAAAATGCCACGATTGAGAGCAAAGCTCGAGCCCAAGAAGCTAGCGTCGTCAAGGCAAGCAATGAGTGGGATATTGGCGACATCACCCTTCCCCCCGGATTAGTCACCCATCCTCACCTCCAAGGCTCGTCCAACCGCAGAAACGTGACCGGTCGTTCAACCCAGCCCAACGGCACGATCCGGCATGGGGGAGCTTTAGGATGTAGCGGACTGGTGGTGGGATCAATGAGAGAGGGTGTCATGCCACACCCATGGCCAGCGAACAGCCAACATGGATGCAGCAGCAGCAGCAGCCACAGGCCGCTCGCTGGGCTCAAGCCGGCGCCCCGACCAAGCAAGTCCACAACCCAGCCAACGCTAAAGCAAAAGTCACCCAACCAGAAAAAGCACGAGACTCAGCACATCCCGAAATAAAATACTCACCGTCCCGTCCGCTGCGTCTACGTGCTTCCAGCCCGTTCCGTCCGTTCAGCGTGCGTGAGCGTGAGTGCGCGGGTTGCGTGTGTGCTGCCTATACGTGGTGTGCAAAGCAAGATCACGCGCCTTGGACTTCGAAGCTCGCATGCCCCGGCGCTGGCCACCGCTGCAGGATGCGGCGCAGAAGGGGGCCAGGGCAGGGCAAGGGCAGGGCAACAGGATTAGTGCAGTGAGTCGTTCGGCAGTCACTAGCTATTGAACCCAGGAGCTACTGATGGCTGCAGCCTGGGTTGACTGATGGTCTCCCTCTCTCTGGGGAAAAGACGAAAGACACGCTTGGCCTAGTAGAAGTGTTTGCCTGCGATTGCCGAGACAAAAAATGTCCGTAAAGAGCAAAGTCGTGACGAGCGTAAGCTCTCACAGAGTGAACCGGACGAGAGAGTACTGGCGTCAAAAAGACGGTAGGCAGGCAGACATGTATGTCTAAGTCGCGCCATGCCCTTTCTCACCGCTCGCAAAGGCCGCTATTACCAGCAGCAGGTCACAACGAAGACAAGTTGCATGTGCCGTCTACCGCTATCCGGCCGAATCGCGAATCCAAGGGAAGCTGAGATACGGTACGGCCTTGTCGGTACGGACGGACGCCACGCGCATGGCCGTTTTGCGTCTGGCGCAATGTGTTCAAAAACGAAGCGTGGCTGACAATCTACCGACTAGTGGGCTGCTTTTGCTTTGCCTTTCCCTTTTCGACTGGAGGCAAACAAAAATGAGGCATGATTGATGCGCAAGTTCACGGTGGCTGCAACGAACTCTCGGAGCCAGGTCGTCAGATCACCGACTGGTCAACGGCGGCCCGTCCGGATACGCTGGGTGGGAGTCACAACTCCCAGATCCATCCAGTCCGGGGTAGATAATGCGATATCGAGCCCAGTGCGTGTTCGCCTGGAGGCAGCAGATAACCGCCCTCTTGAACGCGCACGTCTCGTCTCAACGGGGATGTGTAGTAAGCGCTTGAGTGATATGGGCAGGCGGGCGGATTAACACGACGGTGACGACTGGGTGTTCGCGTGTCTGGGCGGGGTGTGTGTGTGTGTAAAAGATGCGAGGTCAGGATCGCCGGCTGTGGGATTGGAGACGGAGCGGAACGGCTGAGCTGCCTGCGGCACAGAGGCATGATAACAACCCCGTTGGTGAACGGGTGCGTGATATTGTCCGGATGCTAGCCAAGTCGTCCGCGAGAAAGGCTTGCCGTCTCAATGCATGTGGCCGAGGGGAGGTAAGATACTCACCTAATTCCAAACATTAACCCATCACATCCTGCAGACACATCTTCCAAGACAGAAAGCCAGGAATAGGTCAGGGACCGCGCGACTCTTCTCCGTCCATCACCACCGCTTTCTTCCGCTCAAGGGCAAGGCACTACTACTGCAAGCACTCTAGCAAGCGCGTCTTCCCTGGGTCTGGTGGCCAATACCTCCGAGACGAGGCTTGAGACCGAGTCTGCTAGGTACTCAGTCATCGGCGGCGGGGGCTGTATTCGGCTGATGAACCTTCCTCCGACGGCCGGCATGACATAGGTAGGGCGACAGGCTGGAAGAGCCTTTGTCAAAAAGGTTCCTTGTCACCATGGGAAGGTTGTGGGTGTGAACCATATTAGCAGGTCCAGCTTCAGCAACGAGCGTCGGAAGTTGGGGGTCACGCAGCCAGGCCGTCCACGTACCGTAGATGACGGCGGGCGTTGAACAAGACCAAAACGTGCATCTTCTAGCACGTTGTCGATTCACTCTGGAAGCCTTGGCTGACCCTCCGTGACTCCCTTGCCTGCACTTCTTAGTCGTTGCGCCTCCCTGCCACTCCTTCTCCTCTCACTAATAGTGTATCCGTATGCGTGTGTTTTTGTGTGTGTGGGGTGTAACTCGGGGGATGGACGATGAGCCGATTCGGGGGTCCATTTGACGGCGGATAGGTAGGGTCATCGGTCACGGGCTGGGCTGTGAGCGTGGCGACTAACACTACGTCAAGAGGGTTGCACCAACACATCGATGAGTGTGATGGATGGGTGGTGAATGGTGATGCGTCTCCGCCGAACGCCTGCTGGTCCCGATTGAGAGTGGTCGTGCGGAGCAGAGGCGGGCGGCTTGGGGCCGATAGCTCCTCCCGGGACCCGTCCATGACATGCTTTCGACTCCCCCCTTCGACTCGAGTCCATTTGTTTGGATCCTCAGTCCCAAGCGCCGTCGCGGCGTTCGTCCATCGTGGGATCGCTTGCAGATTGGTCATAGCTAGTTGTGACCTGGGCTCAGTGCAGTGGGCTGCAACACTGGCGGCTTCACAGACACGCAGAATCGCGGCATTTTCTTCTCGAATATCCCCACTGGGACAGCGGTGCACGCCGTCCGCTCCACCGGTTTCCAGATACCCGGCCAGTCAACGGTCGCCAATCGTCGCTAATAAGGCATTTCTAATCAGTAGGCCCTGTCTCTCAACGCCAAGAGCTGTGATGCTCTGTGGCAGGGGGGAGAGGTTGGTAGTCCAAGGGGGCGTCGAAGTTTGAAGACTTAGATGGCCCCCCCAAAGTCCCGTACGGAGTAGTTCCAGGTTGGTTTGCGGGGTTTGCGAAGAGAAAGGTTCCAAGTCATTCGACTACCTGTCAGGTTGAGCGGTTTCTTTGCTATGCGACTTTTCACCTAGGCAGCTGGGTCACGATGCTCAAACTTGTGTTGCCCTCGGCACTGCCGCAGTCCAAAGACCGTTTCTTGCCACGGCCAGTATCCGTACGCAGGTGGCTGGTTGGGCAATGATCGCATCACATACCGCTGTGTCAGTACGTCTGCACTCCCGCTGATGTGCACGGCGAGACGAGTTCAAGAGTCTGGTAATCTAGTTATGAGATCCGACTGCGGGCACGACGATGCTGTCAGCAAAGCAACCTCAACTTCCATGAGGCGCCTTCTAAATGTCGACAGCCGCGAACATCCAGGAACACACTACAACATCCCCACACCGCCTGGAGCTGGTAGGTAGTGATGGGGATGTTTTGTAGACGGCAAGACATGGTGACATTAGTAAATGGCCTCTGGCTAATAGGGAGCATTCATGAAAGGTCCCGAGGATAGATACGTCTGGCAACGCGGAACCGTCGGGTGTCAGGTAGCCGTGCCTCGTATGCAGACATGCCGCTGCCTTGGTACCTAGCCAGACGGTCGAATCATACAGTCACGCCAGTCCCGCCTTTGGTGACTTTGCTGGGCTGGGCGGCTGGGAGGAGGCACGCGAGTGTTGGTGCTAAACCAATATGGTAGCAAACTGACGATATGCCGGGACAAACTTAGGAAACGGTACATTTCAGACCTCTAAGCTCTGGGATTTGGTAGGTACTCAAGAGCCCTGAAGAGGGCGAGAACGCGGGCGATGGCAGGCATCGGAGACTTCATGACAGAGCAGACGTTGCGTCCGGCAGACCTCGTCATTGGCTGTCGCCAAAGCCGCAGCGGACGACAGGCCCTTCTTCGGCGTCCTATGGGCAGATCTGGTCGAGAAGCGGATAAACGTGAGAAGATCGCTCGCGAACCATGACGAGTTGAACCGTGATCAGCCCACAGAGTCCGAGAATTGTTACAACGGCCTGGAGCCTGACGTTGTACCCTGAAAAATTCTCGTCGACGTGCATTTTTTTCTTTCTTAGCAAAGACTAGCGGAAAGTTTGGACAAGTTTTGACATCGTCAACGTCCCGGATCGGTGTCCCTGATTCAAGCTGGCTAAATCCTAACAATCGATCTAGAGACTTTGATGCTGTCGCCTATCACTCTGTTGAGCATAGTGTGGGGGCCTTCCTATGGCCATCTCCGCGTCAGGGTGCCATCGGCAACTGCGGTTGCCTTGTCCTTGGTATACAATGAACGATATTGGAAAGGCAGACGTACAGAAAGAGACCAGGCGTCTTCGTCGTCTGTACGGATGCAGAGTGCGTGGTATCGCAACGGGTCCTGACCGCGAGGGGCATCTGATCGGGTTGGATTCTGGAGCTCTCGCCATGTCCAGCCCGGGTTCCCCTCGAACCTAGTTGCGGTGAAGATGCCCAAAAGCCCCATTCTGCAGGTAATCCTGTAGAGGCTGGCTTGTGCCCTCTCAGAAAAGAGGGGATCCATCGAGAAACTAGGATAGGCCGCAAAAATAGTCCCAGAAAAGAAAAAAAGGTCGAATCGATAGCTTTTCGGCTGGCCCAGGTTGAGCATCCACATGATGGGGCCCTCGTGCCCTGCCACCCGCTAGAGGCGGATGGTGGAGTTGGACCCTTGGACAGGCACGACAGGTACGACAAGTTTGGAGAAAGACCACTTTAGCCTTTGCGTCTTCTCTGCGTCTGTGGGCCATCGATAAAATTCGGTGCAGTTTGTTGGTATTGGTGTGATGAAATCCCACCCGATCTTCGGGCCTGGAACCTAGTGACACCAAATAGGTGACGACTACTCGCCGGAGACTGGGCGACTGGTTTCCTGATACACCACTCTGACTCCGTAGTGCTTTGTCTTCCCACCAGATGATCATTCATAGCGGATGAGTTGTCAACACGATTGCCCGTAGAGTTCGGCGTGGAGTCTGAACCCTTCCTTGGAAGAGACCAAGGGAGACCGGCTGTCATTCCGTGTTGAGACTTGGTTTTCAGGGTCCAAAGCAAAACCCCTAGCATCTCATAGCGTCGTGGTCAGTTGTCGGCGCGGTTGAAAGGCCGAGATATTCATAGAATAGGCGGCGGTGCAAGGGGAGCCTTAATTGGGTGTCACTATCCGTCCGCAGTATGTCAGTGACGGCCAGCCGCGTGCCAAACCAGGAGAACCAGCTTGGACCTGGCAATGGCAGACCTGGCCCGCTTGCTATGTATTTCCTTGGCCTGTTGTATTCGACAGCAGGACCGCGAATTTTCTCCGTAAAATGCCTTGCACAGCGGACCGGACTCAGCTGAATGCGTCGAACACCTTAGGTGCTGTATGCCGTAGACTTAGAAGGGCACTTCAGATCGCCAGCGCCTTCCCTCGTGAAAGTGTTCCCGTCAGGTGGCTGAGCCTGAGAATTTCTCGTTGTATCACGTCCTGCATGTTGATGGAGTCTGGAGATTCTTTGCCAGCCTGCCAGGAACCCCCCTAGGGTTGCGAACTTGCGGCGGTCCACGGGGTGGTTAACACGAGGCACCGCCCTAGACACCTCGTTCAAGGGGGCACCGCTAGGCCGAAAGATCCATGATAGAAAGAAGATGCACTGTGTCTTTGGCCAGCTGCACCCCGGGGCGTGCAGCTGTGTAGAGCCGGGTCTACCGGTCGGTCTTGAGCTGGTGATAATGAAGGCGCCTGATAGGTCGAACGTCTGAGCGGTCGTACTCCCTACACCGAGTCTCAAAAGACTGAGCCAACATTTTGCTTCTCGAGCAGCGGGTCAGCTTCACCCTGACTCGCGATGAAATGCAACAATGCGAATCCCTTCCAACTTCCAAGTTCTTCTTCTTTGTATACTGTATTTGCGGGTATCGAGCCATTTCAAAGCACAATGAAGGTTGCCACCGGTGTTGGGAACACGAGAACTCCTAGTTAAGGGTAGCTCACGTCAACCTATGGCAATGGCCTTGAAGCAAGCTCTCTGTCCGTACTGCCACGACATGCTGATAGTGTACTTTGGACGAAGGCACAACGATACTCCAAGGTCTCGAAAGGGTTTCTTCCTCTTTTCCCGTTGATACAACGGTGAGCGCCGTTTGAACGCAGGGCTGGAAATTCGTGGACGTTGTAGGGCATGGATGGCCATGCAGACCGCCCAAGAGTTTGTGAGGTTGCCCAATCACAGGGTCGACATTTGAATTCTCCAAGCCATGCAGCCTGCTCATATCCGGGGAATGGGCATTGTCTCCAGCGGCAACCAAGCGCAGGGCTGGGGAGGCTTTCTCATTTCCAAGTCGATGCCTCGATGCCTCGATGCCTCGCCAGGTTGTGGATGATAATATCTTGCTTCTGTCAACCGTATCGTGTTGCGTGCGAAGTAGCAATGCTGGTTCATGCGCCTGAGAAGACAAGTCTCACTTGTGACCACGGCGTGCGTTGACTTGCTGGAGATGCGACGCTGTTAACCATCCTCCTGGGCTTGGTATCCAAGGCACGTGATTCGAGGTCGTCGTTGCTGAAGACCATGAACTTGGGAAGCTGGATGGTTTGTTGGCTGCACGGCAGCGATGGCCCTGGATGCGTGCCCGGATCTCACCTGAGTGGATTATCAATTCTTGATTCCTGGTAATTAGTATCCGTACTGCGATGGCACGGATGATCCAGCCTTTTGACCCCTGAATAAACTGAGTGGCGAGGGCCAAACATGGTTTGAGAGCTCTTAACGGGCCACGAGAGCACCGAGCGCGTCGCAGCTACTCGCTAACCGTGAAAGCGAAAGTCCAGTACGGTGTCTGCATAATGGCTTCTTTCTCCAGATTGCAATGCGCCTGGCTTAGGTGGAGGATTCCTAGACCACCAGAATTTTGTAACCGTATTCAAAACCTGTATGAAAAACCCTTAGGCTGAAGAGCAAAATGTTTGAATTGCAGTGGCAGGAGTCGAGGAGGAAACACAACTGCCCTGCCGGAGGTGAGCCGCGATCCGAGGCGACAAGACTGGTGAAAGCAACGCGCCTGACAATGTTTGGTTTGTGTGTGAGGCGCGTAGGAGGATCATCATCCGGACACACAGCTACCGGTTGCCGTCCAGACTTCAGAGTGAAATTGTTTCCTGTGTGCCAGTCACGTTTGGCCGGTGGAGCCCTTCCGCTCTCAACTACCCTCGGGTGTGCTGCTAGTCTGTAGATGACAGAACTGAATTGAGAGAGGCGTCTGGGCACTGTATCTAGGACGGTGCCTCGGAGAGTGGAGCGTGCGGTATTTCTCTTCCTCCGCTGCAATCTCATCCAACTCCCAAGCCGGCAGAAGATGAAAATGCAATATACTCACATTTGCAGTACGTATCCGTAAAGCTTTGTTTTTGCTGGGCCTTGCTGCGGGTAGAGACGATAATGCCAAATGTGAAAATGCCGCGTTTGGCTAGGTGCTGGGCTCCCGGCAAGCCACCGCTGTCTTCGACGAATGGACGGTGGCACTGGTGGTCACTGATGAGCTGCAGGAATGAATCTTGGTGCGGTGAAATTGGAAATCCATTTTGTGTTTTGCTACGAACCTCTGTACTTCGTGACAGGGTTTCGCCCGCGTGGCCCGAAGAGGGTTGGGAATTGACTGCCACGTTTGCTAGAAAATGTTGATCAGGTAGCGGGACAGAGGCACGGAGGCAACTGAGACTGAGATACGCACACATGAAATCACGAGGCAGCCTCGTCTCGATGAAGCGAACTGGATATACGAATAGTTGACTGCGCGTCGTACTGGATGTCGCACCCTCTCAACGCTCGGTGCGGCTTAACTAAGGCAATACGGACCTGACCCTGCAACGGGAATACCCTGCGTACTCTGGTCAAGACAGGTGGTGTCGGAGGCGATGCTCCCGAGGCAAGCCGCAGAGATGAAAATGGTTGTACGAATAGTCGAACACATACGAATAGCAGCCCTTGCCTCGCTCACCGGTGGTGTTTCCAACATGTCGAGATCAGCGCCGATCCCATCCATGATCCATCTCATCCTAGGCGGGCCTGGCAAAGAAAACCGTAGCAATGGGCCGAAGGTGAGGCAAATGCGAGGCACAAGGAGCGAGACCTCTTAACGCCTCATCACGGCCAATATCCGCCAGGCGCTGGCCGTTCAATGCGTTAGTGGTCGGTATGGTGACGGTGATTCGTGAGTGGGTGCTCTGCCGTCGTCATAGCCTGCCCAGCAAACCTGGGAGTCCGGGCTACCGGACTGGGGGATGATTTTGGCTGGGGAAGACAGGTGCAAGCTCAGACTCGCACTCTGAGAAGGACAAACTGCGTGCTGCCCGTCTTTGGGACCCTCGGGCGGCGACCAGGCCACAGAGATCACCCAGCAGATCGGATGATGGGCACAGTCCACCGACTCAGACTGTCCCTTGCCCATTGCAGTCGGAAATGCAGGCCAAGTGTGATGGGCCCTGAACTCCCATTCGCCAAACCCCGAATTAAGAAAAGGCCATTGCCCAGAAGCAAGAGACGGAGTCACGGAGAGCCCACGGCAGAGACGCAGAGAGCAGAGAGTGCCCAGTGTCACACTGGTGCTTGGTTAATTGCCCTGCCCTTGCCCCTGGTGCGAGTGTTGCGTGTGGGCTGTGGATGACTGCGAAACCAAACTCGTTGAGTATGGAGGCTTGTTGCTAGGTAATTGCTATCGAAAGGACCAGTCCTCTGTCAGGTCTGTGGCCTAGGCTGGGCTGCCCAGGACGCTCTCAGGGATGAAGTGTGTATGTGGAAGATGAGGACCAGGGCGATGCAGCCGCCAAACGGGGTCGCGGGAATCGTTACTGGTTAGACCCAGAGAATCTCAGAGGTGCCGAGAGCTGCGACCAAGGCGGTCAGCGGTCAAGCCAGAGAGATGATGCTTGTCGGTGCTGGTGGAGGGGGGGAAAAGGTACCTCACAGGTTGCCTCGGTGCATCTTGTTGATACGAGTACCTGCTATAGTCGCGACATCCCAGCCTCCTTGACCCATATGCAAGGTACAGGCGACTGGCATAAATTGCACAAGGCTAGCCCAATACTCTGTAGTACATCTAGAAGCCTTGCGAGACTGGGGCATCCCATTCTCAAGGAACGCTAGAGCCGAACCGCCATTAACGACTTTTTTTTTATTCCTTGCGCGCCGAATGACCTGTTTGGCTTTTGTTTCCATGGCGCACCCGGGGGTGGGAGAGGTGTGCTGGTTACTCGATCCGCATGGATATGGGAAGGGAGACTCGGAAAGATTCAAGATGGTGCGGATGCCTTGGTGTGCGTTCGACTACTGTGTTATGCGTACTATGTAGACGACGTCGTCGCCAGGGCAGTTTGGTTCGTCGCCAGGTAGACCAGATACAGCAGATACGGCAGACTATTGAATGATTGTTGTTCGTCGTCACTTGTGCTCGTGTGCCGGACGACGGGTGCCTATGGAAATCAGATCGAAGCTGCCATTGATGGTAGGTATTGTGAGCTGCCATTGTTTCCTTGTGGATGAAGCCTATCTGACAGTCAGCTTTGCTTTTTCTCATTGCCGTTGGTCCTCTCACGTGCATGCCATGCCATCGACTTTGCTGCAGTCTCCGCGTCTTAACTGATGCCACGATGTGACAGGAAGAGTAGGTACTCGAAGTTTGTCCTGTCATTTCACTGATGGTTTGCAAGAAAGGCAGTCAACGACACAGATACAGCGTAGCGTCTCTTGTCAAGAGCGGTCTCACCTCTCTCGCGCCGTGCCAGTCTCTCTGGTACACCACCGAATTGTCCATGTTCTTCCATTTCCATGACGAGAGGTTCGAACTTTTGGCAGCTCTGTGTTTTAGCGTGAGCTTTACTACAGAGACACCACCAACTTCGGGCCATTGAGACCTGCACCCCCAGGCAGTGCCTTGGACTCCACCAAGCCCGATTTGATTGGAGGAAGTGGTCAAGCAGGACTGGCCAGGAAGGTCAGGTTCGAAGGAGGGCGGCAGCCAGCCATCCAGCAACAAGCCATAATAACAACAGACCAGGAGCCAACCAGCCCAGGAGCAGGAAGGAGCGTGGGAGCAGAGGCAGGAGGGCGAGACACCGGCCAGCGCTCCTGCAGTGTGTGAGTGCCAGGAGTGAGGTGCAGGCAGGTGCAGGGCAGGTGCGATGCTGCAGGTGTGGCCCACCCCCTGCCTCCTGTCTTCCGTACCGCCCTCCTGAGTCCTGGCCAGTGGCTCCTCTTCCTGCCTTCGGGCTGCTGCTTCCTGCGCTGCCTCGACTGTCTCGACTGTCTCGAGCGTGGTCTCTCCTTCCTTCCTGCCCTTTTTTGCCGCCTACGTCTCCTGCAGTCCTGCTCTCTCCCGCGCCTGCCTGCCTCTTTATTGTAAAGCCATAGATAACTCCCTGTCACAACTGGCAAGTAGCCCTTGCCCCTGCACCTGCACCCAAGGCACGGATACACCTGCAACGTGTTGCTGTCCCAGTCATGTTTTTGGCTGCCCTCAGGCATTTCAACCCGACTGACTGCCGTCCCTCCATGAATGAGAGGGTTAATGAAAGGCAGAGACAGATGTGCAGCATCGGGAATCCAATGCTAGAGCTAGGCCAATTATGTTGCTGCCTCAGACAGCAGAGTTCACTCACCCAACACCACCACCACCTTGACCCAAGTTCAACACACAGATAGGTACTCACAAAGTGGTGAGCGCAAGTGAAATAAATCCATGCATCAAAATGGAAAGTGAGTGCCCGTCCGGCGTGAGGTGTACAATGGCGGTTGGCGGTCCAGTGATCCACCCACCCAGCAGCACTTTCCCTGGACCATCACCAAACAACGGCTAATGACTGGTCGATGCCCAGTTCCTTCCCCCTCCAGCGTGGCCCCCCCGGCCGGTTGCTTCGCAGCAGGAGCGGTGTCGTGTCGTGGACTCATGGAAGGTGAGAGTGGAGCCGGGGGCAAGAGTGCCCCCTTCCCTCTTTCAACTTTGACGTCCAATCTGAAGATTGAAACCCACACTCGTCCTCAATCATCCGGTGCCGCCCTTTTCTGTCCTAAAACGGGGGTCGGGAGATACGTATCGATCCCTCGCTTGTCCCGATGACGAAGTACCTCCGTACCTTCTTTTAGCGTCGTGGTCCCGTCGGAGCCAGTCACCCTGTCGTCTCCACGTTCGATCCAATCCAAGGCCCGCCCATGTTTTTTTTTCTTCCTTTTCTCATTTGATCATCCATCATGTTTTTTATTTTAATTTTCGTTGTAACGCATTTTTTCCATACTGCTCGAGTTTGTAATTCCAGTCTACTATGTAATTCCGTGTCTGGCTCTCACCACCGAAGTGAGCGGGGGGTGGCCATGGGCAGTTGCCAACCATACTCTTGTAGCACCACTCTTGCCGTCCCCTTCTCATCCCCGTTGCCAATGTGTCCCAAATTGCTCTTTTGTCTACTTGTACCAGTCGACACGGCGAGGAGTACATAGAGCCATCCAGACACGGCACTGCCCATCCCACGATCAGCGAGACCTACGGAGTACGGAGTACATACCTACCTACATACACTATCCGAACACTGCTACTCACAACCGGTCATTCCTGTGTTAAGGTGCCCGTGTCAGAGTACCTACAAATGCCCTGTTCTACTCTGTACTCTTGCCCCAAGTACCTACCCTGTGCTGCCAGCTGAACACTTGTAATCCCCTTCTCGTCTCGTCTCGTCTTGTCTCTCTGAGGTGTACATTCAAACTGTACAAGCTGCCCGTGGGACCTCTGGTGTGGAAAGAATACATAATACCTTACTACGTAATGTCAGCGAAAGATACTTCATATTGCTGAACCGTCAATCGACACGATGTTCTATTCCTCAATTCCCCTAGTGTCCAGAAAAGGTGGGTGGTGCTTGCTGCAGTGTGTGAGTTTTTTTTAATTCCCTCCAGGCCCGCTCCTGTTTCTTCTGGCCTGGTTCCTCCAGGGCGGTAGGAAAGTATTGAGGTACTTTGCTGGAGGTACCTTTACACTGACAGCCCAGGTGCACCGCACAGAGTATGGAACCGATGAGTGCCCACTTTGCTGCCGGGCTGTCCACTCCGTCACTGTCACCCCGTTTTCTTGGTCCTCCTACCCAGTCCCTCAAAGTACCCGTCACCGGCTTTTTGCCGCATAGGTACTGGCTTCATCCCAAGGAACAAGGTACCACGGCCAGGTACCGGGCTCGTCTGGGCTACCTGAGTCCTGGGTCCTCAGGTACCTATCCGCACTCCGTACACCACCCGACTACTGGGCTGCTACCGCCCCTTCCACCACCCCTTCCACCCTTCTCTCACTCAACTTCGCCCTCTCTCGCCTCCATTCACACGCACGCCGCCATCATTCCTCTCTCCACTTTACATCCTCACCCCCGTCCCCATTTCTCTCTCTCTCCCCATCTCCATCCCATCCATCCCAACCCGTCCCATCCATTCTCACTCCTCGAAATTCTTCTTGTCCGACTTTATTCCTCCTTCTCTCCCCTCCCCGAAACCTTCTTCTCTTTTCAAACCTCCGAATCCGCCGTATCACGACGAAATTCCCTGTCCTCGACTCTGCACGATATTTCCATCCAAAGTCGTCGACAACCCAGGATTCAGGTTCTCATCTCTCATCTCCTCTACTGCACGATATTGTCGAATTCGATTGTCGCCTCTCTACAACAACCGCCCGCCTGCCCCCCATACAGGGCCGACTACGTTTTAGGTGCACGACACTGAGCAAGAACGTAACAAATCGAGTCGACTTGATCGCGTCTGCTGCTCGACACTTGGAACACCTCCAAGTTACACCGTCCTTTTCGAATTCGCACACCTGTTTACGGTCACCTTCCTCAAGGTAAGCTACAATCCCAACAGTGCGAACCTCCAATCTATCCAGAGTCATCCTGGAGAGCCTGGTACACAAGCTTCATCCAACTACTCGACGCCCGAAATGCGATCGAATTCCACAAGCGGTATCGATAGAAGGCATGCTTCGGTATGGTCTGGAGACGTTCTGCCACCCATGTGCTACGATCGAATCGGCCTCAGTCAATGACCAGCCCTTGGTTTTAAGCACTGCAGTCCCAAACGGCCACATTCAAGCAGCAGCAAATGTTTCCTCCATGCTGGTGCGCTGGAGCTACACAATGGCCACTGCATTGGTTGACCACAGGGGACCCCCTTCTCTGCCGCTGTCGCCTACGTCGCCTCCCAGCATTTCCTCACTCCAATACCGGCCCGTCACTACTTGACGCATCGTTCGACGAAGCTTGTGTATCAGACTCAAGGCACAGACAGTCAAAGTTTTTTGATTTCCTGGATATTCTCGCTGACCATTCACCAAACAGGACAGAGCTGCGGCTTTCCATTTCATTTGCACAACTTTCTTCGTCCCTTCTAGTGCGGCCCTTAGAACTCCTCTGACGCCCTCGACGACCTTTCTCCGTTCAAGCATCCTTTTCCCGAGTCAGCCATCATTGCATCTCTTCCTCCGCCCAAGATACATATCTTTCGCTGGGTCTTTCAGCCGTCCTCAGTTAGCGACACGACTGCTGCACCTTTTTCATCGATCCGATCTCTAGACGTCTTGTTGCCCCCCCCTCGTCGCGATTTCAACCCTTGATGGCTATTCGCAGCTACTAAGGGCTCGTGTCACCAACCCTCTCACCCAACCGACACACCGACTTCCATCGGCCTTGGACAACCATCGCTAGCTCGACGCGGCATTTCTCCCACTGCTAAGTGTCTCTTCCGAGTACATCGAGCAGTATCCTCAACCCGACAAAGATCTACATTCGATCTTCGTCGGACTCCACTCAATACCGCCATCATGCCCGGAGGTGTCTGTGCCGTCCTCGACTACGAGGTCGACCAAATGGCCGAGTTCGTTGCCGAGATGGCCACCCGCGTTGTTATGCCGCTGTCGACCACGGCCGTCACGCCCCCGTTCCGCAAGTTCGTCTCGCAGATCCTCTCATCGACGAGATTGCCCAAGAGCACCATTCTCCTCGGCATGAACTACCTGGCGAAGCGGGTCAACACCCTCAAGCAGAACAACCCCTCGTACACTGTACCCGAGGGACAGGTTTGGCGCATGCTGACCGTTTCCCTCCTGCTTGGAAGCAAGTTTTTGGACGACAACACCTTCCAGAACCGTTCTTGGTCTGAGGTGAGCGGCATCCCCGTCGCTGAGCTCAACGCTCTGGAACACGAGTGGCTCGAGCAATCCGGCTGGCGTCTCTACGTCAACCTGGATTACAGCGCGGACTACAAGGCTTGGCTCACCAGCTGGGATGAATGGAAGATCCTAAAGGACCAGGCTGCGGCAAGAGTCACCCGCGAGAGACTCGTCCCCGCCATCGACACCAACATCAACAACAGATACGGTGGACGATCCTCCTATCATACGTTTGTTCAGCAGCAGGCGGCTGAATACGAGCGCTACGAGGCTATCAAGCGCAACGAGTTGGCTCATCAGCAAGCCTACGGCGGCAACTGGAATTGGCAGAATGCCCCGCTCACTCCTCCGGATTCTGGCTATGGCACGCCCGAGTACATTAATTCAGCCACCTCTACCAACGCTCGCTACAACGATTGGTTCTCCCAGGCCGCTACCACTGGCCAGTGGAACACCCGCTATCAGCAGCCCTCGCACAACTACTATGGTCACCGCCACAACCAACAAAACTTCCCTGGACACTATGGTTACCAGCAAACCATGTGGGAGCACGGTGTTGCGGAGTGTAGCTGTGCGAACTGCGTTGGTCCTACCAAGGCATCATCATACTTTGCCCACCCTAGCTTTGGCCAGCCTGTAATGGGCTAAAGTTGTGGCGATATCTGGCAGATTCACTCAATCGCCTTACGAAACTGGAAGAGATTTTTGCTATCGGAAAAGTTTGGGAGGTCTAGCGTCACCGGAGACGCGGACTTTGTTTTTTTTTCTGGCATGAACGATACATTTGCATTCTTCAGATACCCTCTCACGACGAGCACCGAAAGAAGCGGTTATTTGACCGAATGGTCTACACGTCGGCATTCGACTTCACGACACGGGCACGTTTGCCCTCACTCGATACCATCGCTGCCACACGCGATTGACTTGGCTACTAGATTGTCTCGCAGCCACAATGCGTTTGGAGGTGGATGGTCACGACGCGCGGCTGCGACCCCTAATGACATATTTCTTTAATTCTTTCTCCCCTGGTATACGGATAAATTCATCACTGGCGTCCCATGGTCGCCATTCGCGATCCCCACGGAGTTTTCATTTCAATAGATCCTTTGGCTGTATTTCTGTTTGGTGTGATGGTGGTGGTAGTCTCTTGGCATTCCCCTCATTGCTCAATCTTCGTACATCGACTCATGGTTCCGATCGGTCATTACCCGCGACAGCAACTCTACGAGTTTCGATTCCCGAGTCCCCCCGACGATTACCTGCCACCAGCGACATCCATTTCCTTTGTGGCACGCCAAAGAGACAAACTTGTTTTCTGTAATTCAACCTGTTCGGCAACAACTCGGTTCCCTATCCCGGCTTGCATTCCGTCTGCGAAAGGCGGAAATTCCAGCTCTCAATTCGACAAGACCTCGCGGTCATTGGCGCCTGCCTTGTCGGCGCTGCCCCCTCCAAAAAGAAAGGACGAAGTGCATCAAGTAAAGGGTACATAGGATCACATTTCACTTTACTGGCTGGCTTTGCGCGGGCATACGATTTTCTACTTGCGAGAACAAAAAAAAAAAGGGGAAACTTAACATGGGGAGGTGTTTTGCATTCATGTTCACTGATCAAAAATGGGAGGCAAAGCCTTCAGGACGTGGGTACGGAGTCTCATTTACTTTTTACTTTGTTTGGCATTTCTTGTTCATTCGGCACACTGGCTCGTCTCATTGCCCGGAAGGCACAATGTCAGAGGGCCACTGCTATTTCTACGCCTTTTTACTGTTCATGACATTATTAGACGTTTTTTTTTTATTTATTTTCTCTTCATGCCAACTTGTACCGGCATCCACTAGAGTGTTTGGGATCGAGGTTGGATACATTCAGTTTATGGGAAGGCAGGTTATCTGCTCTCCGACATGTGGATGGTGATGGGAGTGGTGGTTTTACGGATATGAACCCAACGAACCAGGCAGCCGTCGGGACTGGTGCTAGATTTGTATGTCGCCCAGTGGCCGCTGGTTAAGTAGGCACGTCGTCATGGGTATCGGGTACGCTATGATGTGGTTTACATCATTAGTAGGATTGAAAAAAGTTTTCGCCGAAAGGACGAGATTGGAAAGGAAAACAACGGATGGAGCACACAACGGCATACCCACGGGCGACGACAATGACATGGCCTACTTAGTGAAGACACTACAGTCCTAGACAACTAAACAAAATAACAAAACATGATGAAGCAAACACAGTCGTCTCAGACGTTTCGATCGTGACATGAAAGATTACTTGACGGCGGCGTGAATCTGAAATGCTATGAGAAGATGAGGTCTTGGGAGGAGAAATTGTGTGATGACTTGGAGTGGTGCTTGATGACCCAAGTGACCCAGCCTACTTTTGATTGGATTGCTGCCCCACTCCAACGAGTACAGTGATTTTCTGCTCCCTGATTCGCTCATTTGCCAACTTTCCTCCAACTTCTCAACTTCGACCTCGGCCTCATCCTCTCACTCACTTGAGGCACTCACTCGCCCACAGACGTCTTCTTCAAGGACATCTTTCCTCTATCAGAGAGAGAATTTGTGATAACCCAAACTTTGAGGACCATTCTTTTACTGGAACCTTTGCGTCATTTTGCCTGACGCCAGGCTCCCAATCTGAGTATCTTACGAACACCTACCTCACTGAGCATAAGACGGCCTACACGAGTGCTCGGCTGTACCCTAGCCTTTACCCCAGACAAACCGACCAACAACAGCAAGATCCAAAAAGTTCAGGAAGACAAGTAGCTCTCAAAGGGGTTCAAGACGAGGGAGAAAAAAAAGAGGCTGCTTTACATCGATTAAAGCAGCAAATCAACCTGGGCCGTTATTTCTCCTTTCTTCCCTCCGTTGCAGACGCAGAAGCCTTTTCTCTGCTATTCTGCCCTAGAAGAAGGTTTCGAATATCAAACCTGGTGAAAACACAAATTTTGAGGAAGAAGAGAAAGAGAGGAAGAGGGGGGAAAAACTCACGAGACACGATGTCGAGATTCGTATCGGCGGGGGCCATCAACGCCGAGACAGGCGAGGCCGTACCCCAAGACACAACCGCAACACCCGCAACAAACGCCGGCGCGAGCACTGCCGGCTCGGCGCCCAAACCCGCCGCCGAATCCAGAAAGAGCGCCGAATGGGACCTCGTGCAGAAAGAACTCGACGCGGAACGCAGGCGTAGGGAGGAGGCGCGCGTCAAGTCCGTCGAGGGCGGGGAGAAGAGTCTTTACGACGTCCTGCAGGCGAATAAAGCCGCGAAGCAGGCTGCGTTTGAGGAGGCGAATAAGATTCGGAACCAGTTTCGCGCGCTGGATGATGATGAGATTGATTTTTTGGACGAGGTTAGGGAGGCTAAGAAGGCTGAGGAGGAGAGGGTTAGGAGGGAGACGGAGGAGGGGCTCGTTGCTTTTCGGAGGGCGCAGGGGGGTGGTACGGGGGCGAAGAGGGCTGGTGATGGGGAGGAGGAGGGTGAGAAGGGGGAGGAGATGGGTGGTGAGGGGGAGGGTGGTGATGAGTGGGCTGTTGGGCCTAGGAAGAGGAGGAGGAAGGAGAGGGAGAGGGGGTTTGGGGTGAAGAGGGAGAAGGGGGGCGAAGACAAGGTGGACGAGAAGGGCGATGGTCAGGTGAAGAGTGTTGGTAAGGGGAGTCCGCCTGTGCCTATGCCTGCGGCTACGACTACGACCACAGCTGCGCCTGCACCGGTGAAGGGGAAGCCGAGTCTTGTTGCGTACGGATCTGATTCGGACGATGACTGAGAGGGGATGGGCCGATGGATCCTGGGACATGTTGTTTCTATGCCAGAGCACTTGACGGGGTGCTATCATCATGGAGGTGCTGCTTCATCTGTAGATATTGATACCTACTTCATGCTTGACGTGTTCTCCAGCTCAAGCAAGGATATACCTTATCCGCAAGAACCCACAGTCTCACGATGTAACGTGGAAAGACGATACCGGGGAAAAGAACATTATGGAAGAAAGAGGAGTGTACAGTAATATTCGTAACAAGCGGAGGGCTTCTTGGCATTATTTTGGCCAGTGAACCCATAGTCTATGATAACCTCCCGCGCTCCAGTCCATGCAGCGAAACGGAAGAAGATACATGAAAAAGCAAAAAGAATGAAGAACATCAAGCTAGAATTACAATGTGCTGTGAACCCTCCACTACCCAGTCGCTTTCTGTATAGCTGTGTGGGGTGGTGGTCAAGATAGTTATACATCGTCTCCTTTCTCTTCTCCTTCGTTATGTAGAACCAAACGAAATGAGGCAGAGGGGGAGTCCTTTACTCGTCGTCAATGTTTCCGACATTGGGCCCCTTACGCTCCTCCCCCTTGACGACACTCCACCCCCACGTGCCCAACGACCGCAGCGTGCCCTTGATCCAGCCCTCAATCTGCGTCTCGGGGATGACGATCCCCTTTGCGCGCTCCTCATCCTCAGCCCGGATCTCAAACCGCCGCATACGCTGCGCGATACGCGGATCAATGACCATGGGCGAAGCCCAGATGCGCTCCTTGGTCTTCTCCTCCTCGTCGGCCGTCGCCTCGTCGACTGGCTTCCAGACGGACTTGACCCAATCGCGTTCCTCATGCACCAGGGCACGCTGCTGTTCGTACGGCGTGAGGGCGGAGGAGTCATCTGCGGCGGTCTCGGGTTCGGCGTCGCGGTATTCGCGGGCGTGGGCGAAGCAGGCGGCTGCGACTTGGCGGCCTACGTTGTCTGCGAGCTGGCGGCGGTTGAAGAAGCGGCCCATACGGGTGAAGGTGCCGGCGAAGCCGAGGAGGTGGGGGAATTGCACCGGTTCCGAGGGGGAGAATTCGGCGGGGAGAGTGGGAGGGAGGTGGGAGGCTGAGTAGTCTGCCGTGGTGTTGTAGGGAACGGGTTGGCGAGGGCGGTCTGATTTCTTTTCTTCTTCCTTGGGCTTTTCTTCCTCCTTCTTTTCTGCTTCCACGGCACCGCCCTCTGTTTCTGTTGCTGTAGAATCTGAGGTCGCTTCTGATGCTGCGGGCTGCTCAGGGGTAGAAATTACCTCGGGCTTGGGAGGCGGGTCAAGGGGACCGAGCCAGCCCTCGTGTAGGCCGCGAATGTACTCCTTCCACGCGTGACGCCCGATGACGATGTCTCCTCCGGGGCCCTCGAACTCGGGTGTGTTGTTCTTGGCGCGGATGGCGTCGCGAATATTCTCCTCGGTGGGGAGCAGCTCGACCTCGGGCCTCTCCTCCCTGCTCCTGCGCCTCCGAATCTTCTCCGCTACGGCGGCGCGGACATCACCCTGCTGCCGGCCCTGGACAAATTCCCAATCCAGACCCGAGGCGGCGAGGATGGGCTTGACATACTCGATGAAGTGGTCCTGCGCGACGCGCAAGCCGTCGCCGGGCGGGGAGGCGAGGATGACGGTGAGTTTGCGCGGCAGCTGAGAGGGATCGGTAACAGGTTCGCTGGCGAGCGGGGAGACGGCGGCGGCCCAACGGGCCGTGGCGCGCTTCTTTTCGCGCTTGTCGTAGATGATGGCGGAGGAGATGGCGCCTGTGAGGGAGAGGAAGATGAGCCAGTTGCGTGAGGGTAGGCGTTTGGGAGGGCCGCGGAGGCCCATCATTTGCCAGACTGGATTCGGTTTCGCGGCTTTGTAGCCTTCTGCTGCGGAGGTGGCTGTTGTTGTGGTTGTTGTCGCAGCGGTAGGAGTGGGTGCTTTCGGGGCCGCCTGGGAGATGCCATTGTCAGTTTTGAGGTTCGTGATGGTAATGGGGACCGCTGGATGCTTACCTCGGGCGGCGTGGGGTTCGAGTCCGCCATTATGGGTGTATATTAGGGGGGATGAAAGTATTTAGAAGTTTTCGTGTAAGGCGATCTGGTGTCGCACTGAGAATGCGACTATGAAAACGGTGGCTCGCAATGCCTCAAAATGTCCTGTCCTACCTCAGGCCAGGAGAACTGAGGTGAGGTTTTTGGAAATTTTAGTCGCGATAAGAGCTTCGCCGAATTATCGGACCTATCTGTCCCCAAACGGCATAGTGCAAAGTGACGACTGACCGCCTGCCATAAGTGGAATAGTGCCCCGAGGGACGTACCGAGCGAGCTGTCACGGCATCTTCCTCTCCAGAGCCTCCTCTTTTACCATCAAAGTCAGTTACACCACTAAGTTCAAGATGAACTTCATATTCGCCTGATTTGGTGTAGGGAATTCCTTTCCATATTGCCCGCTTAGATCCTGATCCCGGTAATTGACTGCCCATGTGATGGGCGCTACACCGAGACCCACGTTGAACCAGTTGTCTGGCGATCCCCGAAGAACAGTGGCAGATCCTGATGCATGATCGACTTATTGCACAATGACAGCCCAAAACTCGCGATGGCAGGCAGCTGCATGGCGGATAGGGCGTCGTCGGGCCGTGGTCATTGGGCGACGATGGTAGCGAGCATGGAGCTCGATCATGGATCACTAGGTAAACCTGATACAGGCACAGGGCATCACCTGAGCCCGGCGGCCGTCCTCCGACCAAGAGCTTCGTCATCCCAACCGAGAGCATAATGTGTGGCGGTGCCTTAGGCTTGTTGATTCCTCCTGTGCTGCTCACGAGATTACGCCATACGAGGTAGAACGTGGTGGTGCTGTGAAGGGGAACACGGCGTAATCGATAGACAGAGATGGTGCCAAGCTCGCCAGGATGCTGGTGACATGCACCAGACCGCGGCATCGAGGATAGAAGAGCAGGAATGCCATGCCATGCATACGAAGACGAAGAGTGTAACGCTGCCATGTGCCACGGATGAGCTTGTAAGCTTGTTCCTGTGGCGGGTGTGACAATCGTATACGATTTGGAGCGTATGAGAGCGGGGCGGCAGGCGTTCAATATGCTATTTATTGCTAGAGTCGTGTCTCACGGCGGCTGTACACGGCCGACGATGCCTCGTGCCGATGCCGAGCGTGAGCCAGGCTGTTGGGCTGGGTGGGTATGGTAGAAGACGACGACGCCGCCGCCGCCGCCGGACCGCTCGATCAGGAATGAGTTGGCAGTTGGCACACTTCAGTGGGGGGTCGAATACAGTAGAATTTCTTCTTTGTCTTTGGCCATAAGAGAACCCCTGTTGGAGCCTAGGGACCAAGTGACGTGCGGATGCGGGCGAGACGAGATGGCGACGGGAGAGATGAACTAGGTGGAAGGGATAGCCATGCTTGTGGGTTAGGCGGGCAGGATGCGTAAGTGATGCGACCGCTTGAGCTTTCCGAAGGGCTAAACGGTATGGCCATTTAGAGACGTAGAGAAATAATCCGAACTTTCAGGTTAGGCTGTCTGCGTCCGGTTGATACCCAAGTAACCTTGCGGCAAGGCACTTGACGTGCTCCGGTTGGAGAAGGGAATTGGCGAGATGCCGGAACGATGTTGCACGGGGAGAAGTGAAAAGCCAATCGTGGAGACGGAGACTGAAGATGGCGGTGGCACTTTAGTACCTAAGATTCGATGGGTAGTATCAAGTGAATGCTGGATCTCAGTGAAGGTCTCATGTGGTACGTCTGTTTCCCGGTGAAGAGGGGCGGTCATTTGAAGACTGAGGTTAAAAGGTGAGAGACGATTCGGAAACAGAGGCTTGAGAGGCGGTAGTCGTAACAGAGTTTCCGCTGGGCAGTCGAGGTCCCCGGGGGAAAGTCAATGACTGAGTCGAGTGAGTCGGATTAGAGCTTCAGCTCCGGGGGCTAGCTGTAGCATCCAGGACCCGATACGTTGGCGGGCCGAGTTCCATGATCCATGGCATATGATGATGTCGAATTGGACGTTGAGTCTGGAGCATCAAGATGGAATTCAAGAGTCGGTGAAAGGGGGAGGATAAGCGAGTCGTCGAGGTGCAAGTAACTTTCCATAGTACGGAGTAAGGCGAGGTACATGTCGGCGGTCTCCTGCCAATTGCTTAGTACATCGTCCGCGCCCCTCCTTCCTCGTTGTTGATTGCCGCTCCGCACGCTTTGTGGGTCACGGCCGATGATGGGGATGTTTGGGAAGGAGCTAGAAATGCAATGCAGCAAGCTGTAGACAGTGCATGGCATTGGTTCCTATTTACCAGCGTGTTGAGAGTGTAAGCGATGCACTTCCGCGATCGAAGTAAACAGTAAGGTGTCTAGACTGCTAGGGAGTGTACAAAGTAGCAAGTGTCATCCTCGCAAGGCATAAGGCCAGATGCCAAACCTCTAAGTGGAGGAGGTGCGGCGGAGGCATGTCCAGAATCCCAGTGGATGCAGCTCCGACCCCACCTCACCCCGCTCATCGGCCACTCACAGCTCGGCATTGGCTGAATCTCAGGGGTACTTGGGGTCCAGCGAGGCCCCTCGACTTTCAAGGCCGCGGCGCCGCCCCTCGAGTGCCCCCTCCCCTGAGTTCTCAGATCCCCGCCTCGCCTCAAGTGCTGGTAGTGTAAATTTGTACGTAGTAGTGTGTTGCTCGTGGCAGGTGCGGCGTGGTTTCTCTTCAGGAGGTCCCTTCCCGTCACCCCGTCTGGTCTTGCCCTTTTTCTTGCTGCGACGGGCTGCATAACTTGCTTCCCTTAACTACCTCATTGTACCTTCCTTGAAAAGGGAAGGGAAGGAACATCCTACGACACTGACGTTGAACCCAATTGCATTCCTTCCTTCCATTCAAGGCTTACACAGTACCTCGGATACCTAAGTAATGGCTGATAGCGGAATGTACCTGCTACCTCTCTCGACCAACTCCTGCCTTTCCAATGGAAGAAGTCCTTCCTGCACCATGACTCTGCTCCACCT